GTTTCCCTTGGTAGTTCGCATGGGGACAAGAAGAATAATTCTTTTTCTTTTCCCTCTTCGCTTGGCACGTCACTTTTCAATGAAAGCAAATACATAGCGGTATACATGAGGAAAAATGGGCAAGTCCTTCCGCAGAAAACCAAATATCCCGGTAATAACAAGACTCGTTTCGTAAGGGGCATGGTAGATGACTTGGAATACCCCCAAAACCATGACGTCGCATCAAGTCCGGGGGACGGAAGCTGGGTTGATTGGTTTTTTTTCTTCTTCCTTTCCCTGATGCATGCGGCATCGGTGCGGTGTAATTCGTTTCTATAGAGTACAGCTACAGCAGATAGACAAGTCACACTCTCCTCCGATTAAGGAAAAGGGATCTCCGAATCAAGCCAAGCATGCAGTTGCCTTGTCCCAGCCTTATGAAGCGAATAACCCTGGGTTATCAATCGTACGACTGAGTTGATGTACCTTTCAAAATCACCCGAATACTTGCTCTGTACTGTGGTGTGTGGTGTGGTCATTATTATCATATGTGGTTACACAATTAGAAGAGAGCGAGGAATTGCAAGACACTGCCTTTGGACCGTGTCTTGTCCATTGTTACGCCTGCCCTTGGAGGTAGGGAAACAGAATTAAACCGTGCTGTCGGTCAAACCTCCCCTCTCTTCCCTGTGTTCACAAGGGCAAGACAAGGGGGGAAAGCCACACCTAAAGCCACGTCGAGAGACTGCAACAACATGAACCTCTAGGTGTGACGTATCCAAGCAGAAATCCAGACCGAAAAAGAGAGAGATAGAGACAGAGAGAGACACTATACACGTTCGAGTGGCCAAGCCGAAAGAGGAGAATTGCGCAGATTTGGCAAACGCGGACGCACCGGGACGCAACACCCGAGTCCAGGGGGGTCGATGGCCTGGAACTTTCCAAATAATGTAACTACATAATTGATCCTAGTATCACATTTGTGATGGAACTGGCAGATTTTCTCTCGCGTATGCTATTCCTGAGCTTCGAATATTCCATGAAGCCCTTTTTTTGCTTTTGTTTTCCCGTTGTCGGTCATTGCTAATCTGTACACTTTCTCAGGATAGGAAAAGCGCTTGGGAATGGCAATTAGTTTGTGGGGGTTGGTTGACAGCAAAGGGGGAAGTAAAAAAAAAGAAACACTATAAATCATGGTTGCTATTACCAGGGCTACCAAAGAGATACAAAGTCGTTTAGGGAAGAAGAAGAAAAAAAAGTACCTTGGTACTCGATCAGTCAGCCAGAGGCCGATACTCACCGCCTCAAGATTTAGATGCCAGTGATGCAAAATGCCATATCCCAAGCATTCGAGGAGTGCAAGACCTGCAGGATCTGCTTGGGGCTTGTGGCCAACTTTGCCTATTCAAGGCTGCTCAATGCACCTTCATGTAGTCATAAGTTTTCAAAGACACTGGCAGGCACCAGCGGCAGTCATAGTTGGTCATCCACTGCTACCGTGAATGGTTCAAGGTAGCTAGGCCTGGTTCAGACTGCTCATAGGAGGAAGTGAGAGATGATGTCTAGGTCATGTTCTAGGCCGCCGATATGCACTATTCAAGGCAATGAACATCTAGCCATCTCGCCCTCTCATAGGACGTCGTAGAGACTCGAGTGGCAAAAGATTCAGAATACGGCAAATCTATTAATTTCTAACCGTCTTTGTAGTGGATCGAGATGTTCGTGCAGCTCAAAAGTCACATGAGCCGGTTCGACTTGGACATGAATGTTTGCTCAATCTCATCCAAGGGAAATTGGGACACGAGATTAGCGACAACAGGCAGATCTCTCCAAGGTGGAGGCCAACTGCCATTAAGAAGCGGCCTCAATATGCATGATCAAAGCGTATGATATCGGTCGTCCCCCTTCCAATTTCCCAAGGGCAGCGCGGAATGGATAAGAAAAGACTTGGTCTCATCCATCATCTATCTAGCTTCGCAGCAGAAGGGCTGGGGAGAGTTCAAAGGGTCTACGGCAATGTCATTCGCGGCGGTCATGTTGTGGAACCACGATCCGCGAAACATGACACGAACAGGCAATGTTAGTCAGAAGAGAGACTGGCCCGAATGCAGGGAAATACTTGGCGGTCACGAACGCAAGAACACGTTTCCGCGTCAGTGCAGGCGCCGAAGCAGGAACTTGCTTTTCAACATGTCCGTGCCATCGTTCCCGCGTTTGGATGGAGCATCCGAGTATCAGTCGGCTGGGCTTCAGAGGCGCAAAGGGCAAAAGTGGAAGCGTTCTCGCTGCAGAAAGAGTTACTAGTAGAACTATCAAGTGGAAATGGCAAAGCCACTGATTATGCATTGACAAAGTATATTATGGGCATCGAACGATGTGAAACGAACTGTTTGCCTAATCTACTCACTGATTCTGGTGAGATTGGCAATCTTGACATGAGCCAGTGGTTCCTCAACTCATGCAGGAACGGACCATTGGTGCCGGCCTACAGGCCTTGAGTAGCCGGCCAAAAAGAGGTGTGAGATAGTTTTCCATGCTCAAAAATGGCTGGCTTGGTATGAGCCACTGGCCCAAATAGTCTGGAAACATGGTGACACAATAGACAGTCGAGATTCCCGAGCTTGCCGAGTAGTGTCCGTAGACTCATCGGCCAGAGGATCGCGTCAGAATCACTCTGCGACCCCAGCCTCCAAGAATCTCACGGCTGCTGTCTTCCAGCTCAGGCGATCAGTCTACATCTGGTAATGATCGTGTCATTGTCATGGCGGGTGACGGACCACAAATCGCGGCCATAGCTTGGGTACTTGCTCAGCCCCTTTTTACGGACCCATCCTCAACTGTCCGACTTGTTGAGTACGGCACGGCCTTTGGGGGTTTGCTAAGGGCCAGCGACCTCAGCAGGAGGAGGGTGTTTTGGCGGAAGCGAGCTTGCCTCGACCAGTGATTCAGATGACTGGTTCGATACGTCTTTGACGGTTCAGGCCGATAGTCTGCTCCAAATCATTTGCTCAGCGGCCGTAACCAGGAGCAAATCCCGGGGGTGCGGGCGGTGCGCCAGTACCGGGAGCAGGAGCAAAGCCAGGAGGGGGAACTGGACCACGGAAACTGCCCGGGTGAAAATCTGCAGGACTGCCATAGCCAGTTTGGACTGGAGGCGGTCGTGCAGGTAAGCCAGAAGGGGGCGGCGGCAGGTTGTTCGGGCGCATTCCCATGGGCGGCACAGGACCGTTACCGTTGAGACCATATGCCACTGGCGAAGGGCGATTTCCGGCGGGTGGTGCAAAACCAGCCGGGCGCGGAGGAGGTACTGCTACATTCATGGCAGGGTCAAAACCGCCCGAGGCCATGATTGGGGGCACGACGGGTGGTGTCGGTGTAGTCTGACCAGGCTGCTGGTGGTATGCAGGCGGCATAGGTTGAGTTTCGATAGTGACATTATGTTTCTTGGCCTGGGCCGCCAGCATACGTTCCGCCTCGTCTCCATGTCTCTCTCCTTTGCCGTCCTTCTTGTAGGCGTACTGCACGGTGACGTCCTTGTTCATGAGGAACTGTCCATTCATATTGTGGATGGCATCGTCGCTAGCTTCAAAGGTGCTGTAGCTCACAAAACCGTAGCCCTTGCTCAAGCCGTTGTCGTCGCGGGCCACCTTGGGGGGTACGGTGAGGGTACCGAAGCGACTGAAGGTGTCGTACAGGATCTTTTCGTCGACCATGGGATCAAGGTTGCCAATAAAGAGCTCGGCACCAATCTCGAGGGGCTTCTGCTTATCGGCGGACGCCTTGTTGACGCGCAACGGTTTGCCGTAGAGTCTAATACCGTTCATGATCTTGGCTGCATAATCGGCATCGACCTCGCCGTTGAACTCGACGAAGCCGAATCCCTGGTGTGACTGGGTGACGCGATCCTTGGGCAGGTGGACGTTGACCACAGGTCCAGCCTGGACCATGAGCTCCCAGATCAGGGCATCGGTCGCGCGCTCGTCAATGTTACCGACGTAGACTGTGGCCTCCTTGTCTTGCTCCCTGCGCAATTGTGATATTAGCAACATGTCTCTGCAAGTAACGAGAAGTATGACTTACCAGTGTTTCTGCCCAGACATCTTGAAGTCGCGTTTGAAGAAACGGCAGCGAATATGTTGTTGGAGACTGGTAACTTTTTTTTCTCTCCCTCTGGTTCTCTGCCCGTCGTCGCGCGCAGCTTGAGTAGGAGCTTGGAGCCTAGGTAGAGCTTGGCGAGGGAGTCGGATCTTATCTCAGAGGCTCGGATCTCCTCTCGTCGCCTGAGATGGCCGTGATGTGGCTTGAGAGCCTGGCTCTGTGGCTAGAGCCTGGAAAAGCTAGCTGACAAGTCCCTCTGCGCCACATTCCTAGACTTTTGCTTTTACAAAAAATTAGTCCAAGTCTCCGAGATAAGCTTAAAATGGCCCGTGCTTCCCTACCGACTGATGACGGAGTGTTTCCGCTACTCTGAATTTTTTGGTAGCTGCGACGACTCCTTCCTCAGCCCGTCCAGCGCAGACACACGACATCTCTTGCGCCCGCCATCCACGTTCGATATCCCAGGACCATCGAACCCACCCCCATCTGTACGTCCCGGATCCGTCTTGAAATGACGAATTGCAGTCACTAATCCGCCGCAAGTCACCAGCTCGATCAATCACAAGCCACAAGAGACAGAGACCAGCGACAAGATGGCGTTCGCTTTGTCCGAGGAGTCCAAGGTCCGAGGCCACAGCCATTTTCTCTACTCTGACAGACACTGACAAGAGACGTCTTTTAGGAGCGCATCGGAAAGCTCATTGATGTTGGAAGAGTTGCCATGCACTAGTATGTTTCCTGATAACCATCACCTTGAGGTAGCAATGGGCAGTAACTAACATCAAGCAGCGGATATCTCCCTCTGATTCTCTACCTCGGTATGCTTTGATACAACGCAACGCGATCCGGCCTTCAATAGACACAAGTGATTGACTATTTCCCCCTCGCAGGATACACACGCAGCGAGCCGAAACCCTCCGTCATTCGGTATTTATTCCCCGGCCCGTAGCCAGTCGACACAGAACAATGCAGCTAACCGGGCAACAGCCTCCTCTCCCCCCTCTCTTAAAGGGCTCATACGACTGAAAAACTATCAACACTGTACAGAAGCATGAAAGACGCGGTTGGCTGGTATATCTTGGTGGATTTGCATCATTGATTTGGCGGCTCGTATCATAGACCTGGGTTCTGGCAACACGGAAATGTCACGACTTGCATACGGACGGCTACCTTGGCCAGGGAAGCCGCAAAAGGCGACAAGGGCCGTACGAGAGCAGGGCTGTATAATATCTTGTAATGAACACGATCTCACTCAACACCCACGAGGATGCATTTACATCAATACTGGTGAAATTTTGAATACAAATTCGACTGCAAGTCTGGCCCTAGCCAAGTCAGCACACTGCAGATATTGTACATGAGTATCAATACAAGGAAAGAGTCAAGTATAGTGAACCCAGTACAAGCAGGAGTGCTTCCATGAGTTATCCTAGAATCCCAGATATGAGCACACATGGAGAAAGAGACGGGCGAAGAAACAATGACGAAATATGCAACTATCGGCGATAAGCAACTCTTAGCGCAATTATCTACGCCTGGACATTAAAAATCCACTACCATTCTTGAGCCTTGTATCGAGAGAGAAACGAAACTCTCGCCTGGTTCTTAACATGTGACAAGAACCTCGTAAGTCATCTTCATGACACACAACCATGCGGGGGGCATTTCACCCGCCCTCGTCGAGTCCATCGCCGGGCTGACCGCGGGCTCCGTGGCCACGCTCGTGGTCCACCCCCTCGACATTGTCAAGACGCGGATGCAACTGCATCGCAGCAACGCCCCGACTTCGGCCAGCCTGACCACCCTCTCGCTTGTGCGGTCGCTGGTCCAGATGCCCCAACCGCTGCGTGCCCTCTACCGCGGCCTGACGCCCAACCTACTGGGTAATGCCTCGAGCTGGGCCTCCTTTTTCTTCTTCAAGACCCGCGCCGAGCGCGCCATCCTAGGCCTCAAGGGGTCGCCGTCGGGGCAGGACAGTGCTGTTTCCCTGTCCACTACCGACTACTTTGCCGCCTCTGCCGTCGCCGGCGCTGGTGTCCAGGTCCTGACCAATCCCATCTGGGTCCTCAAAGTGCGGATGCTCTCCTCGGATCGCGGGGCCGTGGGCGCGTACCCGAGCATGTGGGCTGGGGCAGCTCAACTGTTTAGAGACGAGGGTCTGAGAGGCTTCTACCGCGGACTCGGCATCAGCCTGATTGGCGTGAGCCACGGCGCGGTACAATTTGCCGTGTACGAGCCGGCCAAGCGCATCTACTTTGCGCGGCGGCGAAGACGGCTGGACCAAGAAGTCGGTCGGGATGCCGCCGCTGCTTCCGACATGCCGCCGCTCAAGCTCAGCAATGAGGCGACCCTGGTGCTGTCCAGCGCGTCCAAGCTGGTCGCCGGCGCCGTCACGTATCCCTACCAGGTCATTCGCAGCCGACTGCAGAATTTCAACGCCGACGAGAACTATGGCCGGGGCATCAGCGGCGTCATTAGGAGGACCTGGCAGCACGAAGGCATTCGGGGCTTTTACCGCGGCATCATCCCTGGTGTCATTAGAGTCATGCCCGCCACTTGGGTGACGTTCCTCGTATATGAGAATATGAAGTTCTACTTGCCTCAATGGACAAGATGAGATTCACCGACCGCAACTACGCGACAAAGCTTTGTATGATAGATTGCTAGCATCAATCATGACAATTGGACATGTTTCGAGTAATTTAATCGCTGAATTATATGTGACATTCGCCTGTTCGTAATTGCGGTTCTTCATTTCTCTCTCTCTCTTTTGGTTATACTCATGCTTTCGTGAATGAGAGAAAAGTAAGAGCGTCCATATTTCATAAGGCAGCATAATCTCATAGGATAAACGCTCGTTCAATAATTGCTTTCTTCTATTCATTTTCATCACGTGTCGTCATATATACCAAACTCTTGACAGGAGAGAAATGCCCCGAAACAGCATGGCTACTTGCGGTCCTGTTTTCAAGTATTATTAGACTGGGAACATATATGTATTTACTCCAGTTTGTCATATACTCAACTGCGTTGTGAATGAGGCGCAAGCCGGCAAGTGTACAACCACCCGACCGTACGCGAAAACCTCCATTACTGTTCATTCTCAAGGTACTACTGAAAATCCCACTCCGTCATTGCAAAACTTTTCAACCGCTCATTGATATGTGATCGGGTAGACCCGTGACGCGGAACGGTAGCTTGATAACCACTAGAGGTCTTTTCTATCTCTTCTTTTCTTTTCTTCTTTGTTTTCATTTGATCGCATAACCCTGTTTTAGCATGCCGCGATAACATCAACGTATCGATATCTGCCCAATTCCCTCGATCCTGTCCTCGACATATTCATCTTCGCTAGATGAAAGTCCCGGCTCGTCCTCGGAACACATGCCAGCGAGTCTATCGTTTTCACCGCCGACATGCGAGGCGCGCCGCTTTGGATCTCTCGTGAGGTGGCCGTAGACGCTCATGATGGCCGCAGAGAAGCCGTGCACCATGATGGATCCTAGAACGATGAAGCTGACAATCGGCCACATGTGCTTGATGGCCTCGTGGTGAGGGCCGTGGCTGGGCGGGTGCGGCTCGGGCGTCGATGAGCCCGTCTCCAGCCTCGCGCGCGCCTCCATGGCCAAGAACATGGCTCCGACGCCCATGGGACCAAAGTGGCCGGCAAAGATGGCCTCGCTCCAGGTCCGGGTCTCTGGGATGAGACGCTTGAACAGGACAATCGAGGGCAGGCGGCGGAACAGCAGGACCAGGACGGTGACCGCCAGCAGCCGCCACGCGCTCAGCCTGCCAAAGCCGACGTATTTGTCCCAGGGGATAATGGTGCCAAAGTAGACAAACATTGCCGAGTTGAGAAGCAGGTCAATAATGCTGGGCAATTTCATCTTGTGCGTCTTTTCGCGGAACCAGCCGTCCCAGCAGAAGGCGGCGCCCGCGGTAAAGGCGACGAGGAAGTCGTCTAGGCCCAGTGTGCTCCCGACGCCCGTTGCAAAGATGGCTAGCAGAAAGTAAAAGACAAACAGTGTTGCCTCTTGCGTGTAGCCCCTCTTTTCGCTGAATCGCAACAATCGATTTGCAACTAACCCGATGACGGCTCCGACGACGATTCCTAGTGTGCACTGCCATAGAATTGTCTCGAGGAAGAACATTTTAGCCCATTCCGACTTGCTGTTTTGAGTCACGGCAAATATGGCCGCGTCTTGTGAATCCAAGTATGTTAGCTTTACAATTCTCTCGAGATATGGAACATTGTTCATGACCACAAATTCAAATACTTACACAAGAAAGGAAAGGCTGTTCCATCATTACAACCGGACTCGGCGGCCAAAATGTACCGAATCCTCTTTGGAATTCGCATGGAGAATTTCGTCTCACTCAAGACACTGGCCGACAAGACCGGGTCCGTTGGCGTCAATGTGGCTGCGATAATGAAGGCATGACTCCAGCTGATGCCAATAACCAGCTTGATGATGACGGTACAGACAAGCCAGCCAAAGATCATGTTGGGCACCAGCAGCACCAGGAGTCCTCTCCAGTGCCGCTTGACATAGGCGCTCGGCAGGTCGAGCCCCACGGCAAAGACCTGGACGCAGGTGACGACGCGCGCCAGCTCCTGGGTGATGTTGTCCTGGAACGCCCACTTGTTTGCTCCCGAGACGTCGGCGGCGAGGGGACCGAGAGCGATTCCGGTCAAGGTTGCCAAGGGAGGTTCGGACAGGTGGAGTCTGTTCCTCATCAACTCGGAAAAGAGGGCGTATATAATCAAGAAAAACGACAGGGTCAGATAGACTAGATGTGGCCCGTCGGGTTCGAGCTCTGGTATTTGTGAGCGTTTCGCCATGTTCATCTTGGTAATCGCCGCCATGAGAGATACAGGTTGTAGTTCATTCTACAGTAAATCCAAGTGCTCATCGAGGGATCCCCAGCGTATTTGACATGTGCATAAAAGATGATATCTGAATTAGTCTACATGTCCGGTTCTACTGTCGGCAATTGGTTTGCGTTCGCGCTAGTCAGATTGTCGTCGTCATGAAAGAACAAGGTATTTACCCCTCCAAGCACTCATCGCAGTATGCCACATGCTCACTATTTGCGATTTTTACATGTTTCATCAGCCGCATCTGCTCTGCATAAACCCGAGACACGACACTAACTCGGGTGAAAAGTGTCCATGGGAGCCACTTCAATTTTGAGGATGTAAAGGAAGAAGCACAGGAAAATTAGAGAGAGAAAGGAGGAGGGTGATAAAGTCAGGACCTTGTATGTGGAGATGGTCCGATTTGTTATAATGACCATTGCCAACTATATCTCAGCCACAAAAAGGCTTTCTGCAAAACTCTTGTTGCCTTTCAAGGCAACCAGGTCTCATGAAGTCAGAATGCATACGCCACATTCATCAAATTCTCATCAATAGCAAAGCTTGGTTCTTCAGCTGATCCACGCCGACCAAAAATCACTTCAAAGTCTTGCCCGTATATCCTTTAAAATCAGCATGTCCTTTCTCCCTGAGAATCTCTGGGAGCTCGTCCTCGACGTAGCTGGCGCGCCAGGACTTTTCCACGGCCCTCCACCCGAGCTGACGGAGCCGCGCGGCGCGGCTGCGGCTGTTGAGGCCGATGATGGCGCCCGTGTCGTCGCCAAACAGGTCCCCGTATAGCTTGGGGTCAATGGTGCGCGGTGTCGGGTCCGAGATCTTGCCCGCCTTGTGCAGGCTGTCCCCGATGAGCTCGGCGACCTCCTTCCAGCTTGGCTCGTCGTTGCCCGAGGACTCGCAAAAGTAGTACGGGTTCTCTAGCAGGTTGGCGGCTGGCGTGTGTTCCATGTGCTTCAGAGGCACGAATGTTAGTTTTACATCTTTCCTTTATATACACCGAGAGAAGCTAGTACATTGGCCGGGCTTCAAATTTCAGTGTTGAATAGTTTAAGATGAACTGATCAAAGTACCCAAACCCGGATTTATTTAGGAAGCAATGGTAAATGAAACAGAGACAACGCTACACGATTTAGATACTCACATGAAGCAGAATACGGTACGCCCTGGCAAGGTCTTTGACGTGAATATTTGACTCGACGGGCAGGCCGTCACCCACATAGCCAGCATAGCCGTGCTTGAGGGCGAAGCGAGTCAGTGTGGGAATCTGAATGGTGAGGCGCTTGTGGTCGTGGTTGAAGCCGTAGATGAGGGGCGGGATCATGATGGCCAGCTTGGCCTTGTCGCCCAGCACCTTTTGTCGGCGCAGGATGGCCAGGTCAATCTCGCGGTGCGGCGCCGTGTCGGGCATCGAGTCAATGTCGGAGCGCAGATTGTCAAAGTAGATGCGGTCCGACTTTTCGGACCCGTGGCACCCGTCGTCGAGCACCGAGGTGCCCGAGGTGTGGATGAAGATGGTGTCCAGCCCTTGGTCCGCCCGCTTCTGCACGCCGTCCAGCACGGCCTCGACGCTCGGCAGGTCGTCGGCCGTGGCCATGTGGATGGTAATGTCGTGCTGCGCGGCCTGCTCACTGATGAGCGCCTTGTCGCCCAGGTCCCCAATCACAATCTCTGACGCGCCCGAGTTCTTGATTTGGGCACCATGTTCCTTTCTTCGCACGAAAGCTGTGATTTGGTACTTTTCCTTGACGAGAAGCTCGAGGACGTTCCAGCCGATGAAGCCGGGCCCTACAATGAAGACCTTTTGCTCCTTTGAGGTCATGATGGTGGTGATGAAGAAAAGTACACGCTTGTACTCAACCGAGCTTTTTATATGGCGTTGAAACGAAATAGTTCGCAGTTCCTCACAAAATGGCAATCCTTTTGTCCAGGGATCATGTCAGCATATTCATATTCATTTCAATCTCCACCACGATCTATATGTAGTATAAGATTATGGGCCTTTCCCCGCTTCTGTGCAATGGTGTTTGATCAGTAACATGGTTGAACTTGTAGAGTTTGACATGCAGATATGACGTACCCCATTAACTAAGCACCACCCACTGCCGGATTTGTAATTCATGAATCAGTCGGGTTTAATAAAATATCTTGGGTTTGGTGTCTCTCCCTTGTTATCAAATCGGAAATAGTCTGCTTACTTGTATCGAAAATGGAGAGGGGTCGCGTGCTCGGCATTCCCTTCTAGACATGCAAGATGCCGCGTGGCTTGGCCTTGATTGGTTAATCGATTCAGTCCAAGGGGTCGTACGATCCTTTTGGGTTATAACAAGATTGACGCATGTAGTAGTAATCATTTTCGATCATTCTCCAACTCCTGGTGTCACCTGTTGTACATACTATGTATTATACAAGTCCTTGCCCGAAATACACCGCTCAAGGCTCGAAATTTGATAGCCATCAAGCTGGAATAAAATGTTCAGCCAGGATTAGCAGCCATTGTGTGGGCGCGTGTTGTTACAATTTGAGTACAAGCCAGTCATCCATCTTCGGGTCCATTCTCTTCATGGATCCTAACAAACCCAACACTGGCCCCTGGATCTCTCTGCCACCAAACCACCGCTTTGATCCTGCGTATGCCTCTATGAAGCCGTCAGGGCCAGAGACGCCAAGGATGTTTCTACCGATGAACTCCGGAGGCATATTGTGACGTCGGCAAGTACAGGCAATATCTTTGGCTGCCTTGTCATCCTCATCTGACGTTGCCGCAAGCCCTTCATGTGAGTGCCACCGACAACGCTTATCTGTAGCTGCAAGGGCAGGCTGCTGGCGTAAAGTGATGGCTGTGTTGACATCCTCGTGTGTAATAAACTTCTCATCGTCGACGAAATAATCAATATTGAAGTGATCTCCGTATTTTTGTTTCAAATCCACAATCTGGTCGGTGAGCGAGTTCGGGACGCCCACATCCCCAGACCGCTTGGTCTTGCCATGCAGCTCCTTTCTGCCGAGGCTGTCAATGTCCCTTCGGTTTGCCCATAATATACGAACCGACGGCCGCTGTTCAGGAGCGGTATTTTGGCTGCCATCTAGGAGTTTATGGACAATCTGCAATGCGGGCGCCACACCGGTGCCGCCAGCCAAGAATACGACATCCTTGGCCTCGCCCATGCGTTTTGAAATGTCAAACCCGTAGTGCGGACCCCGAAGCCACACCTGGTCTCCCACCTGCAGTCTGAACAGGTAGTTGGACATTTCCCCACTGCCCATTTTTCTGATGAGAAAACGCAGTTCCCCGGCATTTTCTTGGGCGTCACTGAGAGGTGGCAAAGGGGTGTAATGCCTTGCGATCTGAAGCTGAGGCTGCTTCATTTCCACGGACCACAGCCCATGCTGCCAGGCTGCCATGATCTTGGGATTATTCTTGGATGCCAAAACATCTGGACACCGAATTGTTATTATGAAAGCCGTGGGCGAGACATGCTCCTTGGCGATTATGTTGAAAGGCGTAAACTTGGTGCTGTTCAACGAGTCGTCTTCAGTTTCTGAGCTGAAGCCATAGTATGCTGCACCGGCAACGAGTGCCGCTGCAACAGACAAGATGACTGGTTTTCGTGACTTGCCGCGTCCCTTGCCGGGTTCACTGTTCAATGTCCTGGAATCTTGCCGTTGTGGCGACCAAGTAGAGAAGCTCAGGTGTGCTGTTGATGCTTGTAAAGGGGCTCGTTGCAACACCAGACTGCTATTGTAGGGCAACCGCAAACTTTGAGATTGCCCGGTCCGGCTTGCTCGTAGGCAGCGAGAGCAGATCTTGGAAGCACTCATCATAGAGTGGTGGAACAAGAATCAAACTCTGTTGAGATATAGGACATTGGTCTATTGCAACAGGCAAGAAAGGAAAAAGAAATTTATATGTAATCGTTCAAGCGTTATTCATATAAGCGGCATAATGCATCTCAGGGTCGTTGAACACGGCGCGACCCCTGGTGCTGCGTCCGTCCACTATGTACCCCGAACCCTTGCCAAGCTCACTCACCTAGCTAGAGCCTACACTACCCACCTTAGCAAGCTAAAATAATTGGTACGTCATGTTTGGCTGGCTGGTATCGTCAAATTAGACAGCTTCGATTAACACTCACTGCGACAATGGGCAGATTTAACGTGCCGTCTTGACACATGATATAAACAATTCCCCTTTTTTGCGAGTTCTCCTTTGGATTCAAAATGTCTCTACGATCGTTGCGGCCGTCGAGCAGCCGCTCGTGGAGAAATGTATTCCGAATCCGCCAGGCCCGCCTCCCGCGACACCTCAACACGGTCGCCAAGTGCCCTTCGCCGACTTGCGGTTGCGCCGAGACACCCGCCATGCCCGAGGGCCTCGATATCGACTACAAGGGGAAACTGAACGGGCTCATAGCAAACTACGCCGAGCAAGTTCTAATCTGTACGGGCAAAGACGACTGGCCCTCGCGCATCGAGGAGGATAATGCCGGCGACAACCTCGCGGCCGATCTAAAGGAGCTGCTCGGGCGTGGCGGCGTATACAGCGATGTGAGTCTTTCTCTTTTGCGTTGTTGCAATGTTCAGCAACGCCCTCTAACAACCCCTCCAAGTGAGATACTGTACAACGGACATTTGGCTGACGGTAAGTGTATTTCTTCTTTCCCTTCCTGTAGCCATTCCACAATGTATCCGTACTCAATTCGTCCTTCCCTTCCTCGATCTCGAACCGTCCGGAAATCCAGACAACCTCCGCCTATCTCCTCCCGAGCTTCAAGTACGTACCCTTTCTGCCGCGCGTCTCGTTCGACTCGGTACAAGCACTTGTTCGCGGGTTCCTCCTACCCGAGAAGCTGCATCCCATGCATGACGGCCTGTCGCCGATACACCGCGACCGGCTGGTGCGAAAGGAGAGGTATCAGCAGCTCTTGTACGGCGTCCGCGACGTGCATGATATTCTTGTGCTCATATGTGGCCACGGCGGACGTGATATGCGCTGCGGCATCATGGGGCCCGTTTTGCAAAAGGAATTCGAGGCCAAACTCCCCAGAGCTGGTTACCAAGTCATGACAGGTCCGCTGATTGACGAGAGCCGCTCCGCTCCGGCTTTGCCTGGAACTACAGATGAGCCACCATCGACGGCCCGAGTGGGCTTGATATCTCACATAGGTGGGCACAAATTTGCTGGCAATATTATCATCTACCTGCCGCCGGCTATGAAGACCAAGGACGGAGAACCGCACCCTCTGGCTGGTCACGGTCTATGGTATGGACGCGTTGAGCCTCAGCATGTCGAGGGCTTGGTTGAAGAGACGATAGTCAAGGGCAACGTGGTGAGCGATCATTTTAGAGGCGGTATCAAGCAGAGCGGTGAGATTATAAGATTATAGAAGAGCCTCTGGCATCCGTAGATCGTGTGCATTATACAGAACACAATCCCACTCTTATCCTTCCTGGAGAACCCAATATTAGACATTGTCGTGAGAACAACACGTGGCACAAAGCATCATGATTTTGTTTTGCGATATATGAAAACAGACCTGCCGTGTCCCTCTCCTCGGATAGTCGCAATGGTAGACCCTGATCCCATTTCAAAGACCTCAGTACCCTCGGCATCCGGCTCATCTCTCCATATCTCAAAAGCAAAGTCCTCGCTGTTACCCAGCGTCGTGGCCATTTTCACAACTCTTTTCGCCTGCTCTAGATCCCCAACCTCGAACAGGACAAATCTGGGTTTGAGCTCCTTTGCAATATCCAAAAGACGTGCGTAAAATACATCCTCCAATGCACATTCTAGAAGCACGGCAGTCGCTTTTAGTCTCTCGTCTGGCACCAAAGCCAATCGCGGCTCAAAGTTGCGCACAGAGCGCCCCGTGTCGCGGTCAAAGCCGCGCGTAGATATGTACGGCGGGTTCGACACCAAAACGTCGACTTGGCCGGAGGGCATCAACAAACCGTCTTGACTGCGGGCCAGGAAATCGTCGGCAAAGATATCCGCCTCGGTAAAGACCACGGCGGCGTTGGCGTTCTCTCTTGGCAAGAGGCCAGCTCGCGTGTTGTCGTCTAGATTGCGCCGCGCCAGCGCCACGGCCGTGGGGCTGATGTCCACGCCGGCGACACGAGGAGGTGGCAGTAGACGCCGCTGGGCGTGCCGGCGCAGGCGCTCGTACAAGAGCAGAGCAATACATCCGGTGCCAGTACACAAATCAAGCACGCCGAGACGGCCCTCGTCGTCGCCCTTGGTGACTAGCTCACCACCACTGGTTTCCTGGTGCCTCTGGGGTGGATGCGGCGACGACGAGGAGTAGTGTCGGGTCAGCAGGTCCGCCAGGTACACCGTGTAGGCCTCGGTCTCGAGCCGGGGCACCAGCACGCCGGGCGCGCAGCGTATTTCCAAGGGGCCGAAGGGCTGTGTGCCCAGGACATACTGCAGAGGTTCGCCGCGGCCGCGACGCGCGCAGAGGTGGGCTACTTTTGCCTCTTGTTCCTCGCGCTTCGACGTGGCGGCGGCCGAGGAGGTGACGGGCACTTTGGCATGGCGAGTGGATGGAAAAGACGACACGTGCTCTCTTATCCAGCGCAGCTCATGCCGCGCAGACTCAATATCCCTGCATGCGGGCAAGAGGATCCTTAGATGGGGAGAGATTCTGTGAGCGCGGTAGAGCAGTCTTGGTGGGAGCCGGGGCATCCGTGAAAATAAGAAAAGGTAGAATAAAAAACAATCAAGACTCCTCGAACCAAATTCGCTGCAGCATTAGAGCCGAGGCGTGGCTATAGTAAGGAGTCAGTACAACAGTCAAAAGATCTTGTGCTGGGGTTTGGTATAAATGCTCACCAGCCGGAGCGGCCCGCTCAAAAATGCATGGATCAGTTCCGCGTTCCTGCATCCTTAGGCTGGTTCCTCGGGTCCGGGGAAACCGATCGGCAGATTGGCATCTTGATTTGGATGTGTTTGGAGTTGTCTGTACTTTTATTATGATTCTTCATGTGCCATGATTCATTTCTATACTAATTTCTCATGTTATAGTTATAAAGCTTCGTCTAAGCACTGAGCTGGGTATCTGTTGTGAGCCATTCAAGACGCCTCCAAAGTCTATCTTTCTATACATATCTACCCTTGTAATTTTACAATACAAAGTTGGCAGTTTGCCCACCTTTGACGACAAAGATCTTTTTCGCTTGTCGTATATCACAATCAGATTTCATGACCTTGCTCTTTGCTTCGTCAGACGCCTTGATCTGGTCGACGAACCAGTCCCGCCACTCGGGGCTGCCTTGCTTGAGCTCAGCTGATGGTTTGTTGACGTGCACGACGCAGCGTAGTTTGCCGTTCACTTGCACGGCACACTTGATGGTACTTTGAGCTAAAAGTTCAAGTGTGCCATCAACCACTGGCCACCTGGCGGATTCGGGACAGAAGATGCTGCCCATTTTGGGGTATAACATCTCCCAGCATTCTTCTGCAACAGCTGGAGTGATGGGCGCAAGCATGGGAAGTAGCTGGCTCACAGACGCAGCCTTGACAGCGTCAGATGCTGCGCTGTTTTCGATAAGCACATTCGTCCACTCCATGATATGAGATACAACCGTGTTCAAGGCGTAAACCTTATCATAGGACTGCGTGATGGCCGCAATTGCTTTCTGGGTTGCCCGCCACACATGAGCATCTGCTTCATGACATGTTGGAGACCCAGACTTCTTTTGAAAGTAATCTTTGGCGTCCCAAGCAGTGTAGACCTCTAGTGGGGGTAGAGTTGCAACAAAACTGTGCAGTCGTTTGAGCCAGCGCGTGACGCCAGCAATCTTGTCTTCATCCCAGTTCACCACATCACTAACTGGTGCCTGGAACAACATATGGGCTCTGGTGGTATCTGCGCCGTACTGGGCAATGAAGGATGTGGGATCGACACCATTGTGTTTCGATTTGGACATCTTTTCAAAGGAAGTATTTGCCGTCTTGCCAGATGCAGTAATTTTGGGGTTGGAAGCATCAGAAAGATCAACTTCGTCTGGCTTCAGGAATCGTCCAGTGTCGGGATCAGTGTATGTTTTTCCGTGCACCATGCCTTGCGTGATGAGCCGCTTAAAGGGCTCAATCAGAGGCAAATCCGCCGCCACTCCAGGGTACAGTACATCCATCAAGGCCTTGAAGATGAAACGGGAATAGAGCAAGTGCAAGATGGCATGCTCAACACCTCCAATATACATGTCCACTGGCAAATATTTCCGCAGTGCTGCTTCGGAGACTGGAAGCTCCGAGTTTCTAGGGTCTGCGAACCTGAGGTAATACCAACTCGAATCAACAAAGGTGTCCATGGTGTCGGTATCTCTCTTTGCTGGTCCGTGGCATTTAGGGCAGCTGGTCTTGACCCATTCCTCAGCGCTCTCGAGCGGATTGCCCGTTCTGCCTTCAGCCCAGTGATGGTCAACCTTGGGCAGAATGACTGGTAAATCAGCATCAGGCACTGGCTGTACGCCGCATTTATTGCAGTGCACCATGGGGATAGGCGTGCCCCAATATCGCTGCCGGCTGATCAACCAATCTCTCAGTTTCCATTTCGTGATTGGTTGTGCTGCTGAAGTTTCCGTCGCAATTTCATGGACAATCTTTTCAGCAGCTTCCTCTGAATTCATTTGTGCATACGACTTGGCAAGTGAAGTCATTTTCCCTTCACCAATGTAAGGTCCGTCAAGACCAGCGGTTGAGCCGTCACTTGCTGGGCTGACTGCGTATTTGATTGGCTCTTCCTTGCGATGTGTCCTCCAAAAGTGATAGTCTCTGAGATCATGAGCTGGTACACCCATGAGGGCTCCGGTTTCATAGTCGCCCCTGACATATGGGGCAACATAGACTGGAATGGACGTTGTCTCTGCTGACCCTGTTGCGTGCTGGGCCAGATCCAAAGGACTTGTCGCAGAGAGGTAGGATATCGGATAGCCTTCCTTAGAGTCATGTGGCAATTCCTTGGCAGTGTCCAGCCAAGCACGCAGCCTTTCGTCCTTTTCAGCAAGGCGCTGTACTAATGTCGAGTGCGGTGACAAGGCAAGATATTGCACAGCAAATAGAGTCTCGGGGCGGGTGGTGTATACCCTTAGCGTCTCTGTTTCAGCACCAGGAAGATTGACGACAAAGTCATAATAAGCAGCTTTCGTCTTGCCGATCCAATGTTTCTGTTGGCTCAGGACGAGATCCGGCCAGGCATCATCTTTAGCCAGTTTGTCTAGATCTTCAAGCAGAGACTCTTTATATTTGGTAATATTCAAGAACCATTGCTCAAGTGAACGCTGTTCAACTATGGCCCCAGATCGCCAGGAGCGACCAGAGGCATCGACCTGCTCATTTGCCAGGACGGTATTCTCGACAGGATCCCAGTTGACTTCGGAACGCTTACGGTCGACAAGCCCCGCCGAGTGGAGGATCAGGAATATCTTTTGAGTCTGCTTGTAGAATTCGGGATCGCAAGTTGCAAATTCCTGGCAGTACATAAAAATATCAGTATACACACGAACTACAATTCCGGGTTCAACTCAGCTCGTCAGACTAACCCTGGACCAATCAAAACTACCATTCATGACGTCTAGTTGTTCCTTCATCCGGGCCATGTTCTCCCTTGTCCACTCGCCAGGCTCCACGCCTCGCTCGATGGCGGCGTTTTCAGCAGGCAGTCCAAATGCGTCCCAGCCCATTGGTGAGAGCACCTCCTTGCCTTGCAACCTGTGATACCGGGCCATGACATCGACGATGGTGTAGACTCGTAGGTGGCCAAGGTGCAACTTTCCTGACGGGTAGGGGAACATGGACAAGATGTACATGTTGTCCTTCTCAGGGCTCGCGGAAGCCGTGTTGTCTTTGGCAACTGCCCCCTGGGCGCTCTGAAGAGAGCCATTCTTCTTCCATGTTTCTCGCCATTTCTGATCAAGGGCGGTCAGGTTCAATGGAGCTCGGTCGGTGCGTTTTGGACTTGTTCGCGCAGAGTAGTGTCGGACTGAAGCGGTACAAGCACGCAGGACTCCTACGCGAAGCCCTAGGCGGGCTGGAGATTGAAGCAAGAGAGATCGCATTGCACAGACCTCATAGTATCCTGCTATACAAAAGCTATCGCTGACAAACCTGGGAGCGAACCTGCATATCTTGGCTCGGTGATGGGCAATGTGTTGACACGACTAGGTACACACGTATCGCACGATGCTTCACAATGCATTGCCGTAGCTAATAAAGCTGCTGCTGCAAAAGCTCTACTTATTGCTAGCTAGTAGGTAGCTTTAGCGGCGGCAGCTCCAAAACTTTTTTTTTTTCTTTTGTTCTTGGCCAGCCCTGGGTAGCTCGCATGAATTGAAACCAAACAGCCCACGCACGCGCCTTGGCCACCAAGAAAACATGCTAGGGGTCTGGTAACTGTGTAAGCCTTGTAATCCGGGGTTGTGGATAATGTTCCTGACGTTCTGGATATCCAACGGTGGTTCTGTATAATAGAAAGTCTTGAAGAATGGGAATGTACATCTAGTCCAACTTGCTCTTTTAAAGTTGCTTCGACAATTTGAATTACAGCTCGCATTCGTCGCAATCATATCCGCAAAGTGTTCTTACTTGTTTTCTGGAAGGTCGTAACCTCAGTGGCTTGCTTGCTGCAGCGGCAATCTAGGATATGGTACCTAGAACTACATAACTACTACCACCTACATGAGCCGAAACCTTTTGAACCCCCTTTACTGGGCAGAGCCCGGCAGCAGGTGCACGGACACCCATTTCCAACCAAGAAAGGGAGCCGCAGTTCTAACAAACCGCCAAACCAAGGCCCAGCCCAGTGCCCATGTGGTTGGCTTCAATCAAACAAGAAACACTCCATAACTTAAAGCACTACCATTGTCCTTCTTTTTTAAGTTTTATTCTTCAAGTCTGTACGTGACGCCACCTTGCAGATATTATATACTCGACAGCATCTGCGTTAATATACTCCAATTCGGTGCCGACGACTTTGCGATCACGACTTGCAACCCTAAGCTATTCGTTGCAACGACGTAGCACATGCGATTCGGCAGTCGACACCAGACATTCTCTCGCACTCCAAGGCGCAACTCGACGAAACCACCCACGGCCCAGGTCTTCTGCTGCTGCGTAGCGCAAGCTGATACTTTTGACTGCCTTAATCTTGTTCTCAAGCATATGGCGTAAAAGACTCGACACAGCTGCATCTTCCAAGTATTAAAGCTAGTTGGAGGAGGGACCAGAATACACCGCCGTGCTTGTTTGCGACAATGCCGCCCAATTACTCTGCAGGCCTTCAACCACACGCCAGGGACTCGCTCGAGTTGGCTTCGTTGGCATCCTCGAGTCAACGTGGTCACGACGACACATATTCCGATACCGATTCGAGGCCGTCCATTTCCTCGTCGCGGAAACTGTCCCTCGAGCAAGATGACCCATTAGACGACAACAACCCCGCTGTCCGACCCGGCCAAGGCTACGGCCATGGCAGGACATACTCGAATGCCTCGAACTTCGACTACACTGCCAACCTCTTTCCCTTGTCATCCTCGGCCGGGAACGGATATGCGCCGCTGGGTGCGCCTACGTCAACAGGGCTACAGGGAGGTGGCTTGGGAGGAACATCGTTGGAGAAGCACAAGACCTTGACCTACATGAATGGCTTGGGCCTTGTCGTTGGTCTGATCATTGGCTCCGGCATATTTTCTTCGCCGAGCCAGGTCAATACCAATGTTGGCTCGCCTGGCGCAGCGCTCATTGTTTGGGTGATAGCAGGTGTCCTGGCATGGACTGGAGCTGCGAGTTATGCAGAGCTGGGCGCTTCCATCCCCCTCAACGGAGGACCTCAGGCATACCTCAGCAAGATCTTGGGAGAGTTGTCGGGCTTTCTCTTTACATGGGTTGCCGTTCTCGTACTTAAACCTGGAAGCGCCGCTATCATCGCCATCATCATGGGCGAGTACCTGGTTCGTGCTGCCATTGGGGCCGAAGCCGAGACCATCAATCCCTGGATCATGAAGGCTGTGGCGCTGGTGGGACTTTTTGCCGTGACTTTCATCAACGCCCTCTCTACACGTCTAGGAACTCGGCTCAACGATATGCTCATGTTTCTCAAATTTTTTGCCTTGATCGGTGTCACCATTGTCGGAATAGTCGTGGCTTTAACTGGCTTTTCTGTTACCGGAACGGCAAACAATGAATGGAAGGCCCACTCGTGGTTTGAAGGAACAACCACAGATGTTAGCAGATGGGCAGTGGCAATCTATGCTGGCTTGTGGGCCTTTGACGGCTGGGACAATGTGAGTATTGCAAACCAGGCATTGAACCGTACCCGTGAGGAAGACTAACCAGATAATCAGACCAATTACGTTGTGGGAGAGTTCCGCAACCCTGGACGTGATCTACCGCGTGTCATTCATACAGCCATGCCACTGGTTATCGCGAGCTACCTGTTGGCCAATGTAGCCTACTTTTTTGTTCTCCCGACGAAAGTAATCAATTCGACGAATACTGTTGCCGTCATGTTTGGTGGAAAGGTTTTTGGGCCAATTGGCGCGCTTGTCCTTTCCATTGTCGTGAGCGCTTCCTGTTTTGGAGCCCTTAATTCATCGACCTTTACGAGCAGTCGTCTTGTATACGCGGCTGGCAAGGAGGGCTATTTTCCAGCCGTCTTTGGGCGCATTGGTGTAGGCTCCACGGACCCTGGGCTTTCCTCTACACGGACGAGAAACTGGTTTTCCAAGAAGCTCCACAGTATGCTCAGCGATGAGGAGACTGGTCTCTTCTTTACTCCTGTCAATGCCATAGTCCTCAACGGCGCATTGACGGTTGCCTATGTGATTGTCGGCGAATTTGGCGAGCTTATTACGTTTTACGGAGTCGCTGGATACACGTTTTATTTCTTGACCGTTCTGGGACTCATCATCCTGCGGGTCAAGGAACCGAACCTGGAACGGCCCTACAAGACGTGGATTACCACACCCATCATCTTTTGCTGCGTGAGCTTGTTTCTACTGAGTAGAGCTGTGTTTGCGCAGCCACTGCAGACATTGATTGTCATTGCTTTTGTTCTCGTTGGCATTCCTGTGTATTTCTGGAGAATACATGGAAGGGATCAGGTGACGAAACGCGACATTGGGGGCACATCTAGGCATGGCTGGAAGTTTTGGAAGCGGTGGGCGAACTAGAGTCCCACGTCAGACTGGACGATTACCATGAACTGCATTGAAAGGCGTTGCATTTGCCATGATGGGATCATTGGCGGCGTACAGGACAGCCTGAGTTGGAAAGATACCAACATAAACGATATTATAGTACATAAAATGTAGCGACGATAAGTATTTTTAATACTAGAAAAAGGCTGTAGGTCTGCTTGATGAATCAGAAAGCCGTATTATTCAACCTGACTATGGTTTGTCTGTGCTGGCCATGGTTGTTTGGACCGACGCATAGATACCTTGGTTGTGGTACCTGCAAAGCTGTTTTATTGCGGAGCGGACTGCCCATCGTGTGAAGTGTCTAGTTTATCAGAAATCCAGGGTAGAAATATAGTCTACAAGGAAGTTGGTGGTCCAATCCATGTTTTGGATAGAAATAAACAAAAATGCCACATGAATGGGCATGATTTTTGCGCTACGGCGCGGGTGGCAAGCCGTTGGGAATGACCCGACTCACAAGTCCGGTAGTCGGCGGGACTATGCCTCCACTCAGCACCGGGCGCGGCGATGGCATCATATCGCGCAACCCAGATGAGAGCTTCTCTCTCACTCCACCATCTTACGATGCAATTCGGCGAGTGACCAACAAGTTAAGTGGGCGGGCTGGTGCTTTTGAGATTTTATCGTACCTGCTTCTTGCAATCTCTTGAGCATTTCGTCTCCTTTCTCATCATTGACGCCACTATTCGGAAATTCATCTCAAGAGGCGTCGCCCGCACTGTCCAAAAGCAAGTCTTTTGGAAACGGTCTGTTACAATGGGCTCCGTGGACGCCGGGACACACGGGGCGTTTGACGTCAAGTCCGTTGCCGTGATCGGGGCCGGCCCATGCGGCCTCGCCGCGGCCAAGTACCTCAAATGGCAGCCGCCGTCGTCGTCGTCATCATCACGGGCAGCATCTGGGTCCTATTTTGACAAGATCACCGTATTTGAACAGCAACCCCGCGTTGGCGGTGTCTGGTTGTACTCGGCCACGCCGCCGTCGCCGTCGCCGATCCCGCAGACTTCGGCGCATGCACCCCCGGACCCTCCCGTGTATAATGGCGAAAAGGGTGATGCTGCTTCTGCACCCATCTTTCCGAGTCCCATGTACGATAGGCTCAACACCAATATTCCACATACCCTGATGCAATACTCGGATTTCCCGTTCACGGACGAACAAGGCCAAACGGCCGAGCAGGGCGGAGACCTGCGCATCTTTCCCGAGCGCCAAGTCGTGCTGCGGTATCTGGACGAGTATACGGATCAGGCCCAGATACGCCCACTAATTCGGTTCTCGACCAGCGTGCTCAAGGTCAGACTGCGCAAAACGGCGGTCCAAGACTCTGGTGCTGGTGAAGCAGCAGCAGTAGCAGCCAGACAGCAAAAGGACCAATGGGATATCACATCCCGCAATCTGCTCACGGGCCACGAACAAACCGAAACGTACGACGCCGTCGTCGTCGCGGGCGGCCACTACAACACAACGTATGTGCCCGACGTCGAGGGCATCGCGGCCTTTGACCAGGAGCACCGGGGCGTCATCTCCCACGCCAAGACGTTTCGCTCTCCGGGCGCCTTTGCCGACAAAAAGGTCATGGTGGTCGGCAACTCGGCGTCGGGTCTCGACATTGCCGCGCAGATCAACGCGGTGAGTAGAGGTCCCGTGCTGGTCTCGGTGCAGACCCCCACGTCGGACGAGGCGCGGCGCCACGCTGGGTTCGACGAGGTGGCGGAGATTGCGCGGTTCCTGCCTGGACCCCGGAGGGCGGTGCTGCTCAAGGACGGGCGCGAGGTGGAGGATCTAGACGCCATATTATTCTGCACGGGATACCTATTCACGTTTCCCTTTTTCGAGGGCAAAGACGGTTTCCTTGGGGCCTCCACCGCAGAGGCAACTGAATCCGACAACCACAGCAACAACAAGAGTAGTGATCCCCCTCCTCCACCGCTCATCACCGACGGCAGACGAGTCCACGGGCTCTGGAAGCACTTTCTGCACATTCGCCACCCGACGCTCGCGTTCCCGGGCCTGCCCATCAAGGTGATCCCGTTTCCCCTGTCCGAGTCGCAGGCGGCCGTCTTTGCCCGGGCGTGGGCCAATGCGCTCGCGCTCCCGCCGGCGTCCGAGATGCGCGACTGGGAGAGGCGCGAGGAGGCCGAGCGCTCGCCGCACAAGTACCACGTGTTTCCCGCGCTCGGCGACGCCAGGTACATTAATGGTATCCACGACTGGCTCCGGCAGGAACAACAACAAGGTGGTGGCTGCCAGGGTAAAGAGCCGCCGTACTGGTCGCCTGAAATGTTTTGGCAGAGGGGCGTGTACGCGCAGGCGCGGATCAAGTTTGAGCAGGACGGTCGCAAGGCGACGACGCTCGCGGAGCTCGGGTTTGTATATGAGCCTGAGAAGGAAGAGGATGGATCAAGTCAAGTTGCAGTCCAGCCCGAGGCTGTGAATACAGAGCCGGGATTAGACATTGCTGGATAGGAGGAAGTAAGTCAAGATTCTAGATTACATGGCTCTGTTGACTTTGATCTCCCCAAAGTCCAGAGTCTTGGTTTCACGTCATTAGTCAGACCATGGCAAGCCTTCTTGAGCACATTCTAGATAATCTTTCACCAAAGCATATGAATCCGCATCAGGCTTGTCATTGTTCTAGTATTATTCCATTATGATATACTACTAATCATTATTTTGACGAGATAAACCATTACTCATCATCATCATCGAGCACGCGGGTATGTAAATATATGTACGTCTGCCCCCAGGCATTGGTGCCTTTCATGTCTTTTGTCCTTTTAACGCTCAACTTCATTAATGAGACTGGTAAAGCTTTTACAGCTCCTCCATTTTTAACCCCAAATGTCTCCAGTCAGGTTGGTGGCAAGGTAGTCGGCATCCTGGACAACATAGTCATTGAGCTGGGCCTCAATGTCGGCATCCGTCATGTCGCTGTTGTCGGTGTCATCTCTCTTCCTGAGCGGGGTGCCATCGGGACTGCATCCGCTAATGTCGCCAAAATAATAGCCGTGTGCAGTCGTGTCGAAACCAGTGGTGCCGGCGTTGCAGGAGAGGCTGGCGTAGCCCTCGCACACTTTAATGTCGCTAGCAGTGTATTCGGTCGTGTTGGCGGTACCGTCCGACAGCCAGTACTCGGGCGAAGTGTGGCGGTAGTTGAGGATGATCGGGGGCAGACGGGGCACCGGGTCGTCGAGATGGGTGACGCGGTACTCGGCGCCAGCCTGGTCCGTCACATAGGCAACAAAGGCCCTGTTGCCGACACGGGGGCTGCCGTAGGTGTAAATGTCGATCGAGTAGCCATCCTTGCGAGTGTAAGCTGCACCAACAGTGGCGACGGCGGCGCCCAGGGAGTGGCCAGTAAAGACAATGCTGTATGATGGGTTGGCCGTCTTTGCCGCGCTCACAGCGGCAGTAATGACATCTTTAACCTCGAGCCATGCGGCATAGAAGCCAGTGTGGAGCAAACAGCCGGTGGTGATATCACACAACTCCTGAACGAAAACCAAGCTGTGAGGTTTGTCAGTTTCATGTTTTGTGTGGAAGTGGATTGGTTTCGTTTCACTTACTCGGTAATCCAGTTTCGTACAGAGTGCGAGCCGCGGAACGAAACCACAATGACCTCATTCGTGGCATCGGTAGACACGAATCCTTGAATATCGGTAGCATCACCGCTGAGCAGAGGTTAGCGAAGAGGTAAGAAGGATCAGTGACCGAGGAGTGCTCACGCAAAGGTGGCAGTCACCGTGGCGCCGGCGGCAGTGACGTTTGAGCAAACACCATCAATACATGTAACGACGGTGCCGACATCGTCCTCAGTGTTACAGTAGGCTGCCGCAGCATACTCGGCATACAAGTCAAAGGACGAAACCTCGGAAGCAGTGACGGTAGTAGCTATGAACAGTAAGCTTCCGGAGCAAATAGGACTGAAACAAGTGACAAGAGCAATATACCTCTGTTCAGATACAGCTTCATCTCATCCGGAATGGGGCCGGCAGAGGCTCCGAGAGCCAAGCTCGCGATGTAAGTCCAAGTAAATGGCTTCATCGTGGTGGATGCTGCAACAAGGACCGAGTGGAGAGAGAAGGAGGGAAAAAGCAGCGAGAGGCGCAAGTAACAGCGCGGCTAGGGCTGAGAAATGATGGGCCTTTTCCCCAGGAGCTTTTATCTATACCGAACAGTGGTGAAAGGTCCTCAAGGAAAGCAACCGGGGAGCATCGTATCCATCACGTTGGACAGCGGCGAGCAGACCCGGGCTATATAGTAGCAATAATAAGAGAACGCTCGGGAGGTCCGGTCGCTCACCACGCGCAGGAATCTGCGTGTCGTCTCCATTGATTGGGGTAAGGGAAGGGACTATCACCATACTCATGGATCCCTGAGAGCTCGCTGGGGCTGGGACCAGGACATGGGGTCCAAAAATTGTCGAGGACTAGCACCAAGTGTCTGTTCTGATGGGGGGGACTGAAGTCGGGGGTTTCGGTATGTACATAGGTAGTAGTATGGCATTTACCCATGCATTCCTGCGAGCATTGGAGATGGGGGGCCCAATCTGTTCCTGGAATAGTGGAGTTTGTGTGTACAAGAGTATAGTCAGTTCAAAAGGAGACTGACATTGGCCTGTACTAGTAGCACCCATGGGACTGATGAGTGCATGACCCTTTCATCTGAGGCCATTGTAGGTCAACGTCGCGGATCGGGTGGCTTAGAGCGCGCAACGGCGAATAATCAGTCAAGGTTTGACAGGGTGTGCCGCCTTTTACCAGCAGCGAGTGCGGCAATCTCAATCCGACCAGCGGGCATTATTACATAGTACAGCATACCTCGTAAGCAGCAACACCCATGTGTAGATGAGGCACTTCATAGCCTACCTGACTTACCACCCAACCACCAATACGGGTGGTATACCCCTGGGCCCGGGCGTCTTTGATACCTACCCTACCTTACCTGCTGTGTGTACCGGGCCTACCTTATTACTCTCCGCATGTACCTACGGCAGCTTCCACCTGTGCTGGGTTCGCAGCCCACTGTACATTAGCAGCCACACACACACCTCGTGGCATAGATGAAGCGGCCACGGTCCGCACAGAGCATCAGCTGGCTGGGGGGAAACCGGCGTTGGCTTCCACATTTAGACAGGACAACCTCACGACTGATGGCAGGCTGACGGATAGCCTACTCAATTTTCCCCCGGGCTATTGCGTCGTGAATGATTTGACACGGATAATAAATGCGAATTTGGTCCAGCGTTGCGTCGAGGTTGACGACGCCTGCCCGTAACCCAACGATCAAGGTTTTTGGCGCTTTCCCCAGATTCCTGGAGGTTACATTCACAGGCCAATAGTTCCCAGCACCCTGCGGCTCTAAGCTGGCTAACGGACGCTATCACGGTGGCTAGAAGAGAATTGTTGGTATGCGCCGTCTTTTGGCCGTCGCTAGGGCCAAAAAAGAGCCATTGGCAGACGTAGGTGGCTCGGGGTGGCATCTGTGCCAAATGCACGACATTGCCAATTCACTGGCTCACTGGCGCTCGAGACATGGCACCGGCGACAAAACAGACAAGATCTGCACGAATATCTGAGTGACAAGTGGGGCGATACGCGCTGTGGATGCCAATATTCTGCTATCAGTGTGCATTTGAGCCTCGGTCGAGGACGACTTTGACGCAGCCTACTTTCGCGCAGGTGCCTGGTGCATTGGCAGGCAGGCAGGTCTGCAGGTCTGAAGCTGAACTACAGCTGAGGGACTGGGGGTCCAGCAGCAGCAGCGGCAACGGCAGATCGTCATCGCCTTACTTTCAAGTCATTGGGATGGGGATATTTGTGTATTTCCCGACAGATTCCCGCTGACGATATGGAGATGCAAGACGGTATACTACTAGCAGTCCGTGTGGAGGCCCAAGGAGGTTGGGTCTGTGACTTGTAAATGGCCTCAAAACGGTTGTTTTTGCGACGCCCTTTCTGCATCGAGCAAGGCTAGATGTAAAACACCGCACGCTATGCAAAGATTCCTGCACGTTATGCAAATAGCTCAGAAACCACGTGAGCTTCTTGGTCTATCGTGCATACAGTATTTACTTCGTACACGATATTGTACGAAGGTACCAAGGAGGATCCAGCAGAGGAATGGGGGTTTTGGTTAGTGTGAGTGGTGGTGGCCTTGGTTCGCATGATTCGTATTCGGAGGTGGGAATAAGGTCCAAAATCGACTCCGTGCAATTCTCCGACGAAAAGAAATGTTGGTATGTACTCCAGACCCTGGCGTATGATGTAGGTACCAAATAAGTGGTCTTGCTTCAGCTATGCAGTCAAAGCCTCGCGACCGAACTTCGGATATTAGCAAGAAGCATAACAAAATTCGACGCTCCATACAATGCAAAATACACGCTGCATATCAGTCCTCGATAATGCGGCGAAATTGTATGCCTCGTGGCCCTGATTATAGTGCGTGCGCATGACCACTCAGATTGGCTACGCAGGCAGGCCGGCGAAAAAAAAAGAGATGTGGAGGAATCGTGTATCCATGGTTCAAATGCACGGATCGGCAGGAATTCAATGCTTGCTGCGAATAAACGCCCGTGGACTGACCACTCGCGGGACCTGGGACCATATCCTGGATGCTTGGTAAATCCGTCGCTGGTAATGCTTGAATATGTCAGCGGCAGAGATGAGATTGGATCTGGATTGTTCTGGATTCCTGTGCAGAGTATCGTGTATAGTCCGTTCAAGAACCATTGTCCCTAGGTACCACCTGCATGCAGTTCCCAAGCCCACCGTGAATCAAACCTGACAGCCAGCCACGTGCTCGGTCTCTTCTCGCCGACTGACGAATAATACTGTATTGTGATCTATCCCATCACCTTAGCAGTCACTTACTGCCAACACTACCTTGTCAATAGTACCCCCAAGGTAGGTCGGCAGCGAGGAAATCTTTCTTTCTTTCTTCCAAGTCGCCAAGCTCCCCCCAGGAGAATCGCAATCTCATGAAACAGATGCCCTTCTGGGTATAGACTGAACACTCTTCAGTGGAGTCAAGGGCCACAAAGTCCAGGGTTCATCAGTGGGAAAACTGCCTGCCCCCTGGTTCGCAGTTCCTTTTCTGGCTTTTGCAGCACTAAAAAAGGCGACAGAGGGCCTAAAATGGCCAACGACGTAGCTCCGGGAAGGGGATCTCTTTGCGGTCAGGATTATCCCCGATCCATTGCCTCTTGCTGAGATCTACCGGAACGGTGGAAGAAGCAGGGGAACATTGTGCCCAGTCATTTCAGAGCACCTCGGCCTCCGCATTGCTTAGCGAGCCCGACTTTTTTCTTTTTTTGTTGAGAATCATGTCTGACTAAAATCTGTCAAAGAGTTCAAGGCCATGTGCACTGCCTGGCGACTAACACTGCTAATAACTAGGTACCATCGTGGGGTCTGTGCTGTTGTTCTGGTTCTCGAAGCTCCTCGATGATCACGCTGGATCATCCCTCACTCGTGCGACTGGACGCGCAACACGTGCCTGAACGGAATTGCTCCCTTTTTCTTTAGTGGATAGATCATTTCGACTGGCGACAGTAGGGAGACGTGAATGAGCTTGTGGTAATACCAAGATGAGGGAGGCCCCTTTGAATGTCGACTACCATGTATGCTATAATTTGCGTGTTGTCAACGACGTTTGACGTTTGAGCTGAACGGAGCTGAGCTAGAAGGAGGAGCGAAGGAACCTGGCTGCTAGCAGGGAAAAGAAGAAGAGAACGAACAAGGCCCCAAGACAAAACCTAACAGTACATTACTGCCTACCAAGACTAGATTCAACGGTCGCTGGTGCGGCAAGCGGCAGCAGTAGCGGTAGCGGTACCCGCTTAACCGTCTCGCTTAGGGAGATGGAGATGCGAGAGATGCAAAATCCTCGCTACGGTACCTACTGTGTAGAATAATAATTAACTCACGAGTCACAACATACCAACTACCATTTCTCCGTCCGGGGCAATCGAGTGCCGAACACCATGGCGCTGCAACCTGCCTTGTCGGATCTCGAATACCCAACAAGCAAGCCTGGCAAGCCCTGTACGTACGTGGTGGTTATTTATTGATCTTTAGCACCGGACCAGGGCCCCCCAGAATTGTCATCGTTGCGAATATCTTTGCGAAAAAGTTTGTCATCAGGATACTACCCTCCCCTCACCAGAAAAGATCACAAGGCACCAAACCTTGCCAAAAACTTGCCTACCACTCGATTTCTTTGGTCCAGTAGCGCTTTGCGCTGCCGTGCCCCCCAGCTTGGTCACACGCCCAAACTACAGGGCAGCTTGTGACGAACACAACGTCAATCTGGTACGGACAGCGCAGTACATACGCCCAGCAAAGCTCTCCCGTGTGTGCCGTTTTGGAAGAATGATGCATCCGCGAATGACTGCATGAGCCGCGCAAATGTGCCAGAGCCGATGATCCGGCCTCCTCTCACCTCGCACTACTTGTTTCTTCTTCTTCTACTACCAGTTCGATACGTGGAGCTGGTGTTTTCCAATGTGGCATTGCTTTGACATATGAATCCTGACAGCCCGTCCAATCTACTCAGTTGTATTGAGACTTCCGCCAATGAAACTGCTTGCCCAGCCCTGGGCTGGACTGCATATGGCAGCTCTACCGAGTTTGACTGCAACTCTATGGCTTTGCGTAGGCAGGCAGGTAACTATTTATCTATCAGCTCAAGGTTCACTGATAAGATATGTCATGCGAAGCCAATAGCCGAATTTATTTCCGACATCCGTCAAGCTCATGAAGATGATATCTTTGAAGGTGGTGTCCTGCAGAACCAGACGTGTCCTAGATGGAATGTCAAAGTCAGCGACACCAGGCGCGTATGGCGCCCCCAAACTTGGCTGAGCAATGGACAAGGGCAACAGACCAATATTTCCAGACTTTACCCTCACGGAATATTCAGCTGAATGGAAAGAAAAGGACAAGAAAAAAAAAAGGACCAAATCTCAATTGCGGCAGATCTTTTATGCATAGCCCGATCGGTTTCCGGTTCGCTTAAGGTTAATAGTCCATTTTGCCCGCTGTCTACCCACATTCCCCTTTCCCATGTTTCCCAGATTGGAACTTGATGATGATGATCTGCAGGTATCTGCCAGGCCAAGTCGTCCTAAGATACCAGCATTCGCCCACGTAATTCGTCGTTGCTGCATATGGCGGCCTGAGCAGGCCTGCCAAGCTGGGTTGAATCCTGTCTCTGTTACCCTGCTCTGCAAGTCGCTATCTCGTCTTTGGTAACGCGCTGCCTTGTCTGTCAATGATATCATGTGCTCGTGGCAGCAGCAGCAACAGAAGAAGGTTAGGACAACTCTCCAGAGGTACTATACCCTCACCTCCAGTCCCATCGCTTAGCTTATATCCATCCCGAGTCCGCCAATGGGAGCCATCATGTGCCTGAATACTCGTGCATTCTTTCCTTCTCTAGTCGTCGTATGAGTTCACGAGACCGTCCCCAGCCTTACCCATAAAGGCTCGAGGCATCCTTTACCCGGAACCCGCGTGTTCCATCTCTAGCTCCCTCTACCCTTCTTTTTCCTATCCTTCCCAACCGCCAATCAGACGTAGCAATGGTGGTTTTGAGCGCCGATTTGCCTGCGGGCCTGCGCATGCTCTCTTTGCTGGCTCTGTCCAATCTAGCCGGCCTGTCCTCCGGTGCTGCAATATTGCCCCGGGATGACGTGCCCGCCGGATACGTCGCTGCCCCGTATTACCCTACTCCGTATGGCGGATGGGATGATGATTGGGCGGATGCCTATACAAAGGCGGCCGATCTAGTCTCGCAAATGACGTTGGCTGAAAAGACCAACATCTCGAGCGGTACCGGTTTCTTCATGGGGTGCGCCTATATCTCGCTGATCAAAGTTGCGTTTTGTTTTCAGTATATATACTAACCATCTATCAGACCATGTGTCGGCAATACGGGCAGTGCGTTGCGTCTTGGCTTCCCTCAACTTTGTCTCCAAGACGGTCCTCTGGGAGTGCGCACCACAGATAACATCACAGCTTTCCCCGCTGGTATAACAACCGGCGCGACATGGAACAAGCAGCTGATGTATGAGAGGGGAGTTGCGCTTGGACAGGAGTTCAAAGGCAAGGGCGCCAACTTCTATCTTGGCCCATCCGTTGGTCCCTTGGGCCGGAAACCGAGAGGCGGCAGAAACTGGGAAGGCTTCGGCGCCGATCCAGTCCTACAAGGTATCGCCGGAGCGCAGACGATCAAGGGTGTTCAGGAGCAAGGCGTTATTGCCACGCTCAAGCATGCTATCGGCAACGAGCAGGAGGAGTATCGCATGTACAGCGTCATTCAAGCTGGATACAGTTCCAATATTGATGACCGCACCCTCCACGAGCTCTATCTCTGGCCATTTGCCGATGGCGTCCACGCCGGGACTGGTGCTTTGATGACTTCGTACAATGCGGTCAACGGTTCCGCCGACTCGCAAAATGCATATCTCATCAACGGGCTTCTCAAGGATGAGCTTGGTTTCCAGGGTATTGTCATGACCGATTGGCTCGCGCATCTTTCTGGTGTCTCTTCTGCCCTAGCTGGTCTCGACATGAACATGCCTGGAGACACTTTGATTCCCATTGTGTTAGGAACCAGTTACTGGATGTATGAGCTGACCCGATCCGCGCTCAACGGTTCCGTCCCCATGGATCGCATCAATGATATGGCCACCCGCATTGTTGCTACATGGTACAAGCTCGGTCAGGATCAGGACTACCCACCACCCAACTTTTCATCCAACACGCGCGACCGTGAAGGACCATGCTACCCCAGTGCTCTCATCTCGCCGACTTGCGTTGTCAACCAGTACGTGAATGTACAGGCCGACCACGCAACTGTCGCAAAAGCTGTGGCACAGGAAGCTATTACACTGCTCAAGAACAATGGCTCTTTCCTGCCCATCTCCACGTCTGTGCCTTTGAGCGTATTTGGAACCGATGCGCAGACGGATCCCGCGGGTGCCAACTCTTGCACCGACAAGAGCTGTAACCGTGGACTGCTTGGTATGGGCTGGGGATCTGGAAGCGCCGACTATCCTTATCTCGATGACCCCATCTCATCGTTGAAGCGCAAGGCCGGTAATGTCACCTACTATGATAGTGACACGTTCCCGTCATCCATCCCCACTCCAGGGGCCAACGATGTCGCTATTGTCTTTATCAACTCGGACTCTGGTGAGAACTCGTACACTGTCGAGGGCAACCACGGTGATAGAGACGCCAGCGGTCTGTCCGCCTGGCACAATGGAGACGCTCTGGTCAAGGCCGCAGCTGCCAAGTACTCCAACGTTGTGGTTGTCATTCACACTGTCGGGCCGCTGGTTCTCGAACCCTGGATCGACCTCCCCTCTGTCAAGTCCGTTCTGGTTGCTCACCTCCCTGGCCAAGAGGCCGGCGACTCCCTCACCGAAATCATCTTTGGCGAGGCCACGCCGTCGGGACACTTGCCTTATAGCATTCCCAAGTCCGAGGACGACTATCCATCCAGCACGGACCTGATCACGTTTGAATTCCTCGGCCAAGCCCAGGACACGTATACCGAGGGTCTCTACATTGACTACCGCTACCTCAACAAGAACGGCAAGACGCCGCGCTACGCCTTTGGCCACGGCCTGTCCTACACAACCTTTGCGCTGTCGTCGGTCTCGCTGACGTCGGTCACGGAGCTGACGACGCTGCCGCCAACGCGCCCGGCCAAGTCCACCTCGGTCGTCGCGTCGCTGAACCAGACCATCCCCGCCGCCAGCGAGGCCTACTACCCGTCGGGCTTTAACCGCATATGGCGATACCTGTACTCGTGGCTGGACTCGGGCGAGGCCGATGCCGCCTACGCCGCCGGCCAGTCGGGCACCGAGTACGCCTACCCGGCGGGCTACTCTGAGACGCAGAAGGCGGGTCCGCCCGCCGGCGGTCCCAGCGGCGGCAACCCGGCCCTGTGGGACGTGGCCTACACCATCTCGGCCACGGTGCGCAACACGGGCGCCTCGCACGCCGGCAAGGCCGTCGTCCAGGCCTATGTGCAGTATCCCAGCGGCTCGGCCTATGACACCCCCGTGATTCAGCTGCGCGACTTTATCAAGACGGACAGCCTGGCCACCTCGTCGTCGTCGACGGTCGAGCTCAGCCTCACGCGCCGCGACCTCAGCGTCTGGGACACGACGCTGCAGAACTGGGTCGTGCCGGCCGGCGAGTTCAAGATCTGGCTCGGCCAGGCCAGCGATGATCTCGGCTGGGTCTGTTCCACTAGCACGGGTGCGTGTCAAGAGTCGGACGCTGGACCTGTATGATTAAGAAATCCAGTCATGCTTGAATGAATCGTTTTTTATTGTTGTCTTGTCGCCCCTTTTTGCCTGGTGTGATTTTTTAGTCGAGATCTTCTTCTCATTATTTCAAAGCATGGGGAGTCATTACTTGATTATTTTTTTGCATGTTTTCTGAGCAAGCGGACCTCCCAAGCGAGGACCATTTGAATACTTAGCGAGAGGCACAGCACAGTCTATAGTGCATATAATTAATATCATGACATACTCTCATCTCCACTAATAATCTCGGCTATAGCCGCCACTCTGCAACAATTTGCAGGCACCGTTACTTTTGACTTATTTCGTGATATGACGACTTCGCTTCGTATAGGGCGAATCCGGTATTCTGTTCGTCAAGTCTGTCGCTTGGCCACTTTTTTTCTTCCTTCCTCAATGGAAAAGATGCCATCAAGTACAGACATTGCAGGCAATACTAAAAGTTACAAAAATCGTTTCACTAGTATAGAAGTCACATTCAAAATCGAATACCGGATTTTGCTTTTCTACTTTAAACACCGCACACCAAAATGAAGCAGTAATGAAAAGGGTATCATGGGAAACACCATGTGCATGGCTGATTTGGTGCTGAGGAGAAAAAAAGACTTTCCGCTTTCGATAAAAACAAGGCGTTATTCTAATTATTCTCCATATCCAGGACGAGGCGTTTTGTAGCATCTGCCTCTACCCATTCGCATATCAATTCGCCCACGTCACCCACCAGCTTCTCATAATGGGGACCAGCGAAAAAGATACCAGTATGAGCGGCAACTTCATCGACGTCTTTCATAAAGACTCTGATCCATTTGGGGTCCATCTGTCCATTGACCTTGGAGGGACAAGTACAAAATTTTCGGTCTTTTGGAGGCTTCTCTGGCTTCTCTGGCTTTTTTGTGCCTTCTTGAGATCTTCTTTGTATTGTCAAACTGTCTCGACCCGCATCGTTCGAGGGTGACGCCGGCCTGAGCTCATCGAAATGCACGTGTGATGGACTATGCTCGTTGTTGTTTCCAAGGTTCGAAGCAGCCTCTACTGGAGTATCATGCCCTGTTGTCGTTCCAGCACCCTGTTCCGAGGTGTCGGGATGTTCTTCAGCTTGGGGGTTATGTTGGTTTTCGGCACCTACACTTGCAGCGGCGTCTGCCAGCGCACCCTGCTTATCTTTAGCTTCCTTTTGCCCAGCCTGTAGTTTTGCTCGCATTTTGTGTATAGCTTTGTTGCGCTGTGTCTCGGCTGCACGCCAACTCTTCATTTGTTTCTCATAGTCCTTATTGCGCCGCTTCATTTCCTTCTCGACATATTTACGAATATCCTTGTTTGAGGCATCGTAGCTTTTGAGCTCATCGGGTTTCTGAGGCTCGTCCGGCAAAGGAGGAAGTCCATCAATGAACTCCTGTAATGCAGCTTCAACCGTGAATTCGGCGTTAGGAGGCAAGTCTTCCCTGAATCTACCAGTCTCGGCTCTCCTTGGTGCAGTAAACCTTGGCATGGGCTCGTGGGTTGGAGAAGCCGTATCAGGGGCGTGGGAAGCACCATCATCCGGCGATCCACTGTGAGATACATTGCCACCGATGACCTCCCCAGTGCCTGGAGCTGGTGATGAAGGTTGGCTGGCTCCGGGGGTGTGGAATTGCTCAGATGCAACGCCTGGACTTTCCAAATCACCATGCTGTCTTTCATCTGAATCATCTTCCGGGTCGGCCTCCGGTTGCGGCTCAAGCATAGTCAAGGGCTCACTATGACTGTCACTGCCGCTTGATTCGCTAGAAACTCTGGGACTTGCGGGCTCGCTGTGATGGCCGTCATTTCCCGATACCACGTTATTCTCTGGACTTGCAGGCTCTATTGTCTTGGAATCCTCTGACTCCGAGGGCTTGGGCTTCTTGGGGTAGCCATGGCAAACGGTGTAATACTGAATGAAACGAACTTGTGGTGGAACATGAGGCATTCCCCGGTTCTCCAGGTCGTCGTAATCTTCCAGTCGTCGCAATTTCTCATACCGCAGCTTCATACCATTGTAATCCATCAAACAGCTACCGAATTCGAGATGAGATGTTATGTGTTTGGTGGCAGCGTCCATGAGACCCTCCGAGTTGTGCTTGCTAGCAAAGTGAACGACATTCTGCCACCAGCTCCGCTCCTTCATACGGACATCGTTGACATAATTGGGGTTGAAATTAGGGTCCATGGTAAGTCGTGAGCCCAAGCCTTGTCCTAGGCCACCTAGAGTCTGTGCTGCTCCAGATATCAGATCTCCCGCTTGAGGTGGCTTGGGCGGATCAGGCTTCTTGCGGAACAGACTAGCTAAGCCGGATGTGATGATGCCCGGATGGAGGCCAAGTAGAGGTGCATCAAGGTTGACCGTTCCAAGGATCCTGTGTTGCAACATTCTTATATCACTTCGATCACGGGTAGGCTAAAGTTGCGGTTAGCTGGTTTGGTCATACAATGACTTCCAGGGCAAGCCAGCAGACTCACCATCAACGCCACTTCCGCCGCGAGTAGTCCGCCCATGGAGTGTCCGATAAGCACAACGTCCGTCTCGGGAGACTCGTGCGGCTCCAGCCACCTGCTAAAGTTGTCCCGTGCTACCTCGATTGCCTTGTACGTCTTGTACCTAGGGTAGATCTTGGTATGGACGGCATGAGTGCTGCGCAGTCGATCCCTGAGAAACCTGTGCACGTGAAAGGGAAAATTTTGAAACGAGTTGTCATTGCCCATGAATCCATGGATATATATGAGCAGAAGCTTGCGTTTTTCTTGTTCATCGTAATCAGACGGCGCCAGAGATTGGGTTGAAGAAGTCCTTGGGTCGTGGTAGTCTGTGCCATCGTAGCCACCACCTAAGTAACCGTAAACGGCGGCGGTATTGCTCGGACTAGGCACACCCAAGAAATCATGGTGGTCGCTGGGCGTCGTCATAGTAGAAAGCAATATCTGCTGCTACATCAAGGAAGGAGTCGCAAAAGACTGACTGGCTGTTATCTCTCTAAGAGCCCAAGTACGCGGATGTATGGTGGGGTTAGAGTATGAGGGGAGGGATTGACGTCAGGGCAAGGAAGCAAACAAGGCGGAGCAGCTCTCTAAATGTCCATGTTGGTAGATACTGAAACGAAGTTTTGATGAAAGACGTCGAACGCAGTGAATCACGCGAAGATGATGCTTGGAAATCGGAATGAATGCTTGCAGATGGGAGGATATATGAAAAGAAGAAGAGGGCCCAAAGGTTGTGGAAAGGCGGTCCGCAGCCTCTAAACCTTCTCAGGTCCCCTCTACTGTACCTAGACTTGGATGGAGTTTGGGGGAGAAAGTGGGCACTTGTTAACCGCATTCAGGTTTCGGCTGGCGCGTAGCTGCTGGGATAGCGCCTGGGCTCTGCAACGGCAGTGCTAGGCAGAGGCTATGGCAGGCATCCTGTTTTTTTAACTTTGGTAAATCAGGGCATCGCATGTATGGTGATCTACCACCCGCCCTTTATTGGATTAAAATAAAAAAAAAACTTGTCGAGTGATTGTAGAGTATGAACAAGATATTCTAGCTGCAATATTTAAAACCTGACAAATTTGTTCCGTGACTGACTTTGCTGTGATACTGACCAGCAACTAATACGCATCTTCATTGCCAAACAGCGAATGGTTGACTCTGATTGCACCCGTACCAAATCGGAAGAAAGGCCGCAGCAGACAAAACCATGGTCGGCTGTGTAATACCTGACGACGCAATCTTTGCGTCGATTTGGACCTCCTTTTCCGATTAAAACTTTTGTTTCTCTTGCCCGTTCTGTGACTCGGTTTCTCGGATTTGTCTTTCGTAAAAGAGATGGACATGGCATAGCCACACATTTTTTATGGTCCAGCCGTATATAGGAAGCCGCGATGGAGACTAAATATGCTTCTACCATGGCATCTGGGTTCTTCTTACGGAATTTGAGCTCTTGGGAAATACTCGGTTTCGTATGTAATTAAATTACAACGGGAGCTCAACTGCATAGTCTATATAAGGCACAATCAAGACCCGTGCTATTCTTCAACTTGACAACGCTTTGTCGTTGCTGTCCTTTGAACGTCACAAGTATCTTCATCATGAGTCAAGAAGGCAGCGCCTTCATCTTGCACATCTCGGAGGAAAGCTGCACAGAATCACTTGTGTTAGGAAACGAAATATTCTCGACATGATGGGGCGTTGTATCTGATACCACACCTCCTTTCGTAATTGACCGTTCCGTTGGTGAATCATCACAATCTAAAGGATTTCCAAGCCGGAACCCGTCCCAGTTGGGGTGTTCTCTCAACTCTTGATCGACAGTCCTCTCCGACCGTCACGCGAGTGGTCCCTTTCTTCAAAGGACTACATGTTGTTTCCCTCTTCGTCCCATCCCCAAACTCGAGAAGCTATCAACATCAAGCAGTCCTCGTCGCCTCGCGGTCTAGGCTCGAGGCGTATTCGTCAGTCAGGGGTCCTGGCTCTTGAACACTTGATTCTCTCGCAGGCAGGCGTATACTGACTGCATCACTCGACGACTTTGTCCAATCATGGCTATCCCTCCACCCAATGGGAGAGAGCCGATATTCACTACCCAACGTTGGTAGCTATTCTCACATGATGTGGTCACTGAAATCATGATTACAAACTGCCCTCCGGCAAATGACATTCAAAGACCGAGGGATGACAAGGGCCGCACAGCTCTGTTGGCAACGTTTCGAATCATGTACTACGTGAAATACGTTGGAAGGTCGCCAAAAAGCGGACGGGAACGGAATGGCTTGACTGCCAAAGGCACGGTATACCTGCGCCAACCACCACCTGACGAAAGTCTATTCAAAGACCAACTGTCTGAGTGGCCGTGTCTCGGTTGTCGGCGATCAGAGCCTTGCAACACGTCGGTGGACTTGCTACGCAAAGGCAAGAGCGGGTAATCGATTTAAGGATTGGGCTCATTGGTCACAAGATGGGTGAGGAATGAAGCTGAGAGGTGGCTTAACGGTTCTTCTTATTGATGTATCAAAGAATATTTACAACTGCCAGAGACTTTGTTCATCTTTTTTTTCTTTTACCTTTCCAGTTGTCCAGTGACTGCGACAACGACAGCAGAGGTGATCTGGCGCAAGTTGCTGCTTTTGGTTTCTGTGAATTAAAAATCTCCCAACGCCGTGCTAAAATCAATAAATGCAAAAAATCATGGCCCGGAGCGACATGGAGGGAAAGCTGCCCTCCCGCTCTCGTGAACATGTGGGGAAAAAAATACAAAGCCTGCCTCCGATTACCGCTGAGAGTGTTGGGGTCTCAAGAGTTTGTATTCTCTCAGGACCGGGTATCATGAACCACCTGATTTTCTTATCGTACTGCCTGGCGAATGCCTCCACTCAATGACGACGCGATGCCAGGGTTCTGTGAACAATGATCAGCCAATAGAACTAGAGAAGGAAGGGTGATTGGAGCTCACCTGCTTTCTCCGTTTTTTGGCCGACCGATCTTCACCCTCTCCTGTAGAGTAGCCGGTCTCAGCACCGAGATCATCATCGGGGAAACCGCCGCCATAACCCTCAAAGGACGAGTCCTTGTAGCTTCTCTTCTTGGTCCGCTGCAAGCGGTCGCCCTGTGGAACTTGGAGCTTGTTCGTCTTGGTGGTAGATGCTGCCGATGCGGCAGGTGTGCCAGAGGTAGTTTGCTTCGGAGCGTCATCCTTGGTCTTCTTCGGAGGTGCCAATTCGCCGAGAACCGAGCTGTCCCATACTTGCTTGGAAATGGGACCCTTGGCCATTGTCATGGCGCGCGTCAGGTTGGCCAGAGCCATATCCGAAAACCCTCTATTGATCTCCTTGCCGGTGACCTCATGCACAAACCAACCATCTTCGGGTGCTGCAAGCATGTGCATGAATCCCTCGGGATCCTCGATCTCCTTCTTAACAGGCTCGAAGGAGCCACTGATGCCTAAACTTTTGATTTGACCCTTGAAGGTCTTTCGGAGGGCGTTCTTCTCGCCATTCGGCTTTACCCGTGCAACCTCGGCAGCAATGCCGGCCAGACCAAACCTCTCAAAGAGGTCATCCGAGGTGCGTGGAAAGGACGCAGAATGGGCTAGAGAGCAGTGTGTCAACCAAAAAAAGTTCTTGTCAGGGGGTTACGAAGGGGTCACGTCACAAGGCAGAACCACCATGGTACTGCGCGATAAGGAAAGGAGGGTGCTGTGGGCAGAGAGCGGCGCATGTGGTTAGAGTAGAGGGATGCCTTACGAGTTCTCAAGAGAAGGTATTTGGGTCCGACATCCAGATGAAGGTTCTCAATACCAAGTCTGCGAGGATCCTCGAGGTGTGCTTTCTTCTGCTCTTGGTCACCCGTGTCGTCGGCAAGACGCTTGCGCTTGTTGGGCGACTCAGCGTCAATCATAGTTGTGTCGTGAGAAGAGTCGCAGTTGTTGACGCTGTGAGCCGGCGTCGGTAGAGAGGCGGTGGTTACTGATGTCATGGAGCTATTCATACTAGAGTGCGGGTCCGCAGTTGATGGAGAGAACTGCGATGGGCTCTGAGGCGTTTGGGGATTAAAGGTCATTGTCGCCATCGATAAAGAATGTATGCCTTCCCGGCTATGCAAAGGCGTAATGAGTTGAGAAGCGTTGTGATGCTGCCCTATAGGGTTGAAAAATTTCGAGCCCAGGTTGTGATGTTGTGAGGGTCAACGCTTTTGCTTTAGCTGGCCAGGAGTGGAGTGGGTATCTGCTGAGCGTAGTTCCGAGGTGGTGCGCAGAGAAATCGCGGAGATCAACAAGCCACTTCCGAGGAGGATTTTCGTCGAAAAAAATCCCGTCGCGCGGCAGAGAAGGCGATTAGAAGTAGATTCCAGGTAGATTCGGATTACAACCGATGAGGCGCGAAGGTAGGGGAGGTCGTCAAGTCGTGATGTGGTGTGGCGAGAGCGTCGCGCGATCTGCCGACCGGCTGTAGGCAATTAAAAACACCTCTGAAAACCCGCATGCACAAAATCAATTGGCCCACGGCGGTGCTTGATGGTCAAAAAAAGATCGTAGATGTTCGTGAGAGCGTCGACAGCGTGTTCAGGGTGTCGCTGATGTCGTCGCTGGCGTTCGCTGGGTGTTAGGTTGGTCGAAGCCGTCGGGATTGGCGGTTGATGTTGAGGAGAAGAAAGCTGAGGAGTAGTCGGGGGCCTGAGGTGCGGTTCTCTAGGCGATGGGATGGGGGGCGGGTGGAAGTGAGAGGGGACTGGACTGGAACTGGCTGACTATGGCTGGGCTGGGGGGGCCGACCGACAGACACTGTGGTGGGCTCTGGGCTGGGGGACTGAGACTTGCAAGGGAACAAACGGTGGGGCGTGGGCGGGAACAATGAGGGGGTGTCTTTAAATGTTTTCATTGAGGTCCTCAGAGTCGGTGCAGATTTGCTTAAGGTGCCCGCCCACGTTAGGCGCCGGCGCCTGCCTAAAGCCCACGCACGCCCCCAGCAGTGGATTGTCCTACGATGCCGCCCACCACAATGGATGGATGACCCGTTTCGTTAAATGCACACCCTCTCGCCGCGTCGAGTGGGACAGCCAAAAAAGACTTCACGATTTCCCTTTTAGTATCTGCACCAGGGACTGGACTAGGCCTGGCTTTTTTGTCTTTGTATCACGTTTCATTCATTCGGCCTCAATAAGGCGCGAACTGATCTGACCAAACAAGCCAACACCACAGGATTCACCATATTCAGATGATAGGTGCAAAGATAGATGTGGCTGATAATGAACCTTTTCAATCTGGGAAGTTCAAGGCTGTGGCTGGTGTCCCATCGTGCCATCATCTTCTCGTCGAAATCGAAAAATCCAGTTCCGCATTTTGCCATGTGATCAGGGACAAGTCTAGTCCTCCGCTCATCTTTGATTTATCCGCTCTCCATATTTTCGGCAACATCGCATCGTGTTCCGCGCACGCGCGCGCACCCTCAGTCAAGACTCGAGGCCCTGTCTTCCGATGATAGGACCGCCCGCGACATCTCAACCGAGCAAATCGTTCAAGGTGCAATCATGGGCGAGTTCATAAACACATGCGCCGGTACTGATCAAATACCGTTGCTGTATCTCAACCGCACAATTTACCAGGAACCTGGATTTCAGTCTATTTGTTTGGCTTGTGGTGTCACAAGATCTCTGTGTGACCAGGCAAATCTCCTTGACCATGGATTCATGGTTGAGATTCTTGTTTAAACCGCCTGGAAACCTTTTGCAGTTTCTGCACCTGCCCATACTCAGGTACTATAGTCAATTTCTATTTGGCTGTTCTGCTACGTTCGCCTGTCGTTTTCGGTGGGTGGACTCTGTCGCCGCGGTAATTAACCCCGAACACGGGAGGTAGAGTCGCTCCTGGGGTTGCAAGGCCCAAGCTTCTGCTTCATATCCATTTACCATCTAGCATTTTGGAAACAAAACTAATTGGCTGGAACTCGAGTAAAGCTTATTCATGCCAGGTGCAAACATATCGAGTCAGTCCCATACCAAATTACCAATTCTTAACATAGATTTCATAGATGAAGAAAGAAGAATGGAACTGTGACCAGGACACACGACTAGAAATCGGAATTACCACATTCGGAGCCATTCCACAGGTACGATTGCCACCCTCACGGATGGTTACAGCCCCTGACGAATCAATACTTAGCGCTTTTGCACGTTGTTGGGATTGGGAAACAATTTACCTGATCAGAAGTTGGCGTATCCTTGGTACATGTCTAATATAAAGGTTTCTTTAGATAAGGGACATGCACTTGGTGTTGGATTTGATCGACGATTTGATGCCCGTTACAGGGCGAACAAGCTGAATATGATACTACTTACTTGGGGGGCCTGAGAACGAGGCTCTACTCGGCACATGTCCGAATAATACTCAAAGACAAACATAGCAACCGGCAAAGCCCCCAGCCATTGTCTATTGGTTTAGCTGTTTGGACGATCCTGAGATGCAATAGCATATATAATGGCCGTGATTGTGATTTGCAGTATGGGCACATGGTGGTGACACCCGAGATCGCCGCTATAGATACACGCCCTGCTGCAAATACGATTGGCCTTATATCAGCTGCATATGCTACTGCATTGGCAGCTTATGTGAGTCCAATCGTTTTCTGAATTTTGCCAACAATGGCAGATATTCTCTGCCACCTCTTTACCAGTGTCGGGCAGTCTAGCGTAAGCATTTGAAGGATATCCATGCCTTTCCTTCAACGGTCTGCATCCACGGGCAGCTGCCATCTCTCATGATAAGCATATCACGAGGTTTGCTTCGACATCCAGGTGACAATACATGGGTAACTCGGACAAGGTAGGTGAAAATTTGCAATACTATACTTATTTGATCAGAGATTGAGGCTATCGGAATTCGCGATGAATTGAATTTCGGCGATGATGATGATGACGATGAGAAGGTGCTTTTTCCAATTATTAAGTGCTTCCTTAGTACGAAGTACGCATCGGTAGATACCGGGCAGCCGGGTCCTTCCTCCAGCTTGCGGGACGGACCTGGTCATGCCCCTCTCATGGTTAAAAAAGTTACTTATGCTTACCGGCCTTGCCGCAAAGTCTGAATCAGGGCCGCAAGGAAACTGGCGAGTGAGAGCTCGCCACAACATGGGCCAACACGACCAACAGCTGGGCTACTGTGCAGTAAATATTTTAACCTCAACTGCGTTATTGTTGGTTAGAATTCAATCAGGCCTAACCGTTGGACATTGACAGCTAAGAGGTCGTGGGTCTTTATGTCCCTCGCCAAAAAGCATGACAATACATGCGCACCATGGGAACAACGCATCTGGACGTAGTAGATACGCCTGATGTAAGTAGGTAAATTGCAACGGTATCCTTGCAGCAGAGCAAGGGACAAGGGATGCTTCCAGCGCCATTGGCGTCAGTTGATGTACTTTGGACGAAAACAGGATCCGATCATGGTATGTTTGTTGTCAACGTTTTTCCCAAGTCCCGGAGCAGATTGATGCTCTCCAGGATTACGGGAGGTAGGCCAAGCAGCAGGTAGCTGGTAGGCTGGGTAGGAAGCGCGCAACACCTTGACGACGTCCTTACGAGTCAGGGGTCGCAGTTGAGGAGGAGACGAACCCCTTCCCACACATGCACCTTGTTCCATGTGGTACAGCAAGTAGTCAATGGGGGGTGGTGATGGAATGCCCGATCGGGATGCGAGTTGCTTTCTCAAGTTAGGACAGGTACTCGAGCCGTGCTTAGACTAGACAGAGTGCGGTACATTCAAAGCGACGAACTTGCCTCGTCACCACGCAGCAGTACAGTAAGACGCGAATGTACTTCGCACACCGGGTAATCATGTACACATGCCTTTATCCCTTAGCAATCCGGGGCTCACCTATGAAAGGCAGGCACTGATGAGATCGACGGCCGATTCAGGTGCCAGGTGCGTGCCTTCCCTCAATCTCGCGCCACGCCACCAGACCAGGCCCAGGCGGATCCCTGCGAGAGTCTGTGACACCATTTTAAACCCCCCCAAATCTCCCTAATAAGTGAGGTCAGGTTCCCTGACGACTGACCACCCGTCTTTTTTCGCAAATCAAGTTTAGGTGACGACAGCGGCATCGGCAGCGGCAGCGGATATCTCCAGGTCTCAGGCAGGAAGTCAAAAAAGAAGAAGGAGAGGGACAAGAGACACGACACGACAATCGCTTTGTGGCAGCACAGATTCGAAATAACAATCCTCCAGACCTCCCATTATCTCCACCTCGTTTGTCCGGCTTAGAATAGCCTCAGTTCTTTCTCTCTTTCTTTCCTTTCCTTTCTTGTTCTGAATCTATTTATCTGCCCAACAAACCCATTCATCCACGCTCCACTACGTCTTTCCGTGGATCCCGAAACACCAAGATACTTTCAAGGACAGCCACAGACCACCAGGAACAACAAAAGTAACGCTCGACAGACCATCAACAAAGCATTCTCTGGACTTGTTCGCACAAAGGCATTTCAGGGTGCAAGAACCGGAAGCCGGCCGTCGACTGAAAAAAAATACACGTTCGAACTCTCTAGTCGTCCTCTTTCATAATGGCAAAGGCCGGTGGTGCCGCTGCGCGGCTCATGCAAGAATTGCAGCAACTACAGAAGGAGAAGTGGTTGAACGTTGACCTTATCCGAGATAACATCTTTCGTTGGGATATCGGCCTGATCGTTCTTAACCAGGATAGCGCCTTCAAGAATGGGTACCTCAAGGTGAGTAATTTCCAAAGTGCATCTGTCACTGTCGAAACCCAAAACTGTGACAGTTTCGTGTTTTGAAATCAGAAAAGCTAATTCCTATTGCAATAGACTGAAATGACGTTTAGCGAAGAGTATCCCTACGCTCCTCCGACGTTCCGCTTCCAGATTCCCATCTACCACCCCAATGTGTACCCTGATGGCCGGGTCTGCATCTCAATCCTGCACCAGCCTGGTGAGGATCTCATGTCTGGTGAGGCTGCAAGTGAGCGCTGGTCGCCCCTGCAAGGTGTCGAGTCCGTGCTACGGTCTGTCCTGCTCCTTCTTGATGACCCCGAGATCAACTCGCCCGCCCATGTTGATGCCGGCGTAATGTACCGCGACCATCGTGCCGAGTACAACAAGAAGGCTGCCGAGTGCGTTGAAAGATCCAAGAAGGATATCCCTGAAGGCTTTGTCATGCCGACCAATATCGTAGAAGCACCTCCGACCGTCAAGGATGCGGATGACGACTTTTGGAACGAGGATGACGACCTAGAGGACTTTGACTTTGGTTCCGGCACGGATGAGGAGTTGCAGGAAGATGACGAGGAGGAGGAGAATGGCAGCGACGACGAGGAGTCCTAGTCATACATTCGGCCAACAACAGAGGATGACACCACAAGGAGCGACACATTCACATCCTCGATTCATTTTTATCATATAATTTGCATAGCGCCGGAAGAAAGCGGCGTTGACACGGACATGTGAGGGCAGGATTAGCAAGCAGGTTATTTGGAATTTTTTTGAGCCTGCATTTACCCCAAACAGGGCCTCTGGCTGTCTGTCCGCTGGCCGCCCCCCGATATAGAGCTGCCTTACCACCTCGATGTGATCAAGGTAGCAGAGAGTATCTAGATAGACGGCGTTCATAGGTTGTACTTGGCCCATGACTTCTTCATTAGAAGTCAACACAATGAAACTATACATTCACCATCGGATTCAATTGAATTGTGTTATATGGTATACTGAGTGTATTCAGGTGAGATTGAGACGAGGAACAATTTCTTGAAATGGCAGATTTTGAATGATTTTCAAGTGTCAGCCAGGTCATATCACACAGCAGGAGAAATGGGTCACGACAGTATATACTTTTATTGGTTTATCTTCCTCTTCATTGCTGGAGAATATCTCAAGAGAAATCTCCAGTATTTGCCAGTGTTGTATGAAGACACCACAAAAAGAGTTTTTACTATTTATTGTCCTGGGCGATCACCGAATAGTGCATCGCTCAAAAGATTTTGGTCTTTGGTCATATGTTTTCGTCTCTTCGTCGAATACAAAAAAATAAAAATAAAAGTAGAACAAGAATGAAATTAGAATGATGCAGTAAAACCACCAACGCCGCCAAATTTTTTGACCTGGAACGCCAGGACACTTCCAAACGTCTTTCTCCGCTCGAAACGCTTTCGCACACCAATGATTAATAGTAAAGAAAAATGAACAAGTTATAGAATTCTCTTCAGCTCCTCTTTTTGTTGAGCTGTCAAGCTCGTGGGGAACTTGATGTTGTACTTGATGATGAAGTTGCCTCTCTCACCGGGCTTCTTCGAGATGGGCATACCCTGACCAGGGTAGGAGTCGGAGGAGCCTGGCGACGTTGGGCCAGCCTTGTCGAGGGTCAATTGCTTGCCATCAATTGTGGTGACGGTTCGCTTCCATCCGGTCAGGGCGTCCTTCAGAGGCAGCTCGATGGTGTGGATGAGGTCGTCTCCCTCACGGACAAACAGTGGGTGAGGTTTCTGTGCACCTGTTAGCATACGCTCATTCATTCCAATCAGGGCTGTTTCTCGGGATTTTACTTACCTCTTCCACAATAAAGTGCAGATCCTGCTGACCACCCTCCTCTTGGTCGCCAACGCCCTTGAACTTGATCTTACTACCCTTCTTCAAGCCGGGCTTGATGGGTACTTCGAGAACCTGGTCGGTGGTGGTTCTCTTTCCTGATTCGTCAAAGGTCTTGCGCTTGATCTTCATCTTCTTGGTCACGCCCTTGTAGAGCTCCTCAAGAGTGAGAGGCAGCGGTCGCTCAACAGTTGTGACTTCTGGAGTTGCCTCACGACCGCCGCGGCCGCCAAAGGGGTCACCTCCAGCTCCATTATAGCTGGTGCGCATACGGGGGCGACCGCCAGCAGCGCCGCCCAGATGGCCAAAGATGCCGGCGAGATCGTCGTCATCAAAGCCAGCACCACCACCGCCGCCACCGCCCTGCTGGCGCATAAACTCGGCAAAGATATTGTTGGGATTGCTGAATGAAAAGCCGCCAGGGCCACCACCTCCAGTGCTAAAGTGGAATGTTCTTGCGCCGCCGCCGCCGCCGCCTCCAGGCATACCGGCGCCGCCAAAGTCGAACCCGCCAAAGCCTCCGGGCATACCACCGGCACCACCAGCACCAGCGAAGGGGTTCTCGCCGGGCGGAGGTGCAGCGCCGCCTCGGAGAAGGAACTCGAGACCGTATGAGTCATAGGTCTTGCGCTTCTCGGGGTCGGAAAGGATCTCATATGCCTGTGAGCATTCCTTGAACTTTTCGGCTGCTTGGGGGCTGTCCTTGTTCTTGTCGGGGTGCCATTTTAGTGCGGCTTTCCTGTTGAGAAATCATGGTTAGCATTCATATTGCATGCGTTGGGAGGGGCAATCTTCAGCCGAGAAAGAACGCGAGCATGTCAAAAGGCAGTATAATTCCAATTGCGAATCTTGCCTTCCACAATACCAGCATCGTTTCTGCTTTCGGCGAAGACGTCTGTAAGCGACAGGTACTACCCACCGATATGCTTTCTTGATCTCGTCTTGTGTTGCTTCGGGCTTGATGCCCAGTTGATCGTAGAGTTTTGTCTCTTTGACCATTGTGATGTGTTGGTCCTATCTAAAAGGACGAATTGAGGGTATAGGTTCGAATTTGTTTCGACAGGTATAGAATGTTGTGTTGTTGTTGTGCTTGTTTGGCTTTATCAAATCAAAGCTTGCTGTTTGCAATAGAGTATAGTGTGAATGTCGTTCAGAAGAAAGAAGAGATATTTAGCTGCAGGATAGGGAGGAACGAAAAAGAAGAAAATGAATCAGGTGTTCCTCGCGTGAGCAGTGAGTGCCTCTTTGTGTCTTGCAGATTGCAACGATGGACGCCCGGTCGTTGCCCCACGGCAGTGGAAGATTCGGGAAGTCGAATGGTGGTAGTAGCAGGTACTCCTAGTGTAGGTAGATAGAGTGTCGGGTCGAGGTAGAGCAGCAGCTGTCCGCCAATGACGCAGATAGGCGGGATGCTGGGTTGGACTGGGGCGCGAGAGTTGGGTATTGACCGCAACGGGAAATACAAACAGCTGATCAGCAGCGATTTCACTTTGTTATGCTGTCGGCCAATCACAAAATTCAATCGGATGGGTCTTTTCTATTCGAGTATTTTCTGGAACCCACTGGCAAAGCTGGAGGCTTTGTTCCAGTCGACTGTAAATAGGAGCACTTTCTGCGCCCTCGACTTGCTCGACTGATGGTTTGATGGATTTTGGGCATGGGTACCTAACGATGACGCTGATTGCGGGGGTTTTGTCGCGCGATAGCAGCATGGAATGCCCCTCTTGACTTTTGAGAGGTGGGTTCTTACTACTTCCAGATGCGTCCGTATTTAGCTCCCGTGAAGGCCTGTGCTTTTTGTCTACTACTAGCACCCAAGTGAGTAATGGCAGCAATTGTGTGTTGTGGGAAAAGAGCTTGAGAAGTCACGAGTTGGGTTGCAACAGCTCAGTAGCTTGGCCTATCCTGTTGTAAATCATTGTTTCACTTGATTATTGGTTTCTGAATTGACTGTGTAGTCGTTGGCGATACCCCAACATCCCCTTCATCTTGTGGTCTAGAGATGCCCTCGCGTCGTACCTCTCATATAAATTCGTGGAAGTTTCTCGAAGCGGCTAGAGGCAACGAGAACCACAAACACAAACCGCCACCGTGTTGGCCAACATTGTGCTCTCTGAGCTCCATGTGAGGCTTGGTTACAGCATGATCATCCAGTTAGAGCGGCTTACTCTGCATGATTGATGGACTATACACCGCTTTGAGCATGCATTACACGGAGGGTTGGGATAAGCTGTGGCTGGTTTATAGTATATGGTGGGGAGGGCGGCCCAACTTGTATTGTGTCAATCAACGACAGCCTTGCATACTGCACCCTGGCTATATTGGATCTCCCACTCTGCCTGTAATTGATAGGTCCTTTGTGAAATGTAACCAGAATCTTGTGATCAACTTCGAGTAACTGTACCGCTCAAGTTACCATCATTATTGTTAATTTTGGTCTGATGCAAGCTACCTGTGATTCGGCATATCCGATGCTACCTCCGCCAGCTGTGGAACAAAAATGCTTCAATATCGGGCGTCACCGTGCTCCCAATAACCGGAAACATGCGCACACATGATCAAAGTTTCCTCTAGTGTTCCCAGTTCAACAAGTCTTATTACTTTGGTTCTGCCATTATCTCTATGCAGGTCCGAGGTGACCAAGAGCACAAGGCTTAGCCCATGAAGTAGCTGTTGACACTTTGTAATGTCGCTCTGCTGGGATTGGCTTCGGGAAACGCCGTCATGATCCGACTCAGCTTGATCTTGATGACATTTTTGTTGACGTCTTTCCTCTCCTCTGAGCTGCTAAAGCTTCCATCATGCTCAAAGAACTGGCATAGCAGTGCCAAACATACTGCTATAGACAAGTCTTTGCCAGTCTCACAGAGGACGAGTACCTTTGGTTCACACTTTTCTGAAGCTGCAAGAGCAGACTTGACAAACTCGCAGATTTGCGGCAGGGCAGACCGCAAGTTTCGACTTGCAACCTTGTGCTTACCAAGACCAACTTTCATCTGCACTGGACTTTGCCCCCACGCCGATTGATCCGTAGTTTTGGGCAAAAGAGATATAACACAGCTGTACTCGGAAGCAGCATATACCTGTGTAAGCGGCGCAACAAATAAGCAAGGTGCTACTTGTCGTGGCTTTTGTGCAGTCGATTCTTTGGACACTGCATCTACGAGCGATTCAATAAGGGCAGGGAGCTCTGCTTCGGGAGCTGAGAGCAACTGCTCGGCGTTGGCCCAGAAGATGGGTGCAGTCAAGCCATGCGCCCAGTTCTCCGTGTCATCGCCCGCACCTTGTATATAACCACCTTCACTCATTTCCGTACCCACCACTCGCCGCGAACTCGTACAGCAGATCACTGGATGGTAATCTTCAAATATGGTGTCTGTTTCGACAAGTTGCGTGTCTTGTGTGATCCACATGGGCCGGAGAGGTTTCGTAATCTGTTGCAACGATGTGATGTCAAGCCCGAGGCCGCTGAATGACTCAACGAACTCGGGTATACGAGCTTCCATCTGAGCGTGCTCAGAGGCCGAGACTGCATTGGGCGGTGTATGTAAGCCATGTCTGGCTTCATCTTTGGGGAAGAGTACGCGGTTGAGTACACAACACCATATGGGGATGGTCTTGCTCAAGGCATCGGGCATGCGCTTGCCACGCCTTGTCGAGTCCACAATGATGCAGCCGTCCCTTTTGCCAATGGTATCCAACAAGTGCAAATTGAGCCGCCTTGTCGAGAACTTCCATTGTCCAGCATGGCCATCTGTGCTTTTGAAATAGGCAGAGCCACCTTTTGATGAAGGGGGAATATACCAGCTGCCGCAGCGCTCGTTGGCGATCAGAGGACGGCCATATGCCGAAGCCACATGCGCGACAAATGTTGCATCCTGCTTGACTGATTGCAGGCGATTCGTGATGGAAAGATTGGACTTTTTGAGGTCCGTCAGGATGCGGGAGAAGTTATGGTTTGCTTGAGAAGAAAAGACAAGATCGGAAAGGGTAAGATTTTGCAAAGACTTTTCAGGACCGGCCTTGTTCTTGGCGTTCATCTTCTTGCCAGGACCAAGTGTTGAACCTCCTATAAGAATTATAAAACCAGTAAAGTATGAGGGTTTGCGAGTGGTCGAACCTCGCGAATACACGAGATGAAAATCAGTCTAACGAAATGAACCTTTGCAGCCAATGCCCGTACTTTGTGGTCAGTATAATCCAATACTAGTTGCTGGGTTACGTAGGCGGGCAGCGGGATGAACGAGGGGCAGGAAGATCTTCTTGATTAAGGTTATCTTAGCTTATCAATTGGTCTGGCAGCTAGTACATCAGGTCTGGGCTTGGGGACCTCATATTGACATGTTTCAACAGACTTCGGCAGCAGCCAAATCACGAACGGGCCGGCTTCTTCAAACTGCGTAATACTGTTGACAATACTGGACCATTGTTCCTGCTTGTGTAGGTAAGGATTGGGATGAATTACCCAGAGCTTTTGCTACTAGTTCCCGCTGGAGAGGATTGAAATGTCCAGCTGGATCTACATCTGCAAAAACAAAGCAAAAATGAACATGCGAATGGTCCCAAACTGTGATTTCGATGGTGCCTAGCTTTGCCTAGGTACAGAGAGCACTTCATTGAGAATCCAAGCAAGTACTGTAGGTTAGATATTCACACTACATTATCTATCTCAAACCCAACCGCCCAGCTAGGAAACCATAGCTGCCTAAGTCCGCTGGGCCGGTTTGCACAGTTAAAGAACTTTGATATTGCGATCCAGGAGAAAGAAACCATATTGATTGATAAAAAGATTCTCAGTGCAATGATGGTGATAAATTGGGCCTTGATTGAAGAAATCAGCTACCCTGCTCGCCTGTGTAGATTGGTGACTGAGCTCTTGGGGCCCTACGGAATAGCAGCGCCGTAGATGTGGGGCCTCGGTTCCCGCCTTCTGACTGATGATTTCGCAGGCGCTACTGAAGTAGGAGCAGCACAACACAATCAGGAAACCACTGGGAGAACAAAACATCAACAGCAAAGGCTTCAACTCCAACTTTGTTCCCAATTTCACCTCACAGTTTTCGACGGGCTTGGAGAACAAATATTCTTCATTCTTTCAAAATTCTACTTGCACATTCGCTTGTATCACATTGCACGCCATCACTGTAAGCAGAGATTACTCACTGATCTTCGAGCTGTGGCAGTCCACAGCGTGCCAACAGCGCCGAGCCGCAAAGAAAACACCCCAGCATCGATCCCTGCATTCCACCATCAGTACTTCGTACATACATGTACCTACAGCACCTAGCTTGAAAACCGAATAGCATTTCATCACTACTTCGCACACTGCTTCTTGTCGTGGTGCGCACGCAACTCCCACGTCGACGAGCGCCACCGTCCTTGACCTAGCTCATCTGTTCATCCTCATGACAAAAGACATCCGCTAACACCTGTCTTTGACTTCACGACCATCATGGCGTGGAATCAAGAGCCCGCCGAGGATGACATTCACACTCTGCTTGACTTAAGTGGCCACTGTTTTACCCGCAACGAGGCCATTGCTCGCCTCAAAAACAATGGGCTTGACATCACTCGTGCTATGAACGAATTCTTCGATGATACGACTAGTGGCTCCAAATACAAGAATGAATGGGACGAAAATGTCTGGACCGCCGACCGTGAAGGTCCTCAGAATACCGCCGGCGTCCAGTTCAACGTCCAAGGCCCTGATGTCACCAGCAGCCATTTCGACATCAGCAGCGGTGCTCCCACTCGACCTCCCTCACGAGCCAATAATCGCTCGCCCATGGGTAAGTCTTGAACCCTAGGCTGCATTGCTCTTCAAATACCTGTCGCTCCCTCTTAAATGCCCTGAATAGAGCTAACAGTTATGTACAGGAGCACCAACTACCCAAGCCGATGAAGATGCTGACCTACAACGGGCACTCGCCGAGTCCGCCGCCGAATCGGGCCTCCCACCCCAAGAGTCCGGCATTATTGGCAGCGATGTCAATGAAAAGAAATTTGGCCCTGCCACTCGAACCGAATATGAGCAGGACCAGTGGGCAATGGTGCCAACAAAACTCGCGGCCTTGACTCAACAGACACCGGAGATCCCCCCTTCGAATCGAAAGCGTACCGATGCAGCTCCTGCCTTCCTTCAGACAAGCCAAGATCACCGTCTGGGAGCACTCGTCACGATTCTAGCAAACATACCGCTAGCGAGGAATGCCCTCCTATCCTGTGGAGACCTGGCTAGAACTTATGGTTATGATAATCAATGGTGGCAGAGCAAACACGATCTTCCGCAAGGCCATCCCAATTTTCACGATGAGCTACATCGCCTGGTGGCTTTCCTTGACGGCACCGACCGTGCCTACGGCTCAGTCGATAGTCTGGCTTCTACCATTGCTTTAGAATCAGATCCTGATTCTCCTTGGGCTGTTTTCGACGCTGAAGAGGGATTCCTTAATGTCCTTAAGCAAGACTTTGAGGTTTCCGGAAATCCGGCCATCAAGCCGCTCGTGAGCCATGCCGCTACAGTACGCCTAGGGCACTCGGATGATGACGAGGGGTTTGAGATTGTCAATCTGAGTCTTCTGACAATCCCTCTGGTCGAAAGCCAGAGCCAGATGATCAATAATATTTACAATGCCCTTGATACCGTTTTCTGGAACGAGGCAACGACAACATCCGGCTTCCCTCAGTCAGGTTCGGCCACATCATTCTTCACGGAGGCTGGAGACATTTTTGCCATTAGAATTGGCGGCGATGGTCTCTGCAAGCCTTGCGACATCCCGCTAACCCTCTATCTCGACCGCTACATGGAAAGCCGGAGGCAAGATGCCTTGATCATCCAGAGACACATCAACGTACATCAATTCGGCCTCATGAAGCTTAAGAGCTTGGAGGAAACGACTCAGACCTACGATGTCACTGGACTCAATGACCAGAAGCAAGTGAATTGGCTTCAGGTTCAGTCTAGCCGCCGTCAATCTTTGGAACACGCCATCATCATGCTCAACTCTCATTTGACTCAGCAACGACAAAGGGCCCAGATGCGCTCCACGGATCAAAAGTGTCAAGGGGGCGAAAAGATCACTGATGATTACCAAATCACCATATGCAGTGAAGAGACTCCATGTGAACTCACTGAAGCAGAGCAAGAGAATGAGGAGAACCTGAAGGCTGCAATTGCAACGGCCCGAGAGGAACTTACCAAGCTCGACGCCGAATTGGAGTGTAAGGGTTCCCTTCAATGTACATGTCGTTTATGATTACTAATTCATCATTCAGATGCCAAGGACTGCATTCGGTTCATCGAGGACGGACTTGAACATCTCTCGCTGAAGCTTACAGTTCGGGAAGACGAAGCTTCGCCGGGCTTTGTGGAAAAATACATCCACATACGTGATCCCAAGGGTGTCGAACCTGATATTTACGAGCCGAATGAGTGGAATCCAACCCACAAGTACCTGCTATCGGGTGTTGCTACGACTAATGAGATTACCTATGTTTGCACACGAAGAGCGCCCAACCTGATCGAGACAAGCGACCAGGTTGAGCCACGCGAGCAGTGGTGGAGACTCGTCTATGCCGCACACGAGAAGAACCCCATTTCTGTAGAGGTAACAACTATTTGGCATATATCTCCGACTTGCGGCTAACGAGTGGTGCAGAAATCGGATGCCGAATCTGTGTTGATTGCTGCTGGAAGCGAATCGAAATATCCAATAATGGTTTATGCTTCTGAGACTGCTCTGGAGGCTGAACCCATCCAGCTGTCAGAAGCCTTACGTGTAAGTGCATTCACCCGTGCCAGTACAAAACGCGGGGCTAATACCACTTGTGCTAGACATTTGTGCGTGCCGACAACAAGGTCTTCCAGAAAGAGCTGTCAAGTGAGCAGACTCGAACGGGCGCGCAGCAGCCTGAACCCGATGCGCCTTTGCGTCTGACTGCACAAACTATTGAGGCGATCCCTGAAGCTGAGGAGAGGTGGGGTGCCAAGGGGAAGCGAAAACTTAGTGTTGGATCCTCCAATGCCACCATCGACTCTGGAGACAGCCGTGATGTCAATATGGCTTTCTCTGGCGCTATTCCACCGGAAAGACTGAATGAGCATTATGGAGAGCTCGGCAGCCCTGCCGCGCAACAGCCCGCTAGAATGGGGGGCCTGGTCGAGTCTTTGGAGAAGTGCCAGACGTCCGAGCCCCATAGAGACCAGGAGATGGAAGGGGTGAATGACGATATGGGCAAGTCTCCGGAGATGCAGGAGCGAGTCGGCTCGCACTCTCCTTTCATGATGCGCCGCCCAGTGGAAAAGGCTTCCCAGGCAGCTTCGAATTCTACCGAGGCCGTGGACATGGACAAGATGGAAGTCGAGGTCGAGCACCATGAGGGCTAGCACCAGATCAACTTTTTTGGCATCTCAAAAGACATGAAGCCGAATCAACGGAGATGATCAACCAAGGAGAAACACAGGAATGAAGCAAGGGTGGGTCGTGCTTTTGACGAGGCCGACCTCACATACCCAATACACATTGCATGGCCGAGGTGTCCAGGAAGTCTACATTGATGAGGGTTCAATGGTTCAGGATCTGCTTTACGAGATACCCAACTAGCACACTTTGCATGAGCGATGCTTCTAAGGATAGCGCTTGATATGTTTTTGACGTAGTAATAAAAAAATATTGTGGGTTTCCCCATGGCACTGTCTATTCTATGCGTGTGCGTGTGCGTCTGTGTGTGTAAGTACTATACGATTAGCCCGAGGGCTGGTAGTGGTGAATACTGTTGATTTCTCCAAGTCTGAAGTTGGTGGTTGCCGAGGAATGATTACATGTCGATTATAAAATATTGGATATGACCCAAAGATATATGTTGTACCGCAAAAATCCGGGACTCTTTGGTACCTACAAGGTTTAAGAAGGGTAAGATAGCGGCGGGTATCCTTTACTTGTGTTGTGTTGTATAATCATGAAGTATTCAGTTGTCGTGTTAAGAAACATGGACTTCCAGAATATTCAGGACCCTTTTTTTGCATAATAAAAACCTGTGAGCAATAAATACTTGATAACGAGATGGATAAAGGTTGGATGACTTATATCTCCCGCTGCAGGTGCAGGGTTTCCCCGCTACGACGCTAGGTTAGTGTACTCTGTAATGCATCCACGTTTCTCATCAGAGTACCTTGCCTAGATTTGTGTAGACATACATGGGTTCGTCATCAATCTCCAGCAGTCTGGGACCACTGCACTGGGATGATTACCTGCCTAGGGAAAATTGGCGGGGGGTGACTCGGCCTCCATTTTAGCGGACACTAAACAAGGGAAACAGCTCAAGCTACGTGTCAACGTGGGCGCAGCCAAGCAAACGACTTCTCGACTGCGTACCATGTACCAAGCTCTCCCCTACAAGCTCTCAAACAGTCTCATGCAGCTCGAATCACGACGAGTAATTCTTGTAAACTCTCTTTCTTTTTCCACTCACATGCGACACCTTATCTGATAACGCCTGGCGAACCTCATCCTCATCGTTTTCTTTCCTACAATTTGCGCTCCCGCTCCGGGTACCAAGATTTCTTCTTTCCTTATAGGGTAGCCAAGAGCCGGTCTCGAGAGCAAACGCATCTGTCCTCCTTCTCGACATCTATCATCTTGAGCACCACGCATATTGGCAAGCAACAAGTGGAGATACTCGAGTACATGTAAAACCATTCAAGATGGCGAGCACAAAGTTCAACTCCAAGTCGCCGACAATGAGGCGCATCAGTACGTCCTCCCCTCTCTGGACTTTGGCCACACAAGGGCGCGCGCACGCACGCATACATCCAAGACTGACACTTTCTCTACAGTGAAGGAAGCTGCCGAACTCAGCAACTCTCCCAGCCCAGACTACACAGCCACCCCGCTAGAGTCCGATCTGTTTGAATGGCACTTTACACTCCGGGGACCGCCCAATTCAGCGTTTGCCGAGGGCATCTACCATGGGCGCATCGTGCTACCGCCCACGTACCCCCTGCGCCCGCCGTCCTTCCGCTTCGCCACGCCCTCGGGCCGCTTCGAGGCCAACCGCGAAATCTGCCTGAGCATCTCGGGCCACCACGAGGAGACGTGGCAGCCGGCCTGGGGCGTGCGCACCGCCATTGTCGCGCTGCGCGCCTTTATGGAGACGGACGCCAGCGGCCAGATTGGCGGGCTCAACAGCGGGCCCGAGGTCCGCAAGCGGCTGGCTGCCGAGTCCAAGGCCTGGACGTGTCCGGCGTGTGCGCGGTCCAATGAGGAGATCTTGCGAGAGGTGGCGGAGCGGTGTCGCGAGATGGATGAGGAGGCGGCGGCAGCGGCTGCTGCTAATGCTGCGGACGGTGGGGTTGCAAGCAGTAGTGCGAGGAAGAGAGAGGAGGTTGAGATTCCTGCCGAGCTAAAGATGGGATTCCGGGACGAGATGGAGAAGAAGGCTGCCCAGGCCGCAAGTACAGGAGAAAGCGGAAATACGAGGGAAGAAGACGCCGAGACGGCGCAATTAGCCGAGGGTTTCGTACAGACTGCTCCTATTCCGCCACTGCAGCAGCAACAACAACAACAACAATTGCAGAGGGAAACACCACCATCGGCACCCTCGATACCGGCGCGGCCGGCACAGGGCGTACCGCAGCCGACGAGAACCGTTCCGCTACCCCCAGATCCCGTGGGACAGGCCATGGCGCACCGAGCCAGGGACTTTGACCATGACGCTGGTGTGCCCGTATGGATAGACTATGCCATTGTCTCGCTTGTCGCTGTCTTGGTCGCCATGCTCATCAAGATTCTGCTTGGCTACTGAGAGAAAGCCTGACGCGAAAGAGTGTTCATGTGTTTTTTTGTTCATCTCATTGTTCGGCGAGACCAAAGGCGTTTGAGATATATTGGGTGCGCAAATTCTCTTGCTTTTTCTTTTTTCGAGCATTGTTGCTTTTGTCAAGGTGTTCCGAGGCGTTGGGACTTGCAGGATGCTGTGTAATGCATCTGCAGATAAAGGAATGGTCTGGTATCTGCATTGGGAGTTTTACAGCTTGTCTTTTAAATGAGTTCTCGACTCCAAGAGTGATCAATATAAGAATCAATCAATAAGCATGTGGATGATCCATGAAAGGGAAGAAAGAATATTCAATCCACAGTGCAAATTCTATGATATATACAAGATATGTATTCGCTAGATTTTGAAGCCAAAAAGCAATACTGTCCCATTCCGTGGTTGCCATGTTCTAGAGCATACCTGGCTCTAGTCTCGTTACAAATACAAACGGGCACTTACTCCTGTACCTCTCTACTCATGGTGAATAACACAAATGTCCAAAATGATATATTGGTTTCTCTTGCTGCTTCGAGGATGGTACCAGGTGCCCTCCTATCCAAAGTAGAAGCTAATTCTCGTGGATAGGAGGGGGAAGAAGTAACACGCATTGCTAGGTATCATTTATCTTGTTTAGTGAAGCTTTTCTTATTGATTGAATTATACTGTCAAGAAACCTGTCTTGAGGCCATGTAATCACCTCATCTCGAGACTCTTTCCCTTGTCCACTGCCTGATCACCAACCACGAGCCACCACCATTCGCTGACGGTGGCACCATGTCCGGCTGCAACTCTGTCTATGAGACCCATGCCCTCAAGCCAATCCATAATAAGCTGAGCTTCAAAGACTTCAACCACGGGCTGAAGTAGGTCTACAGAACCGTCTGCAGCCAGTGGACCTTTGACTGAAACGGCAAAGGCAACAACGGCAAGGTATTGTGCCCATCGTGCACGATCTATGTTGCCAAAAAAGTCACACCAGATCGGTATCTCTCCAAGGGGCCCCTTTGTCGGGATAGGCACCTTCATTGCCGCTGTGAGAAGAGGGAGATCCTCGTTGCTAATGTAATTCTCTGTAGGAACCACCTTGACTTCAAAGATATAGTACCGTTTCGGATACTTTCTGCCCTCGTAGTTTCCCGGCTCGAAGCCAAACGGTATGTGGGGAAAATTGACGTCCTCGAGTCGAATCCGACCATATGCCTGCAGGTTGATCATGGCCATGATGGTGCCATCATTGGAGTTGATGGGAATATGGACATCTCTGCCGCTGCGGAATGCCTCATCCAGTTCTGCCTTGAAAGCAATGGCCTGGGAATACTTGTCTGCGTGAGCGTGCTTCTTGAGCCGGAGTTCAAGATGGTTATTCAATTTGAACACCTGACCGAGTCCCTTGCCGAATAGCTTGGAAATTACCTTGGTTTCCAGCAACTGCGACACTGCTCGCTCAAGAAGCTCATCCAAGGACTCCTTGTCACGGTTTCCACGCCGCAGCAACTCTTCTCGAATTTCCATTCCCACCGTAGATTGCTCCTTGTTATTGCACAGAGCCCGGACCCAAGACCGTGCCAATTGCAAATCCGCTTCTGTCATGTCTCGAGCAGTAATGGAGGATTTTGTAGCCGGCAAGGTCAGAGGTAAGCTGGCTGCAGCATCTAGACGGTCCCACGTCGAAGTCTGGAAATGAAACCATAATTCCCGCCAGTCCTCTTCGTCCTTTTTCGGATCGGTCATGGTGTATTCCGTGTCGAATTGTGCGCGCGTGGTAGGCAATTCTACCCCTGTGTGAGTCTTTAACTTGACTCCCCATCTGATCAGGGCCCTCCAATCGTAGTTTGCAAGGTCTTCGTAGTCCAGAGGGGCAATCTCTCCCTTTTCATATGCTTCGAGAAACGCTGCTTCGAATTTTCTGCTGAGTGCTTCAATATAGCTGGCTCTTTCTTTGGTTACCCGAATCCAGAACTTTCTGATGCCTGCAACCGACCACTCTGGATAGAGCTTCAGGAAGAGACCCCAGTCAGTGATTCTGTCGACACCACCAAGGAGTTTTCGAATCATCACAATAGCGACAACCAGCTCCGTTTCTTTCTCTCTCCCAATGGTGGCTCCTACTGCTCGTTCCTTGTTCCATCGTCCAGTCTCTCGTTTCGTAATCGGAAAAAGGACACGGTGCTTCCAATTGCCTTGGGATCGCTTAATAAAGCGGCGGGGTCTAGCACTATTATCGTCCTTTACGCGCTTTCCACGCCTCCTAGGTGCTTCCACAACATAGGTTTGCTCCGGAGGATTAGGATCATCGTCTTCAGAGACGGCCAGAGTAATCTCGTCAGGGATATTCTTGGCAGACAATTGAAACTCGGGCTGCCATTCCGCAATAACGGGTTCTGAAGGTATGAGATCCGGCTCCAGAGTCAGATTGATGAAGATGTGTTCTGGTGCAATGTTCCCCATATTCTGGAGATAAGCCCCTTCGGGAGAGCGCTCCCAAGCCTCAATCGCTGAGACATTAGGTCCGAATGATCCATAACGGGAGAATTCTCGTTCCGCAGCATCACTCCTAAGCTGAGCTCTTTCCACCATTTCTTTTCTGTTCTGGGGGAGATTTTGCCGTAGAAACCAACGAATCTCTGGAAATGTCCCCACAACCGCAAAACTTCCACCAGATTTGTCCATGAAATGTGCTTGGGATAGATTGTTGGGCCAGGTACCATCTTGGAGTTGCCTGATCGAGTGTATAGAGGTGAATGTAGTCGTGCCACGCTTCTCATCGACCTTGTCCACATTGATTGGAGATTCACCATCAACGATGTCGTCTTCTGTTTCTCCATCCTCCTCGTCAGCTTCAAGCAGATTATCTGTTGAGGCAGTAGCCCTCTCGAATGTTTCTGGCGTTGTAGGCGCAATAAAGTGAATCGAGGACGATGCTTCGAGAGCTTGTGCGAGCCCTGGAGGAGCGACTTCCATGGCCCATCGGGTGTCGAGTTTGGCAGCAGCCCGCCAACCTGTGCGAAGCTTTGATAGCCTACCGCGCTTGTGGACTTGGAAATCATCATCAGCCTCGCTGGCATGGCCGACAGCTTCCGTTCGTCTTCGTTTTCGGCGGCTTGTTGCGCTTCGGGGTTGCACTGAATCGTCGCTATCATCTCCTGTCTTCTGGTTGGTTGGGGGGCCTGTAGTGCCTGACCGAGCTGATGGTTTTTCATGGTCTAGTCTTGCAATGTTCTTTGCAGCGGTTTCCGATGGCGTGTCAACGTTGCTACCCTGGGCCGGAAAGCCACGGTGTTTCCTAGCGAGCTCCGTACACATCTCTAGCTCCTGCTTAGAGATTGACAAACGACTCGGAACGTAGGGATTTGGATAAAGCTCCTCACACTTGTTCTTGACCTCGGCAATCTTTTTCGAGATACTGTCTGGCATGGGCTGTGAATTTGTATGGTAATAACCACGACAGATGACAGAGATAGGTTGAAAAGAACCATGAAAGATCTTGCCAAAGTGATGAGCTGTAATCTTGTGCTCTCTTTCCATGCTTTTGATAAGTTTCTGGAATTGTTTCCATTCCAGAACAGGCAAAGAAGCACGTTTGACTTCTCGGCTCCAAGTGGAAGCAACCAGACAGTACAGTGAGACATCGCCAGGGAGGACCTGGTCATTTCGCTCAAGGAGCTCAAGTACAAGCTCGATTGTGAATTTTTTTCGATCCTGCTCTGCCTTGTGCTTGCCATAGAGTTTCTGGCCTCCCGCCGAACTCGAAGGAGCGCGGGTTTCACGAGCACTGTTGGTATTCCCCGCAGGTGTTGTCCTAGCAGGAGAGACCGCGGCAAGAGGGGTATGGTGCTCTACCGGGGCCGTTCTGACTTCTATTCGCTGTGGCGTCTCCGTATTTCGTGTCTTGCCAGTCGCTGACACGTCAAGTACGCCATGTACCGCTACTGGTTGCACAGTAACACTACGAGTTGCAGCTCTGGTCGTTTGAGCTGGGAGAGGTGGTGCAGACTCTGCGAGTTTTGGCCGGCGCGATGGAAGTGGCCGCTTAGGGGTCGCAGATGTTCTCTCCGGTGATTCATTTGCATCATTCTGCAGGGCTTCGCCAGTGCGTTGCTCGTCTCGACTGGGTGGCGCCTTCGCCATAGGAGCCGGGGGAGGAGCAGGTTGCCAATCAGGATTGCAGACGGTCTGCGACTTCTTTTGATGGTATTCAAGACCATTGATGTTTTTGTAGCCAACACCGCATTTGTCACATTGAAATCGCTTGTTGCTGCTCCCTCGGCCACGTGCCGCCTTCTGTCGTCTTTGAACCGGTGTCTCGAGGGCAACCGGCGTCGCGTCAACATTGGGTGTCTCTGCAGTCTCTGGATCCTCTTCGAGTTCGAATGGGCTCGTGGCTTCTGGAAGGGGAGTCTCAATAGCCCTGGTTTCAACGCTTGGTCTAGGTTGATTGAAGAACTGGGGATCGCGAAGAGCTGGTGATACAAATTTCATGACGATCGAGTTTCGTGGCCGACCTTTGCTCTTGAAAGGGTCTAGAGAGTTCTTCTTCCCGTAGTAGACGCCTGGCGGTAGAGATGGCGGAGGAGTTTGCTCTCTCGGGCTTGATTCTCTATGTGCAGGTGATGTGCGTCTCGCTCTCTTTCTTGCAGCAGGCACAATATCATCTTCGTCAACTTCGTCCCGTTTGTGGCCGACTCTCTGGATAGCCCTGGTTCCCAAGACCGGCCTGTATCCTCTTGCTCGACCACCCGATTTCAAAAACTGGCTTGAAAGGGGAGCAGGGAAAGGATTGTCCTCTGATCGAGACTCATTACCGTGTGTAGGAATATCTCCTTCTTTGGAATCTACTTGTCCCGTAGGTTCTGGTAAGCCATCAAGACTTTTCGGAGGGCCCTGATGCGCATAGAACTTGTACGTCATTGTCCTTCCTACTCGCGTAAAGTCCGAGTGGACAGCAAATGGTTGTAGGTGCGGTGGCAAGGAACGCGGTAAGCTGATCAAGGTGGTCAAGGTAGAGATAAACTTGCGATACGGCCAGCCAAGATTGAACATGCCAAGCTCGGTATTTGAGGAGCCCTTTTCACTGCCACGTTTGATTATCTCAAAGAAGGTGCTAGTCAGAGGTTTGTAAGGATCCCAAGCTGACAGTTTGATCAATGCAGAGCTCGGAGGAGCTCGTCTTTGCGCCTTTTTGGCTGCAGAGCTTTTACCAGTCTTCTGCGTTTGAGGTGACATTTCCATCGCGGAGTCGACATTGGATGCAGCAGACTTCTTGTTCTTCCGCCGGGTAGAAGGGATTCTGAGGTTGGCCTTTGGAGTACTCATATAGTCGACCCACTCTTTGGGTGTTGGATCCCGGACGTACTTTAAACAATCTTTGAACAGCTTGTTTTTCTGCTTGGAATGCATTGGCTCAAATCGCACCACTCCCACCCGAGCCCACCAGCGCGAGGATTTGGCGAGTCCACGCATTATGGTAACATGTCCTTCTACGTTCATCTTCGAGCGGAGATCGCAGTACCGCATAGCCGTGAAAGCTTTGAGGATCATTAGAAAAGCTTGGGAGATGGACAAGTAATTGAGCGGCTCTTGGCTGTACAAGTGGCTGAAAGGAACAGGGTCCCAATTGTCCGTGATCTCACTTGCTGGAGTGTTGAGAACATCTTCTGGCAATCCGCGAGGCGCATCGTCGTCATCTTGAACGCTATCGGAGAACTGAGCTAGCCACAGCTTGCTCGTTTTACATCCTCGAAGCATGGTCTGTTTCTTGATGATATATCCTTTTCGTGCCAGAGCGTCAGTGCGTGTAGGCAAGGAGCGCTTGTCTTGACCCGTCAATCTCGTAAGGTCTCCCTGAAGAATGCCCGCTGTCCCTACGGAAGCAATGGCGACGAGGGCCTTCCATTCAAAGACGGGGATCCGTTTGTAGTCGGGTCCATGGCCTGCAATAGCCCTCCATTGTCGTTCCTCTGACAGAAGTAGACGGACATGGTCCTGAACAGTCTCGTCTGACGAATCTTCATCATTATTACTCTGCTCTGTTGCTGCCTTGGTGGATGGGTCAGACAACTTGAGCTGGGTAACTAGATCTGCGAGTGGCCGGGTTGCAGCACTCTTGGGTGTCACAATGACATCTTTTCTTTTTGTGACCCATCGCCAAACGATTGACGCGTGCGCAACTTCCTCTGCCGTGACTTGTTTGTCGTTGGAAGCTGCTTGTCCACCATTCGCATCACTGCCTTGGCGATAGAAGGAAGAAACTGCCTTTACAAATGCAAGGGCAGATAGTCCTAGAATTTGGTTAGTTATTATTTGTGGTGGGAGCTGCAAATGCAAGGCTGCCTCACCTTCCAATCCCGAGAATGCAATCTTTGTGAGGAGTGACTCGATCAGCTCATCGAGTCCTTGCTCCATTTTCCACGACTCCTGATAGACATAAGTGCGTCTTACAGGAGAGCTGGATAGTTTAGCCGTTTGCTAGCTAGCACAAAATAGTTGTAATTTTGCACCAGATTGATTGGGGATAGCTGTTGAATCGAAATTGGTTCAAGTTTGTGAAAATTGTCCCTAATATGCGGATTGCATTGAAGGATGGGCAAGGCGCCTGAACCAGCAGGTCGAATTGCTTCTGATGGGCCAGAAATCCCAGGTAGCTCGTTCGCACGCGCTGGTGCTCCGTAGAGTTTCTCAACAGCCCAGTGAAGTGGCAAAATCCCTGGTGAAGTCACAGGCGTCCTGACAATAGCTGAAATGGACAAGGCTATTATTGTACTCGAAGAAACCGTAGTAAGAAGTGATGCAAATTAAATATTGCGATGGCGTGGATTGACAAGAGGATGAAAAGTCGCGTTTGAGGCCAAAGGAGAATCGAACCTGTTGGCTCCCGAAATTTTTTGAGACAGCTCTTTTTCCCCCCAGGCGAGGCCCAGGTGGGGCGGGGCACCTTTTAGCCAAAGCTTCCAGCAGGTACATCAAGGTGATCTCTCACATGCTTTAACAACCGTTGGGGCCAAACACTAAACTTCATGGTATGTAATTGATGCATTTTAGCAAATCAAATATTAACACTTTATCTATGGGTATTTGAAGTGTAAAATCCAATCTTCAAAAGTTGGCCATTTCTTTAGATATTCACTGCTCATTGCACAGGTTGCCGCCTCGCCGCATCAGAAACTAGCGATGAATTGATTCCGAGGCGAGGTTTTCAACATAGTAAATGTTCTAGGTTAGCATATGGAGTAGTATTGTGTTCCATATTTTATGGTTGACGAAGACTTGGCCTCTTTCCTTCCATCAACTTTCGGTAAGAGGCAACAATATCGTCCCTGACCTCCTGAAGCTCCTCTCGTCTCCTCAAACTGCCTGCAGCTTTGGGAACACCGTCGACTGCCACGGTGGCGCCACGGACAGTCAGCTTCTTGGGCTTCTTGAGGTGCAGCTCCGGAGGCGCCTTTGCGATATCGTGCAGTCCAGGCCTCGACTCGCCTCTTTTCCGCTTGAGCTCTTCCCATGGGTCCTCCTCGGCGCCGGCAACCTCGTCCAGGTACTTGGCACGTTTGCCCTTCTTCTTCTTCTTGCCTGTTGCAGGAACCTGGGTGTTGGCTTTCCACGAGATGCCCGCCTCCTCGTCCTCCATCTCCTTCTCGGCCTTTAGCTCTGCTTCTTCAGCCTTTTCTTCTTGAATCTTTCGCTCCTCTTCTCTCCACTCATCGTATAGCTTGTGCATTTGCTTCTCCTTTCTGGTGCGCCGAACCTTGAGACCAAGGGGATCTTTTCCATTCTTCGCGCTCTTGCTGATCAATCCTCCGACCGGCAGAGCAGCATCCACACGTGCAGCAAATTCCGACATGCGCTCGCCCGGTCGAATGGTTGGCACCTCTGGCTTGTTGTCCTTGGTTTGCGTCTCAGCGGGCGCTTGCTCGGCAGCTTTCTTGTTGTTCTTTTTCTTGGTCTTGGTCTGTGGCGCATCGCCATTGTCAAGTCCCGACCTTGGCTTTTTGCCGTCAGAATAAGCCATCAGTCTCCTGAAAGCCCGCGGCATGTCATTTTGACCACCCTCTCTCTTTCGCTTGTTATTCTTCGCTTTGGCATCTTCGTCTGGTTTTGAAAAGAACGAGTCCTTGACAGGTAAAGGACGGGCGATCTGCGTAGGCGGCAAATCGAACCTGTGTCCGAATAGAGGTCAGCGAGCCATCCTTCTGTGTGCACTTGAGAATACGTGTGGAGAAAACAAGATAACCTACGTAGAGGCGTCCCTATCTTTGCGGGTGTGTTTGTGAGGCATTGTCAAGGTGATTGCGCAAGGCGATGTGAAGGTGTCAAGCGCTCGATGGTCCCGCCAGTCCTCAGCATCAGGAAAAAAAAAAAAAGTTAAACAGCATCTCCAATGGAGTCGACAAAGCCCCACCCAAGTGGCCCACCCCCACCAGACTTGGCGCCAAGGCCGTTAGTCCACAAGATCAAATGTCTCCAATGCCGCTCACTACCTGCCACAACATTGAAATCCGGCAAGATGAAGTAGCGTACGATTGTAAAATTCACCATTCTCTGGCTTTCGACAAAGGCACATTCATAGTCATTGATTCGATCATTCAAATCTTGCCTTGCATTAAATATCTCGGTTGTCCTTGTCGTATCGTGCCAGAGCAGACTCACTTTACCTGTACGCATCGCATGAGAGGCTTCATAAACAGGTGCAGCAGTACGAGTAAAGTTCAGTCTTGGGACATACTATCTCATAGACGGCCGGTGCTCCAAGATCATGAGCACGAATGGATTGGCGTTATGAAGTGAAAGCGTTTCACAAGTTCTTCGTGGCCCTTGTCTTCGACTCAATGGTCGTCTGTTCGTGTTGGATGTTTGTCCGTCAAAAGGGCTCTCTTTGTGCGTGACCAATTCTGAGCACTAGGATAATATGCTCTGCCTGTACGATATAGATTGACAGAGGTACCTAACGTGGAGCGTGCAACTGAGTGGTTGCATGAGCAGACAAATCTCTTGGACAGGCTGGGCGATTCTATTTTGGATCCTTCCCGCTCCTATCTCGTCCCACTATCCTAGTACGAGGATGAATACCTGCGTATCAAGACGGGAGGCTCTCGAAAAAGTCAGGCACTGTTGCGCGTCTTCGTCATTTCTACTACAACTGATCAAATGCCAAGGCGATCAGGGTCCTTTTTTTGTAGTCTGTACATAAAATAGAATGGAGCCGTTTCGGCAAGGGACGGCGCTAGGCTATGCCAACCAATAATGGATTTTTCGCATTTGAATACGACTCCAGTCCCGCCGAAACGATTAAAGTATTGCCTAGCAGCCTGCGATCATCGTTTTCATGTTATGCTATAATCCCCTTACGATGCCATAAATATTTTCAATTTTCCTTCTTCTTGATATATTTCTTGTTGCATTTCTCGTTCTATTCTATTCACTCATTCACTCATTCACTCATTCCCTCATTCCCTCATCCATATTCTTATTCTATCCTTTAACCATGTCAAACTCTACGAATACGACGGCGGGATACGCTCCCTTTGACCTCTACCCATATAATCCATCGCAGCCTCCTGCATACGCTTTCTTGGGTCTTTTTGGTTTCGCCGCCGTAGTGCATTTTGTACTTATGATTCCATATCGAGTCTTTTTCCCTTTTCCAATGGTAATTGGCTGTGCAAGTAAGTGCTTCCAAGACTTTACTGTACCTTTTCGTTTATACGGAAAAGCTAACAAGAGTTGATCACAGTGGAGGCAGGTGGCTATTATTTTCGATCTCAATCCCACGACAACGTACGCCAAACCTTGCCGTACATCATTCAATATTTGTTGATCTTTGTCGCGCCGCCCATGTTGGCTGCCATGATCTACATGTCTCCGGGTCGAATCCTCCACGCGCTCCACGCCGAGGACTGTTCCATCTTCAGCCCACGCTGGCAGGCCAAGCTGTTCGTGCTCATCGACATGTTTTGCTTTGCCACGCAGTTTGCGGGAACCATCATGTCGGACAGTGATACGGGGCCCACGCTGCTCCTGGCGGGCTTGATTGTCCAGGTGGCCGCCTTTGCACTGTTTATAGTAGCCCTCCTCGTCTCGCACAAGCGCCTCAACAATCGACAATACGAGCTCTCGAGAGCGGCACCAGACGTCCATTGGAGGCGTTACTATGGCGGCTTGTATTGCGTCAGCGGTCTATTCCTGATTCGCAATTTTATCCGCATCATTGAACAGAATCAGGGTGACGACGGAGCCATTTACACCACGGAAGCCTATCTTTACATTTTTGACGCCGTCTTCATGTTTGCCGCTGTGGTGGTCATGATCGTTCTGCACCCTGGCAAGCTTGTGCGAAATGCTGTACGCGCTGCCAAGGCTGCGGATTTGGAAAACGAACTGGCCATGAAATAGTCTTGTTGGTGGGTGTTGCCCATATATAATGGTTTTCGGCATGGCGATGTCCACGACTGGAAGTTTCGGGGTCAGTAGATGGCAGACCTTAAACCAAACGCAGTGCCAGAAATGTGCTAGCGCACTCGCCAGCAGCCCGGCAGAAGCGTCTCAGAAGCGGCGCATGCGGAAAATAACTTTTTCCAGTTTTTTACGGGCCTTTGCCGCATTGCAATCCTTTTCCTATGTGTTAGATGGTGGATCATGGTTCCCATACACTGGGGTGTGCTTGAGCACACTAACAAACACCATAGTCGCAGCAGCGTGGGCCAAGATTTCCACTTCCTGTAAATGACCCTGTCGGATACCTCGCTAATTCGAATGAAAAGAATTGTTTCCAGGCTTCTGCTAGTGTACACGCCACTGGATTAGAGTCCTGTACCCGTCTTCAGACTGACTGATTGACGAGCTGCGGTCTTCTGCCTACACCATTGAGAGCGGTGTCATGCCGTGGTTGTGTCCCAATACGCCGCATGGAAGCCAAGACGTTCTAAAGAGTTACAGCAAAGGAAATGCGCGCAGGATTCGGAAGGTATCTCTAAAATTTGATCGAAGGGTGTTTTCCAGCAGCTCCGTCCTGCTAGATTCAAACATCGGCACCGTTGAAGCCCTTTGCAACGTACCTAAACGAATGATTTATGGCGAAGCACGACCAAAGATACGGAACAGGTGTGAGCGGAGTCTTATTTGATCGTGAACTGATGGGTCGCCGGGGCAATCAATCAGTGGAAGCAGGTGCACAACAAGCAAATGACGAACAGATATCAAAAATAAAAACTTTCTTCTTCGACCAGTCGCAAGGCTCGGCTATCAGCACGTTTCTCCAGACCCCCAGTTGAAAACCTGTCATTCTTTCCAGCCGTCTTGATCTTCTTCCCTTGATCCAGCAACATCACAGGACATAACAAAATCGTCAAGTTTACCGGCCAGTCCAATATTATGCGATTATTCTACCGCAGATTACCTGTTTGATGTATTGAATGGATCCTCAGAGCTCGTCTCGTGTAGCTCCATAAATCAAGTCAAACTTTTTTTTCATTAGCTCCTTGATTCATATCGAATCCTTCCGATTAGCTTATTAGCCTCGCTATCTCACCTAGGCAAGCCTCATATTATCCATGATATGACTCTTGCCAAAAATCCTTAATACAACTCCAATACATTTGAAGGATGCAAACCCCCAGCCCCCTCCGCTTTCCGGCGGTGTACTGCGACTGGATTGCGAATAGCCGGGGTATATAAGCAGCCGATGCCGAACATGATCTATAGTCTCTCAGATGACGGTAATTACATTTGTTCTCGGGAAATAGGAATAAGAACAACTGGAAAGTCGTGTTTCCTCCGCCTTCGATACCGCAGCTATGGGTTCCCAGCTTGATGATGTGACTCTCAAGATCATTAATTCTCCAAAATTCGAAATCATTACTACATTCTTATATTCAACAGGCCTGCGAGAGAGCTCCAGTATAACCGAAGGAAACCAAACTCCCCTGAACAACTGCTACCTTCTTGATTACGGCCTCCACCGCCTCCGTGCTGCAGCAGTCGACTTTTCGTTCGCTCAAGCTCTGTCGAGTCTCGACTGCCCCGGGCTTCTTGAAGCATTGGCATCCGATATTGAAAAACGTTACTTGGAGGAACATCCTCAAGATGGACGCCGTGCGGACAAAAATTTCATCGTCCGTCTAGCTTACGGGAAAAATGGGGAGGTGCACATAATGACCGGACCGCGCCCTCGTATCCCGTTTATTCAATATTATCCGACAACGCTGCCTGATCCAAACGCCACCAACATTGGTGTCCCTGTTGTTGATTTATTCGTCGATCCGGGTCGCATTGAACCAACACTATTTACAAAGCACAAGACGACATTTCGTGACGATTATTCAGATGCGCGCGCAAGAGTGGGCTTAACGCCAACGACGCCATTCTTGGAGGGTGAGGTTCTACTTGTAAACCAGCGAGATGAGGTCTTGGGGGGTGGCTTCACCACAGTTTATTTCTGGCGTAACGGGTCTTATGTCACACCGGCTAGCAGTAGCGGTGCCAAGATTGGTGTATCACGACGGTGGGCCTTGGAAAATATCGATGTGCAGGAAAGCGTGGTTCTCATCAGAGACGTGCTCGAGGGTGAGCATGTTTGGTTGAGTTCTGCAGTCAGTGGCTTCTGTCGCGGAAAGATACGATTCATCAACGAGGCAATGTAAGCACCAAATTAGGCAGTAAATTCACCAAACTGGAACCAAAGCATATATTACGAGATACTGTGGGCAAATTCTCAAAGCTATCAGGCACAAGTCATGATCTGTCATGATTGTCAAATAATGGATAACATTTCTTATGCATCTGCATGTTCTGTGGCAGAATTCTTTTTATTACAATGACCCTCAGCTCTTATGCCAAGGTTTGCAAGTTGGAACTCTGGGGTAAGGGAAGTAAGTTCTCGGCCACGGCGGCTTCACGAACGAAAATATCAGAAACGCACAAGATTGTTTGATCAACGCCTAGCTAGTATACACCAGAGAAGATGTCGAGTTAGCCAGGCATATAAGGAGCCGGGGGTTGTGGATCCACGAGAAAGCATAGGAAGGGGACGGCGACACCTCTATGTTGTATAGTAGTGGGTTCCCACCCTGCCAAAGAGAAATACCTAGTAGTCAGCTCCGATACCGAGGCCCATGTAATGATTGAGCGGTGGAAATTTGTACTCCCAGCCTGTATGTATACTAAATATATAGCACTTGAGCTTCATGAGCAAAAGAAATGGGTGGTAGTTATTCATTCGTTTTTGCAAACTCCCTTGCTCAGACAGCACCCAATTCGTGACATTGCAAGATTATTTGACATAATTACTTGACAAATTCGTCAAAATGGTGGCAGAATCAAAGGCCCGGGTCCTCATTATTGGAACTGGAGGTGTCGGTACCATGACTATCTATGCTCTAGAAATCGGGGCCAAGGCCGAGGCGACCGCGGCGTTGCGATCCAGCCATGAAGCTATCATGAAGAACGTCACCAGCATCGACTCTCTAGAGCATGGACAGGGCATCAAGGGGTTTAGATCAACTCACAACAAGTCCAACCTTAACCCTCCCTTCCAACCTGAATCATAACTTGGGGTCCACTTCTAACAATTGTTCGCGCTCAAGGTTCGAAATACAATCCCTAATGTTGCTGCCGTGAAGCTGAAGCCAGTTGACTTTGTCCTAGTCACCACAAAGCACATTGCCGACGTCCCGCCTACTGTCGGTGAGCTCGTCACTTCATCACCTTGTCCAGCATTGACGAGATTGGACGCAAGACGCCTCTTTTGGTAGACTTGAAAACGAGTGGAGAGAACTACATGACGGATTTTCACAACTCGGGTGCGTATCCTCAGTTGTACCACTTTCAAAGGCCGATAAGATGCTGGTGTTTCCATTCAGGTGGCATGTCTGTACTTTTGCGCGAGCTGAAATCTTTGCTATACCTTGACGCCATGACCATCACTGGGCGGACACTCGGACAAGAACTAGCATCAGCAACAATCTTGTCAATTCCTACAGACTTAAGCATTGTACGACCTTTTGACGAGCCGCTTTACCCAGCATCGTCTCTGGCCGTGCTTAGGGGAAATCTGGCACCAGGTGGTTGTGTCATCAAGGCAAGCGCTTCCAAAGTAAGACGACTACTAAAGCATTCTGGGCGTGCCGTCGTTTTTGCCAACTCGGCAGATCTGGCCGCACGCATAGATGATCCCCATTTGGACGTTACTGCAGACGATGTGCTCGTCCTAAAGAATATCGGCCCTATCGGAAACCCCGGAATGCCTGAGGCGGGTGTCATCCCCATCCCTCGAAAATTGAGCTCCCAGGGCGTGATGGATATGCTGCGGATATCAGATGGACGCATGAGCGGAACGGCTGGAGGCACCATTATCCTCCACGTGTCGCCTGAAGCCGCTGATCCAAAGTCTGTTTTGGGCATCATCGAAACTGGTGATATTGTTACTTGTGATCTTGACAGCAGATCCATCAACGTGAATCTTTCCTCTGAAGAAATTGATAAACGACAGGCCAAGAGAATGGAGGAACTCAAAACCGCGGATGCGCCATGGATGAGTCGAGAAGCCACACGAGGTTACAGAGGACTATACATGAGAACGGTCAATCAAGCCGAGGAAGGCGCAGATCTTGATTTTCTTAGGGCCTAGCAGTGTCAGACTTTCTACCCAAGTGAGTCTATTACCACTCATATGGAAATGTTGGGGTATTGACTTCATCTTCTTCATAGCGCTAATCGCTCTTGGGGGATACGATGATCTCCGTTGGCTCTATAGAAGGTGTTTCGCCGTCTATGACTGCAACCGAACCGTCAACCGGACTAATGGTGTCTTTCATGTATTTGTATCGGGCTGCGTAGAACCAGTAGCCCACAGAAAAGATGACTTCCGCTCCAACAATGATGATGGCCCAATTCATGTTGCCCAGGTTGTCCTCGTCGACCGGAATGTACAATGGAAACCTGAAATAGTACGTATCAGTGACTTCCCATGGCATTCAGATTTTCCAACAGCAGTTTCACACTTACAAATACATGAACACCATTAGAACAGCCCAGAAGACTGATATATAGTTGATGATAAGGCCCCATCGGCCCAGGTCAAAGTGCGGCCGCGGGGGTAAAATTTCTCGACCTCGTATGAGCACCTGCAATCCCACGTAAGCACAAGGCAGCACAGAGAAGAAGGCTTCGGGTTTTCACGTACAGCTATAATTGGTGTTGCATAGGCCAGTTGGAAGAAGACACCACTTCCGCTAACAATGGCGTAGAATGCTAGGTCGCTCCCGAGGGATATAAGACCTGTTGCAGGAATTAGCCGAGTTGCCCTCAAAGGGAAAAGATACCCGAGTAAAAAGAGGATGATTGAATGTTCGGTGAATAGGAACATCATACCGACAACAATTTCTGCGGCAAAGACGAGTAGCATCATATTGAGGGGAATGCCAAACCGAGGATGCAGTTGGGCCAGCCATTCAGAGTATGGAAAAGCTCGGTCTTGGGCCATTCTCCAGCCTAGTCTTGAGCAGGATGACATAATTCCGACACATATGAGCAACTATTGAAGATCGATGGGTCAGCACGATGCTATAAAGTATCGCTTGGGTACAGGGATCTTACGTTGTTGAGACAGAAAAGAATCACTACCCACAACCCACCACCATATATGCTACCTGTCACATCGATGAACCAAGCCACATATGGTGACCTAGAAATCGAGATCAATTTAGTTATCTGCGTCAAAAGTTTAGGTAGGGTTGACTAGGTGTTGAAACTTACAGTGCTTCCGCGTAGGCTTCATAGTCGCCGCAGCAGAAGAGCAAGATGAGATCTGACGCGATCGCTGTAACGCTGGCAAATACCATGGACCAAACCATGGCGCGCTTCAATTATGGCCATTATAATTAGCAAGTATTCCTATGATGCCTATCCACGGACAGAATCGAGGCAGTGAGTGAACATACCGGTGCATCCTTGGCGGCGTCCCTCATCTCTTCTACCACGTGCATCATCGAATCGGTTCCATATAACCCATACATGGAGTTGTAACAAGCCATGATGAACACCCACCCTGAGCTTTTGTATCCTGTGTTATTGAGGAAAGTAGTAAACACAAATGATGCATCAGACTTGGGAGCCATGGCAAGAAAAGTAATGGCATATGCCACAAAACCCACGACGGTGAGGACTGCGCCGAATGAACTGTAAGCGGGTAGCATCGAGGCATTTATGTTCATGAGCAACGGAACGATGATCATGGGAAGGTAAACCACGAACGTCATCCAAGCCTAGGTGAGACAGTATTAGCAGATCAAGTCTTGATTTGCAGAAAGAATCTCCAGTCCAGGGCCAGTTTCACCTTCCACTCGAGATCAGGGTACAGTATAGAAACAAAAGAAGATATGATATCAGCATTATTCAGGGCGCACGAGGCGCTGACTGACATCTCCGCCACTATAAGGCCCCATCCGACCAGATAGGAAAGCAATGGACGCCAACGAGGGCTCGCGAGAACCTGCACATAGTATTGCTGGCCGCCTGCCGTGGGCCATATGCCGCAATACTCGGCTAGGGACGCCATGAGAAGCGTCTGTCCGATGGCAACCACTACGCTTTTTTGATCGAAGAAAGACATCGGTCAGCTTGATTCGTAATTTGATACGGATTGGTAATAAGACTCACGTTCCATACAAGAGACCGACTGGACCTCCAATGTCAAATATAGTACCGTAGAGCACAACAGTGCAGGACCAGGTGGCACACATCATGATCTGGTACGCACACACTAGTAGAATGTTAGCAAGCTAAACTCAGCCAATTGCGTTCTTCCCAAATTCCACAGCGTAGTCGGTGCAACTAACGTGTCCAAAAGTTGTATACTCTCTTCATCTCGGGTTTCTTCCCCATGAGCATGAGGGTAAAGTCGTCCGCATCGACGCTTGCTTCATCGTGCTTTGCAATGACCTCGTCCAGGAGCGCGGGCTTGGTCTCATGGGGATGGTGGTTGATGGCGGCAGACACCACCGACACGTCGTTGTTCGCCATTTTCGGTCGTGCTTGTTTTCTTCAGTCGGAGTAATTCCTGGGTGCGTCAAGTCACAATCTACTCAGAGGTGACAACGTGACCAGGAACGAACAACAAAAGTGCCAAGCTATGCAAGAAGTTTTGAGCAACGGCTCGTCGCAGAGCCTTTGAACACTGGCTCATCTAAAGATAAGGGAATAAGCATTTGCCCCACGCCCGTAGATTGGACTTGTCGTGCCGGATTGGAAGCGCGTGAGTGCAACACAAACAAATCCGTTAGGAATACCCGAGCCATGCCACAAGGCGGTATGCAATTCTTGTGCTCCTCTTAGCTGCATTACGAGATAAGGCAGGAAAGGTTCCAGCTGATATTAGCAGCAATGCTTGTTCCTGGTAGCCAAGTTGTGTCTAGACTATACATTACCCCACGATAGACCAGCTGACTAACGATTGATGCCGGGGGAGTAGAATGGAATCGTGGATGAATTGACGAATGACTGGACATTAGCCGCACTTTTTTGCCATATTCGTACATAGTCACTTTTGTAAAGTCTTGGTTATCGCCCAGGCGGCGGCCTCATAGTCTCCACTCCACACCCCTGCGGCGATAGCGATCTGGCTTCCGAGAGCTATTGTGTGTGTGTTCCTGTAAAGTCGCTTGCGCTGCTATCTCGGATCTCGCCAAGAAATTCGGCTGGGCCCTGTTCGATTGACCCTTGAAAGCATTTAGATCTCGAGTATCGTAGGACCGACCCGTATTAAAAGCCAAGGCGTCCCCCACTAGTTCGAGCAGTAATGGATATAAGTTCTCAAAACCTACAAGATGGTGTCGTCCCGCAGCATGACCCTACAGTCTATGAGACCGGGAAGAAAATGTCACTGACCTCATCGCCACAAGAGACGTCCATACAGCCATTTGAAGAGGCCTGGGGCAGTTCAGACGCCAATACTCGCAAGCACAATCTTCCAATGCCAGCTTCCAGCCAGCCGAGCGCTACTGCAACAGAGGATGCCTGGCAGAGGGTTACTGCTACTCTGCAGCATCGTATCCGATAATCGACCAGTAGGCTCCGAGCCACCCCGGAGCATCAAGACCTCGCCTACAGAGGCCGACATCATGTCCTGCAGAATGCCAAAAATTCGTCGCTTTTGAAAGCTGGAACGGGAATAGTTATGTTTCGCACATGACTTTACTTCCGACGAAACATATATGCCATTGAGTTCAGTCTGGACTTTTATAAGACTCTCCTCCGCACAACGTATATTGAAAGCTGCGGGACCAGGTCGACCGATTCCGAGCTGACGAATAGCGAGGATATGGCACTGCATTGGTCACCTAATGGTACATTGTGGCTGAGTTCCAGTTTGTGCACAAAACGTCCATCTGGTTGTAACCAATTGATCCTATACGAAGAGCGAATGAATTGTCGCTGGTCTTGGTAGTTATGGGACAGACAAGTGTTGGGTTATCGCAAAGGCAGTGCTCAAGGTGATGATGCACGGGCAAAGACCCAGGCTGTCCGTTCTCGGAATGCTACAAGATTCGAGATGATGACCTACGAGGCATGTCTCTTGAAAGTGCCCGTTCAGTAACTCTTAGAACACAATTTCATCCATGGCCGAAGATGAGCTTATTTTTTTTCCATCAGGCAGTAGCCATTTTGCTAGCCTTTGCACATGGATAGCCCCATTTCTCCTAGCCTACCAGGTCCCCATCATCCACTGCCGTTATTATAATACAAGTGGGGTTGTCCGATTTGAGCACCCAATAAGATATTTTACGCATTCCCGAATAGTCGCTAAGCCTCCCCCCGGATGATCAAATGCAACTTGGGCTCGGCCAAATTGGATGGAAAGGAGACCCCTTCACAACGGCTCTTAAGAGTGAAGAATAGCACAGGTTCCCTGTAACATTGAACAATTGCCGCGCTTTGTGATGTCATCAAGGCGAAGCTGTCGTAAAATTATGGTGTGCGCGCTGGAGCCTTTTTCAATGCTGTATAGGCCAGTCCTCCCCTCTGTACCTTGTGTGTGGTATATACGACCGTGTTCCACATACATGCGCCGAGATATAGGTAATCGAATATTCGCTAGGCCACCACTAATTGACCAATGTCGAAATGTTGATTTTTCGTATCGAATGCGGAGAGCCATAGTCCCAGCAGTTTCTTATTTCTCGGCGAGGACAGCAGCCCGCGACTCCACTGACTTCGCCGCACATGGCCGCTACACCCGTGCTGCAAACGGAAACATTTTCATATATATATATATCTGAACAAGAGCCCATCATGGACGCGTTAGGAAGCAGATCCCTCAACTGGTACAAGGGCACACTCGATCGTGGTTGCAAGATCTTGTCTCGGCACCATGTTCAGCCTTCAGGCTTCCTCGCTTTTGGCGGGCGCATTTCTTGGAGTCGCAGCCGCCGCTTCCAATTGCAGCAACACCTCCACGCCTTACTCTGCCTTGCCTCGCTGCAAAGTGACACCCAGTGATCCCGATTGGCCTTCAATCACGGACTGGCAGAGCTTGAACAGCTCCATCGACGGTGCACTGATCTCCACCATCCCGATCGCGTCGTCCTGTTATGCTGGAAACCCTTTTGGTGCTTCCGACTCCTGCGATGATGTGTCGTTTGGATGGGGCTACTCTTACTTTCACTCGGATCAGCCCGAATCCATCGATTATCCCATCTGGGCGAACAATTCTTGCCTCCCACCCAACGCGACCGGCTACGATCCTGCTGCGGGCTGTCACATTGGTGGATATCCGAGTTATGTGGTTAATGCAACTACTGCAGAACAAGTTGCCACTGCCCTCAAGTGGGCTTCGGATCGAAATGTTCGCGTGGTAGTCAAGGGCACTGGCCACGATCTAAATGGACGGTATGTCATCTTTGGACCAATGCCGTCTGCTGAGGCAAGAAGACCTAATATCAAAGCAGATCAACCGGCGCTTTCTCTCTGTCCATTTGGACACGCCATTTCAATGGTCTCGAGATTAACAACTCCTGGTTGGTTCCGGGGGCTAACGAGACAGCTCAAGTCCTCGTAACAGGAAGTGGTAACAATTGGGGAGAAGCACTACTGTACTCTCTAAATTACGACCGCATCGTAACCAGCGGTGTCGATCGAACCGTCGGCTTGGGTGGCTACATTCAGGGAGGAGGCCATGGTCCACTATCCAGTACGTACGGACTAGCCGCTGACCAGCTGCTCCAGGTCACAGTGGCTACTGTCGCTGGCAATATCCTGGTTTGCAATTCCGTGCAAAACCAGGACCTCTTCTGGGCCGTTCGAGGCGGAGGTGGCGGTCAGTATGGAGTGGTGACGGAATACGTCATTTTAACCTATCCTACTCCAGCGAATATTGCTGCATCTAGTGTGAGCATTATGGCCGCCAACATGTCCGACTATAGTGATGCCACTGTGAATGCCACATGGATTGCGTTGTCACAACTCATGTCAAGCTTCCCTGACATCATGGATCAAGGCATCGCCGGTAGTGGTGCTGCCTTTACTGGACTGTCGGGAAATAGCATCCTTGGACTATCCGAACCCATTCCTGGAGTTCTGGCGAGCTTCAACTTTTGGGCACTCAACATGACCACGGAGGCTATGGATGATCTTCTGTCAACTGTCGAATATGATATCTTGTCGGCTGTCGGCGACTCTCGTCTCATTTCGCTAACATTTAGCAACTCCTCCAGCAGCAGCAACTACACAGAGTTCTTTCTGTCCATGAACTCATCTCCGAGCTCTGCCGGCCAAGTCAGCTTGACCGCAAGCCGCTTGATCGGTCGTGGTCAACTCGGCGACCTTGCGGTATCTGATGTGGCTTCCTACTTTCAACGCGCCATGGCTTCCCAGAGCGGTAACGGGTCCATGCTCACTGTTGGTCTACAAGGAGGACCTGGACCACGGAATGTCCCAGAGAACAGGCGCGGTGCCGTCAATCCTGTCTGGCGCGACGTTTATCTGCACATTCTCCACGGCGGTGCCAATGTCGACACGGACGCCAACACCCCGCGCATGGCTTTGCAGGCAGCGGCCGAGTGGCTGGATGTGAACAAGGAGGCCGTCTTCCGCGAGTGGGCACCCGAGACTGGCGCTTATATGAATGAGGCCAACCCGTTCAACACAGAGTGGAAGCACGATTTCTACGGCTCCTCGTACGACAGGCTAGTCCAGATCAAGCGAGAGTTTGATCCTACTTACACTCTGTTTGTCTGGAGTGGCGTAGATAGTGAGTTTTGGGACTATGACATGGACTCGGGTAAGCTCTGTCAGATTTAGTGACGAGAGGTTCATTTTTAGATTGGACGAGGGGGATAGTTGAGCAAATCATTGAATCAATTGAATTCAAATTCATCTGCGAGTATTGCGACTGCTTGTTCCTTGATTTGTCGGGGGGAGGGATGGGAAGGGATGGCATGGCATGGCTGGATCTCGCAGGAACAGAAAGAGGGAAGACGAGAGGAGGAAAAAACACCACCCTGTCCAATCTTCGCTTCAAGAGGGCCGACGGACGATTGCTGACCCAACCGGCTGTTGCCCGCAAATCAAGCGCTAGCTTTTAACCCTTACCTTCAGTACATTAAGGTATATTAGGTTAAATCACCCCGCGAATTCCAAGCTAAATGCCAAGCCTCAGCAAGCTTCTGAACGCCTCCTTCCCGCCTCTTCCAATGGTGTGGATGGTGCAATAGTAACAGCCAGAAGTCTGGACCCTTGTGGATACTCCGTTTAAGCATGTCTGGGTATATCCCGCCAGGGATCAGGTCCCCTCTGCCCATGTGCTTACGAGCCAGGCCTTTAACTGGTCGCTTCCACCGGCACGCAAAAAGGCACAAAGAGCAACCCTCGTTGCGCACATGTGCCTCAATCCCGTGGCTTTCGCTGCAGGAATGATTGAACTGTCCCTTGTCTGAAATATTTAGATCTGATCGTTTTGCCTAGTAAGCTTTCGCTAGCATACTTTCCCTTAGATTGTATACTACTGCTGCTGCATCGAATCGGTCAGCCGCACCCCCAACACATGTCTGTCCGTCTATCTGTCGGATGGGTCCCAGGTCGCCAGAACTCCATCACTTAAGAGAAGGAGACATCCCCGCGCCATGGAAAGCAATGAACTTCCTCCTTCCTGTTTTGCAGTCATGGTGAATCACTCTTGGTCTGTTGCCATGTCGTAGAGAATCAACACTCTTCTTTTCTTCTTCTTCTTCTTTATTTGTGTACAAGTCCCTCATCCACCACCAAAAGCCACACGTTTCTCGGAACATCCGAAGTCGCTCGTCAATCGCTTCCACCACCACCACCTCCTCCTCCTCTCCCCTCCAGAGCCCTCTGGGTGAATCAGGGCATTATTTTCCCCTCCATTCGCAAACATGCCCTACACAGATGACGAAGACTCGGGCAAAATGAAGCGAATGTCCTCATTGTCCTTATCCAGCCCCAAGAAGAAGGGGCTTGTATTGTTAGAACTCTTCGATTTCCCTCGTCGTCAAGCTGAATACCAACCGATAAAAAGATCAAGCGTTGAGGAGGTAGATTCCATCATGACGGAAGAAGCAAATAGTCTCGAACAGGGCCGTGTAGTGCCGCACAGGCGGAAACGACGCCGGGAAGGTTATCTCATTTGCGGTAGTCTTTGGGCATTGACATTATTGTGAGACACATCTTTCCCCACTACGTGTTACATATTTTCCAGGTCGCTAACGGAACACAGAGCCATCTTTGCATTCATGGACCTTGTGCTCACTATATCGCGGGGTCTATGGGGATGGGATGAAGACCCCGATCGGATCTTCTCCAAATGGGGAGAACCGAGCACGGGGACAGAGGGACTTAAGTGGTACCCTACAGACTTCCTCCGAGATGTACAGCCGATACCATGCCACTCACACAACGACTACTGGAGGGCCGTTCCCCTCTTCTCGGCACTACACGCTGGCTGCATCGGCGTCGAGGCAGATGTCCATCTGTTTGACGATGACGACAAGCTCTACGTCGGACATGACAGTGCTTCGTTAACCTCGAATCGAACCCTGCAGTCGCTCTACATCGATCCCATTGTGGAACTGCTGAACCAGACAAACCCGAGAACGGAATTCTTCAATGGGACTGACACCAAGAACGGCGTCTTTGACGTGGACCGGGATCAGTCTCTGACTCTGCTTATCGACGTCAAGACCAACGGTGCCAAGACGTGGCCGCAGGTCGTCGCCCAGCTTCAGCCTCTCCGCGAGAGAGGATGGTTGACCTATGTCGAAAACGGCGTCCGCCACAATGGCCCCGTCACCGTCGTGGGGACAGGCCACACGCCCTTTGAGCTCATCATTGCCAACTCGACCTATCGAGACTACTTTTTCGATGCGCCCCTCCACAAAATGTACGAGGATCCCGACGGGGTCATTGACGAGTCAACCATTGATATGACCTACAACTCGACCAATTCGCACTATGCGAGCGTAAGCCTGAAGAAGGCCGTTGGGTTGACATTTCTCGGTATGAGCAGGGACCAGATGCGCATCATTAGGGGGCAGATCAAGGGAGCTGAGCGGAGAGGTCTTGCTTCCCGCTATTGGGACACGCCAGGTTGGCCAGTTGGTTTGCGAGATGGGATCTGGCACAAATTGGCATATGCCGGCGTGGGCATGTTGAACGTGGACGATCTCAGAAGCGCCACAAGAAAATTGTGGTGAGCTTTGATGCGAGACGTGCGAGATGTAGAGACGTAGATACCCCTAGTGACGATTGAATGAAAATACCATACATACTACACTATATAATTGGCTTGGTGCAGAACATCGCTCGTCAAGTCTTGCCTCGAGGCTGTATCTCCTTGACTTGAGTCCAGATTAGCACACCCTGATTGCAACTTAGTTGAAGGGAAGTGGGCAACTCATTCAACAAGAGCTATAAAAATTCGGTCGACGGAATTAGGAGACCCACCCTCCATGTTTCGCGACGTTGGTCCCATGTTCTCTCAACCTGAGCAACCTATCATATGATCATGGAGCCTCGCGGTGTCAAGTGTAACCAACTTTTATATGCAGCCAAGACGGCTTGCAGATCGTCATGACCAGTCCCAATATACTCGATCCTACATATGATGATGCTCACGGTCCAGGGATTGTGCACAACCTCCTTATGTAAGCATACTGCAGACTTGTGTATTTCGGCGGATGCATCCTGGCATATCTGAGCCAATAGTTGCATTTCCTCAATGTCTTTACTTCTAACTCCACCACCAAAGCAGTGTACAAGACAGAACACCCTGCGTATACCCATAATGTCAACAAATGGGAATTCTATATGCTGAGCAGTGTTGAGAAGACTTTTGTGATCATGGTCTCTAGGTTTAAAAAGATGTGACCAGGCACCCGGGGAAGGCACATTGCAAACAATGCAGAAAGTACACCTTGGTAATAATGCGGTTATATATATTTACATTCATTTGAAACTCTGTAATAGACGTGAAATAGACAATATTCGGCGATTCACAAATATATTTGTGAGCGCGATGGCTACAAATTATCATGGTGATAACATATACTAATTACCACTGGGGGCCATGACCTCATACTGTACCCGTGCTGACGACAGGGGTCTTCTGGGGGTCTCTGCAGCTACCGTAGCCCTACCAGGTACAAAGCTCCAGAGCTGTCATTTACTGCCCCTCAATTGCCCCTCAACACTATTCGACATTTTCCCCCATTTCAGAGAGCAACAATTGTGAATGCCTTAAAACTCACCATGTCTGGCAAGACTGTCCTCATCACTGGTGCCACTGGGCTTCTGGGCCGCCAAGTGGTCAGGGCCTTTGAAAGAAAGGACTGGACCGTCAAGGGTACAGGATACTCCCGAGCCGATGGCGCCTCCGTTCTCAAGGTCGACCTCGGCAGCGCATCCGAGATTGAAAAGACCCTGGACACGGTCAAGTACGTCTCTCATTCACGCGCGCGCAATATCTGCAACTTAGTTTCCTATCTTGGTGCCATTGTGCTGATCATTCGACCTTAGGCCCCAGGCTGTTGTTCACTGTGCCGCGAACCGATTCCCCGACAAGTGCGACAAGGACCCGGAAGGCACTCGAGCTTTGAACGTTGCCGCATCTAAGTCCCTCGCAGCACTATGTGCGGCTCGCGACATATTCCTCATCTACATTTCGACAGACTACGTCTTCCCTGGCAAGCCCGGCGATGCGCCCTACCAAGCCGATGACGAGCCCGCTCCGACCAACCTGTACGGCCAGACCAAGCTCGATGGAGAACGTGCAGTCCTGGAGGAGTACAAGGCGGCCGGAAAGCCCGGACTCGGCGTTGTCATGCGGGTTCCGGTGCTATACGGCGACGCTGAGACGCCGTCCGAGAGCGCTGTGAATGTGCTGATGGACACTGTCTGGAAAGCACAAGAGGAGGGCGCCAAGATCAAGATGGACCACTGGGCACTGCGATACCCTACCAACACCGAGGATGTCGGTCGTGTTTGTCATGGTAAGTCGTCGCATTCAAAGTCGCGCCTCGATGCAGCTCTTGTTCACACGGAAATCTAGATGTCGCGGCAAAGTATATGGCAGCGGGAGATAGGTCTTCACTGCCTCAAGTGCTGCAGTTCTCTTCGGAAGACAAGATGACAAAGTACGAGATCTGCCAGCTCTTTGGAGAGATCATGGGTCTATCCATTGCGCGGATCGAGGCCAACGCCGAGGGCAATGATCCCAATGCCAGCGTCCAGAGACCTTATGATTGTCACTTGAGCACCAAGGCCTTAAAGGACCTTGAAATTGATGTCTCAACACAAGATTTCAGCGGATGGTGGAGATGGTCCGTCCGAGCATTCAGGAAATGAGTATTGGCTGGAATGGTGGCGATATAGGCCCTCGACAACACGTGCGGAACGTAGGTTTGGGGGCGAGCGCCGCCCTGATCCAGATTCATCTTGCAACCGAGATCAACCCCTTTACCCTCAGCTTTTTTGGCTCCTAGTACCTACGTGATGTAGCGTTACACCAAACGTGTCTCCTTGCACGAAAACGCGTCGGCATCATGCCTGCGCGTGTTGATGGAGAGACACTTCAGCTCCCATCTCAGCTCAGACGGGACAAAGGAAGAAGAAAACAGGGACACGTTATATCGGGATTTACAAAAATTCTAGAATTTCTACCTAAGTGATGACGCTGCAAGATGCCGCCAACAATCTGACCAACATGCAAGTGTTGTGCTCCCCACTCCTGTCACGCAGGGCGCCAAGCAGCCTAAGGCCGTACCCCCCAAATCCTCACATGCAGGTCCTGGCTGGCTAACCATTAGTACTAAACGGCGCTAACTACAGTGGGATCTGGGGAGACTCCGTGCTTGGCCCCAATTGAATTTTATGAGTCCCTTCATTTCCAACTTTTTACCCTTTGAGACCACGCGAAAATGCTCGTGTGACCAATGACCACGTCCAATGCCTTTGCACCTAGGTCGCTCTGGGGATGGGTAGGCTTGGTAGGGGGAGAGCCGCATAAGGTTTTCATGATTGGTTTGCTTGCCGGCCGGTTAGCAACAAACTGGGATCGATCTATCCGAACAGCCAGTTGATGATCCATGAAGCCCCAAACCCAGGAAAACCCAGGAGAATAGCCGGTCTCTCCCCCTCGTCTCGCATTCTGACGCAACAAGACAAAAAGAGGCGATTGAAGAAACGCCTCCTTGTCTTGCCATTAATTATTACCATCTAGCCTGTCATGCCAGACTACTAAGACACGAAGACGCTATATTTATGCGTCCCTCCCAGAATAGGAAGGGAGCCGCCGTGATCGTTATTTCTCAGTCCCTGTCCCTCGGACCATCATGAACGACCCCCAGGCCCCATCCGCACGGCTTTCCTTCTAATTCTGGTCCTTGGGGCTCGTCGACTTACGCACAGCAATTCATTACTCACTTCTTTTTTTTTTCTCCTCGGCTCTCAGCGACGTTGAAAGACGACGAAATCTACTATCCTCTTGAGAAAAGCAATTTTAAAGGCAACACCGGGCACGTGAAGTGATACTCTATTTCACGAGGAACGCTCCACACGTACCTCGTACACAGCAGCCAACGTGTATTCCTGTATTGCGTCCGGTGGATCGTCGTCTGCCCATTTCCGGTTGCGCTCCCGACTTTTATTACACCATGCCCAGAGCATAGTGATACAGACTAGACAGACAAGAGGTGACCAATTGTTTCTTCAACACAGCAACTGGGTCGACGAGGGTATCAGCCTTTTTAGCGCATCATTGTCCAGGGCCACGCCGTTGTTTGTAAACGTGCCTTCGGAGGATTCTGTCACTTTCGGCATCTCTGCATACGAACGTTTCCTATTCTCTCGTGTGGAGATTGCCAATTCGCGACCCTTGGGCCACCAAAAGCTCTGGCAGTTCGCCCCCCAGAAGTCCAGATCGAGAAAGTCGTATCTTATAACGCAATTCGCATTCCCTGTTGGCGATCATTAACCGTCCAAACCTATAACCACGCACGCACTGGCGCGAGATACCTCTGGTCTGAACACCCACACCACCCATAGCCACCCCCAGCCTCGACACTTGTAGCGGGACAATAGTTTCTCGTACCAAAGTTTGCTAAACCAACCAATGTCGCGGCCAGAGGAGCCGTCTGGCGGCTCGGCGACGCAGGCCCCCAAATTCTCGAGATATCGGAGCTTGAGAGCAAAGAGCGTCTCGACCGGTTCCAGTACCGCATCAAGTACTACTACTACTACTACTTCTACTCCTACTACTCATGCTCATGCCAACACGGCACAGCATGTCTCTCGGGTTCAATCGAGGGAATCAGAGCCTCCTGTAGGCGTTGCTGCGCCTGCGCCCGCGAACTCAATTGCCAGGTCCATGTCTCGCTACCGCAGGCGCGGGGCGAGTGTCTCTGTACCTGATGATAATGCAACCTCCAAAATTGCAGCTCCACAGGAATGCGCGCAACCTTTGTTGCCCCCTGTTCCTGCTATACCCTCCACTGTGAAGCCGAGCCATGATGGCCGCGACAACTTGCTTTTCTCCCAATCTCAGGACGACGGCCTGTCGATCCATCAGGACGACTTTCCTCTGCCTCCCTCCTCGCGACGCGACCGTCAGCTGCGCCATAGCGAGCGCGCAACGACAGACCTGGCCCGTCAGGCAAAAGAGCTTCAGGACCAACCCAACCACGACAGCCAGCGCATGAAAATGGCCCAACGAGACGATAGCGAGAGGCGGTGGCCCGACGATAGAGACCTCTCGCGGCATGTAGAGCAAGCTTTGCGTAACGAAGGCGGCGCTGAACGACCGTCGACGAGACAAAGGAAGAAGACGCTTGAGAATATCGAGACCTCAATGGCAAACAGACACCAGACTCCTTTAAAGTCCAAGAGCCCCGTGGTTGAAAAATTCGTTGCGTTGACGAAGCGTCGCAAAAGTAAAGAGGGCTTGTCGCCGACCTCGTCTACTGCCGGGTCCATTGCAGGCTCTGTAGATTTTGGTAATAGCCAAATCGACCTACCTGAAGTGCCCAAGCTACCCGTCGGAATCGAGGCTGGCGGCAAGGGTATTGTGCCACAAAAAGATGCTCCAGTCTCTGCGAGTAATCATGGCGATCGGGTAAGTTGCCACTTGAGAAAGAGTGTGTCTTTATGATTGCCAATATACTGATCTTTCTTGTCCAGATTGTCTCTGTGCGCTGCGGGCACCAGACTTTCGTTTTACCTATTACACCCGAGACCACACCGGTGGATGTTGTTTTGGAAACGGCCAAGAATATGACCTACGACCTGGAATGGAGCCCGCAACAGTGCGTAGTGCGGGAATCATATGGTCCTCTAGGCCTTGAGCGCCGCATTCGCAAGTATGAGCACATTCGGGATGTAATGAACTCGTGGGATCGAGACACCCACAACCACTTGATTGTCACAATATCAACCGATGTGAGGCAAGATCTGGACCTGGACATTGAATCAGTACCCGACGGTGAGGAGCCGCCAAGAGGGATGCAACTATACCTGTACCACTCAAATCGGCCTGGGAAATGGAGCAAGCGCTGGATCACGCTCACCGAAAACGGCCAGGTCCTCTGTGCAAAGAAACCCGATGCAAGCCCGTCAGAAAAGGACACGCTAAGCCTATGTCACATGTCAGACTATGACATTTATACACCAACGGAATCGCAGATGAGGCGCCGTCTCAAGCCTCCAAAGAAACACTGCCTTGCTATCAAGAGTCAACACAAGCCAGCCATGTTCATGGACACGGAAAACTATGTCCAGTACTTCTCCACCGACGACCCAGGCGTAGCAGCCTTGTTTTACGAGAAAGTACAAGGTTGGCGAAGCTGGTACCTGGTGGATCGTCAACCTGCGCCTCGTCGTTTCTCGATACCCAAGACGGACGAAAAACCACCACAACTTCCATTTGTTAAACATGCTCCTCAAAAGTCTGCCAACATTGCATCCGCTGGCGGACACCGTCTGAAAGTCTCCGTTGATGAGTCGCCTTACGCGCTCGGCGAGTTTCAACCGCTTCTTGACATGAAGCGTTTCGATAAGCGATTGTCATTGTTCGGGCAGGATTTCTTGCCTGCCCAAGCTGATCATCCCGAGATGCCCAAGCAAGCTTCGGCGTATGCCAGAAAGGCATCTAAAGATGGCAAAGCTGACGGTTTGTTGGTTGACAAGATTAAATCTAGTGACGACGATGCATTCACTGGCAACGGATTGCTGGGACAAGATTACGAGGCTCGCAAGGCAGGTCTAGAGAAAGCGGGCGCCAATACTCGGACTATGAGAAAGGATTCCGGTACGAAGGAGGATCATTTCATGCCGGGGTCACTTCTGCCGAACCAGCGTCGAGAAACCGATAATTCACGAAAAGTAGACGCTTCGTGGTTTCCGTCGGCGCTGGAACATTCAGCCAAATATCGCGAGCCTGAGGCGCCACGCCCAAACACGTCTGCCGGTGTGGTCAGTACTCGGTCCCCTCATGGACGCTCGCGCTCAGGCTCACGGCCGCCTCCCGTGCCGCAACAAAGCCAGAGCCGTACAAGGCCCGACCGGGACCGGCCTCCCATGACAGCTCTTCCACGTCCTCTGGGTTCGCATGATCCCCGGTCTGCGGATAACCTCCATGCTCTTGCCAATGGCCGCCAGCAACCAAAGCCGCTTGTGGACTTGACGCCAGCAATACGCGAACCTCCACAGTGGGCCAAGAAGGGCCATGGTGTGCAACCTACCGAGGGCATGCGTCACCTTGTTGACATGATCAGCGTTGGCGGTCCCAATGATAAGCCACATGGGCTTCTCGAAGTTCCGCCTCGTAGTGCGCTTCGGAAGAGTCCAACAAACACAGCACCGTTACTCGGCGCCACCTTACAAAGCTCCTCGCCGGTCCCCAGAAGCGGTGGCGGGCTGAGTAGGACGAGGTCGAAAAGCTCAGGGGCGCCCCCCAGCAGACCCCTCATTCGCGACGTACCTCCTGTGCCGACAATGCCGCCGACACTCCCCGGTGCTGTCGGCGGTGGTAGCGGCGGCAGGTCAATGACAATGACCGACAAGGACCGGATCAAAATGGACGCCATGCGCGACGCCATGATGGCCCGTGAGCGTGAATTCAAGGATCGCGAACGGGGAAGAGCCAGGGGTAGGGACCGCGAACGAGAAGCGAGGGAAGAGTTTTACTCATCCGGACGAACGGGGACGATGAAAGTGGTTTAAAGCGTCCTTTACTCATTGATTGTTGTTGCATATTGGAGCGTCGAAAAGAACTTGGATACCTCATTTGAAAAAAATTGCTTTGGTTTTGGGAAAAAGTCAATCCGGACGACCTGGTCATTTTCGTCGACCACGGCCAGGATCTGGGACTTTTTGTCTTATTTTGGGATACGAGGAAAACGGCATACTTCTCGCGGGAAAACTTATTCTGCATACGCGAGCGCGCGAGTACCATGATGATTTGATATGAAGTTTTACAAGATTGATTTTCATGAGCAGGCTGCAGAGGGTTGCTTTTTTCTCTAGACCGAATAACACAAGATGGGAAAGGCTTGATGTTTAAATAAGTAGCATATGATCCAAAGCCTGGTATATATCATTGGGCTATAATAGTAATGTTAAATCATGCACTATATCTGCAGTCTTACCACACTTTGCCCATTCTCAAGTCCAGATAGTTTGCGACCAAAATGGCCCTCCTTTGCTTGCGATCCCCAATCCATGTCGATGATCTATCTACTGGCTTTGGAAAACGATGTCTTGGAGCTCGAACTCGGGGCGGTGCGAGTAGAGGGAAAGTGGCATTCTGCTGTGCTTGCGGATGTAGAAAAATGGCAGCTATGGTTTCAATCATTGGACAGAATGGCCAACAATGGCAAGTGATGAGCCCAGGCTTCAACCCGTGCCTATAAGCGTTCCAGGCCGACAGTGAACAACAGATACCTATATTGTGATGAACACGGCGGGCATACGTGGTCAAGCTCCAATATAGATATAGAGACTTGCCCAATGCAGAATATTTCTGGTAACTGGCAACAACCCATTTGTATTCGGACAAATCAGTTTAAGAATCTTCTATGTATTCATATCTCGAGGTGAAACTCGACACATGGTAATTTGGAATGACACGAGTCATGCATAGATATTTTGTCATCATCCTCAAGTCCTGCAATCACGGCATGATCCCCAACGAGGCCTTCTTGTGAGCTCGCCTTCAAGGAATGCGTAGTGTAGCCCTCATTGCCTGGTTGTTGCGGAGACCCATTCGAGCAATTGTGGTTCCTGGCGGGAATGACTTCCTCCATGTGGATATCCACCGTCTGTTCCTCGTCTGCCAATCTTGTTGTGCCGGCATTGGATTGGAGACTGAAGAGACTGTAGGGTGCCATGATGCGGGACAAAGGCGACATGTTCTTTTTCCCACAGCTGACGGCAGACTTGTGGTTCTTTTGGCCATGGCTGCTACTCGACGGGGCAAACTTGGCACTTGCGGGAACGGCTACGGCTGCGCCGGGAGAAGAGCCCGAAAGCCCGGGCAGGCCGAGAGTCTGACCAATGCTGTGGAAGAGTGGCCGCAAGGTTGCAAGACTTCCGGCTGCAATAGCGAGGCCGATTTCGACTTGTGACCAGATGGCTATATCTGCGGTTGACCCTGCGATCCCACCAGATCAATCTCATTTCTTCCCCACGTCAAGGCAGTGTGTAGTTTCAGAATGTCGAGGAGGATTCGTTCAACTTACACAAAAAGTCGTTTCCACGAAAGTTTTCAACATATGCAAGGCGGACAACAACAGCGCAACTAGCTCTAAAATGCAGAGTCATGGTCAGAACCTGCTTCCTGGCAACTCGTTTGGAATGGGATATAGACTCACACCGCTGCCATACCAAGGATAGGTATGATCGCAATCTTTGTCCTCAGGCTCATCTGAAGCTGCCAGACCATCCATATGGGTAAAATAGTAAAAGTGAAATCAGTAATAATGGAAAAGGCGCTGTACGTATAGGTGACATAGACGATGGTGTCGATTGAAATGCAGGAACCCCCGCTCGCTGGGTCAGCAACCCGGGTCCAGAAAAAGGAAATAGGTCTGCATTGGAACATGGCAATGAAGAAGAAAATGATGCCGCAGACGACGGTGAGCCACCAGGCAATGTAAATGATGATCCGGTGGGTGCGATCGGGGGTGAGACGCAGTAGAAAACAGGCGATGCTAGACTTGACTAATATCATGCTGGTGCAGTATGTAAGGTAGGCGAAATACCACCACTATATTCGGTCAACTGCTATTTCATGAAACTATTACATGGGTTCACTGTACCTCGAAAGCAGTGGTCATGGAATCGAGCTCTAAATTCCAATAATGTCGACCAGTGCCGTGTACAGCACCTTCAAAACAGATGACGGTATTAAAGGTGAATGATATCTAAACAATCATTAGTCTGATCCTGAATTTTTGCTTACCAGTAGAAAAGGGTATATTGGGGGCTTGGCTAACCATTGCAAATATCATTAACCAATCATCTATGCCAAACTTTTTCATTAGGGTGGCTCGAGCCCAGGTCCGCAACAATACTGGCGGCAGCGCAATGGTAAACATGGCCCATGTCACGCCCTCCACCAAAGGAGATCGGTTGGGTATCTCAGCCATTGGTATGTACTGATTCTGCTGGCAGCAGTATGGAAATGTAAACGAGTGGCACCGATTCTGGTGAAGGGAGGATTTAGGATGGCATCTGTAACAAGTGTTGCTCTCCCTGCTCGAGTCGCGGTCCGAGGAAGAATTCACATATCCTTTGGTCCAAGAAAGGGACCAAATTCGAAATGCGCCAAACAAAATCGAGAAATGAAGAAGTCGTAACCTTTCCAGCCTCGAAAGAAGCACAAGCTAGCGGGATTGCCAGGGCATTAATATGTTCAGTCTAGTCTGTGAGAAACAGAGAGCGACGACCGAACGCGAGAAAATGACCGACGCCGTTTAGCTGCCGCCATAATGTGGCATCTTTTCTTGATGCGGCAACTTTGTCAGACACGTACGTGTGTGTGTGCAAGGCTCACAAGAAGCCACCCCCATGGCTAGGCAGTTGTGATGATCTAGGGTACAAAGCCACAAAAAGTCAAACTTGCGAGGTCGTGGGTGGGAATATTCTAGTTTTAGAGTTTCGCGTATAGCTAGCTACTGCAAATAGTATGCAGATGTCGCCGATCGACGCATGCTACCAGTCAGTAGTAGGCTGCTGGATGTCTTGGGATATCAAATCATCCTCTTGCATATATTCGCCCATAAGGACTTTTGATGCTGATCAAAATGAATTCGATAATCATTAGATTATACTGAGGACTCTTTAAATTGGAAATATGAAAGGCATGCAATTCTCGTGTGAGCGATTGTCAGTGAGGAGCATGGTGACTAGCTGATTAGTGTGGAATTCGATGCGTCTAAGGCGATTGGAGAAGGACACACAGACGCTGAAGGTTCTTTCAGAATATTTTGCAGCGACCTTCCTCGATATATGCTTCATAATCTCACATATACTGAGAGAAGATGAAAAAGTCATGATGTTCATTCAAGACATTGTCAAAAGTAGCAGGGCTGAGCGCTATCTCTTATTGGTGTCAGTGCAACTGGGGGCGTGAATCTTTTGCCCGATTAGTGATAGAATTACTCACTATAGAACATGATTGCCATCAGGTCTAAGACCGGATGTGCCGCGGTCCACCGCTAGACTAAACTCAAAATTCGCACTCCCGTGTGACGAGCGACGATGTTATTGCGCCGAACAAAAACACAACAGATCCTTGACATTGCGAGGTATAGCTCGGCGCTCTAGCCGGTCGGTTGGAAGAAATACCCCTGCTTCGGATTGGGTATCCGCTGCGTAGTGGCTTTTAACATCCGGAAGTCAAAGAAAGCACCAAACATGACCTGAAGAGGAGCCCAACGATTACGTATTGCCTGCCAGATGCGCGCTTGGCGCGCTTCCTTGAAAAGCTCTGAGGAAGCTAAGATGCAAAGCGGTGCAAGTTGCGTGAGACTTGATTGATAGGATTCAGCGACGGGCGAGTGAACTTGTGCTGGTAGATTGGCTATTTTGCGGGGAATTACGCGATATTGGTCTGATCCTCGAGACGATGAGCATATAAGTTTAGTAATGTGCTTGTAGGGCTCTGCCATGCATTATCAAGGGGTCTCGGACGCTGAGATATCCCTGAAAGCGATCAATGCAAGGGATTGCGATCATCTATTCCATCACAACCCATCACAGTCTGTGCCATGACCAAACATGCAGACGCTCTGCAAAACTCAGGGGGGTTGTGAAGATCTGACCATGAATTCATGAACGATGATATTTGCGGCTCAGCTAATCATCCAACTATTGTCAATAAGGGATGCATGATTTTAATCATTGTTGAGAAAGCTCGTGACAGCCTGACTTGATAAAAAAACTCATTAGTAGACTTGTATGAGGAATTTTGAGGATATCTAGATCTGATCTCGCTTCCATCCATAGCGTGTAGTCGCCTTGGTCAATTCACAGGATTCACATCATGACTACGATTTGCAGGATATTTCTGCTCCATGCCTATGCAGTTGTCAGGTCACCTGGCCAAGGGTACACAACAACGGTCTAAGCTAGCAAAAGTTGGCGACCAATGTTTGTGTTCATAACCAACGCTAACTCATCTCCGTCTTAGTAATAAGTGCTGAGCCTGTCACGGTACAACACGGTACCGTTGTCCAAGACTTTGGTCTATAGTACACGCCGCTCTCTAACGTCCACGGTAGTCTGCGCCGACTAGCTCACCGACTGCCTTCTGCCTGTCCACATTAAGCCCCTTGAGCTCATCCTTGAGCTCCTGGATATCCTCATCCTCTTCATCGTCTTCGCCCTCGTCGCTAGGCAAGTCATCTTCTTTATCGCCGTCGCTCTCTCCATAGACACTATCCGCCGCTCCAGCGTCGACGACAAAATCGACACGATCAAAAAAGTCAGTGTCGCTGTTGACCGCGGGCGCAGAGTCCTTGATTTGCCACCGCGCCACCTTGACCGTGGTAAAATGGGCCCAGGTAACGACGTACTCGTGAGTGCCGTCGCTGTCGTCAACGGCTTGCTTGATGGACTCTTGGTCCTGGGTCACATCCAAGTCGCGCTCAGCCCAGGTGGCGCCCTTTGGTGACGAGTCCCATTTCTTGAGTCCATGTGCGTACTTTTTCGCGTATTCGTTGGCCACGTCGAGGGTGGAGAAGACGCTCAGCACTCGATAGCCTTCCTCGCCCTTGGTCCGTGAGAGATCGCGAGGATGGAGGTTCTCTGCCACAATGTAGATGGACGGTTGAGATGCGAGATATTGATCAAGGGTCTGGTTTGTGGAAGAGGAAGAAGAAGTGGCAGCTGCCTTTCTAGCTGAGCTGCGTGTCATGATTGTGGTGTGATGGTGCTTTGAGAACGAATTGTGGTGTTGAATGGTGAGCTTGATGTGCTTGGATGTGGCATGTGTTGTGGCCTTTTATAGTCGTGTTTGCCCTGGGGGTTGATTCATCTTGATCTCGTCTAGGCAACAGCATCCTCGGCAGTCTCATTGTGAAATATACAACTGCAACTTTGGAAGTATTTTGTGTTCTGGAGCGACCTCGCCAGCCTTGGAGACGAACAAGTACTTTCAAACTTGTGCCATCATTGCCACGTACCATTGCATTGGTCGGTCCCTACAAAGAAGGAACTCTATCAGTGCTGTGCCGCAATCAGCAGGAAGTAATGGCAGGCTCTAGGTAGGCATAATGTCTAAACTGTGCACCACTACACGCAATGACCAATAAAGATACGGACTTTCTCGCGTCGAGTTCCATATGAAACTGAATGCAGAATCCTTTCAAGTGCTCGGCATTATTCCTAGTGCACGATGTATGAAGGACTATACTTTCTGGACAAGTATTCACTTGGCAGCCAGGGCACTCTGGGGGTTTATAAGCTGGTACCAATTCAAGATCCCTGTTCATGCATGCGGACTTTATGCAAGGTTGCTCTGTTGTGTATTTTTGTGCTACAATTCACGCCATTTGCACACAACTAAGCAGAATCCTGCAATCGCAGCTAGTGCTGAAAGTATTGACTACCACAAAGCAAGGCTCTTAATAGGCAAAATACGGGTCACTCAGTACATACTTCTTTAACATTATTTCACATTCGATGTGATAGCGCGTTAATACGACACAATAACACCGAGACGAGCTGAACTATTCCTGGCACCAAGCATCCTTTCATCTCCATCTTCTGAACCATTCAGAAATACATTTTTCACACAATGCCTCAACATCATGATTGTTCCCTGATGCATCCGAATGTGCATTGACGCTGAGGGTTTATGTGGTAGACCATCCCGTATCTACACGATATCTTACAGATACCAAGGACCATCTCGCTGCGATATAGGCGCTGAAGCAGTTCACACAAGTGTGATCGTCGGATAAGGGCAGAATCCAGCTGGCCATGGACTGTTGCGGCGGGTTGGCGTTCATGTGTATCTTGGTCACCATGTTGCCGAGGTCCATGAGCTCGCGCATGCGCTACTTGCGCTCATGTTGGTAGCAGAGGAGGTCACACCGAGGGCCATGGCAATGATCTTTGCTGCTCTTGGTTTCTGTCCCAGATAACGTGCTCTAGATGGTTCATGAGGGACGTGATGCCTCCAAGGGCCCAGTGGCCCCCCTCACACTCTGTCCTACATGGGGCTTCACCTTGTGCGCGACGTGGTCAGCGCAATGCAACCGTGCTGCCAGTGCTCCATGACACACTCCTCGGTGGAAAATGACCGTGGCCCATTTGCGGTGTTTCTAGATCTCCTAGAAGACGAGCTCGTCCGTCAAGGATTTGTCAGTCTCGGCATCCGATTGGCGTTCTAACGGGTTTGTTATGGGGAAAGATGAGAAGAAGTAGACGGCTTTGGACTACAGGGTGATGAGGAAGTTGTAGTCGTCACTGCAAACCATGGTGAGGTAGAGAATGCAGGGTGTCATGAAGACGAGCCGTCTTGCACGAGGGATTGTGCGACGTCTTATTCTTGGTCTACATGAGACCCGGCGACGTCTTGGTCCCGTGGTCCGCATCATCAGCGACTCCGCTCAACGGTCGGCATCGCCAGAGGCTACATTCGGGCGGTGGAGATTCAATGCTCTCTGACTTGTTTAGTATCGCAGCGGACAATTTATTGTACTGGGAGATGATGGCCATGGTCAGCAAGCACTATGCCCGCTCCCTAGTACAACTAACGAGAAGCACTTGGCGATCTTTTGCGCGGGTAAAGTATAAGCCAGTTGTACTGAGGTGAAAGGTGTTGATCGATTGATTGATGACTGGGATTGATCTGATCCATCACTGGTATTCAATCGTGTTTCCTTTTCATCTTTATTATAGACTGCCATTTCAACCCAATTTGTACTTCCATGCTCATTCCACAGACCTTGAATAACCGAGTTTGACAGTAGGCCTTCCAGACTGTATAGAAAGCATCCTGTTGAGCAAAATAAAAGACCCCCTCCCTCCTAAACCTCCAAAATATGACGCTTTCCGAGCCAATACCATTGTATTATTTCGCACATTTTGTTGAGGACTGGTTCATTCATCTCCCTTTATCCCGTCCTCCTTGATTTCTGTTCCCCGATCAAACTGCCTTTGGAGCAGGCGAGGCGTCGCTTGTTCGCTGCTGTCCAATCTCACGTGGTCTGATCTAAAGCTTTGGACGCGGGGCAACTCCATGTTGGAACGGTCTGTAAACTTGATTTTACAGGCTAGAATATCAATGCTAAAAATTTATAGTCAGCTGCATTAGTTTCGGTAGTAACCATTGACCGGCACGTTGGAAGGACTTACTACATCATCAGGGGAAACATGCACTCCAGTGTGTATATGAAGCGGTCGACTTGGCCGGCAGTTGTTAAGGCCTGTGGTAGGGACGGACAAAACGCATAAGTGATCGCTCTGGAGATGCCAAGCAGAGCTAAAGAAGCAACTCGAGTCTCGGTACTTCGCATAAGGTGCTGCAAAAGACTGGTGTTTAACAGCGTATCGATCGAGGCCCTTTGCGCTGAAGCAAATTTGCGCAGCAGAAAGAAGGCACTCAGGCATTCCAATACGGCTATAAGTGAAAAATAGCCGACGTGAAGATAATTGACCGATTGTTGGTACTTTGTATCCGGGTCTTGGATGATTTTAATTCGACCAACCAGTATGACAAGGCGTACGGTGATGATGGCCGACACGACTGTCCAGAATAGAATACAAAAGACCATGCGGCTTCGAGATTTTAAGAGTTTGATCAGGATGGCGTAGCTATAAAAGGATACGCCAACTTCTTGTATCTTTCTCGTGTCAAGATTCATGTATACAACCAACCGTCCGCACGAGGACTTACAAGCCAGAAGATATCAGCAAACCCAGAGGCCACCAAAGTATTCGTTAAAGGATGGTCGGAATAGAAAGCATAGTAGCAGAGTCCATTAGCTACCGCGCCGGCCGCGCTGACAATGATGGGGATGAGAACAACAATCGACAGCTTTGTGATGCTGATAACGACGAGGCCGTAGAGTACATTGACCAGGCCAACTGTGCTGAGAATAGCCCAGCTTTGCTCAAAGTAGAGCCCCATGTCTAGATTTAGCGGAAATGCAGCAGCCACAAAGCACCGTTCATGAGATAGGACAAGTGGTGGAGATCCAACCGAGTGGGTTCCAGTCGCACCAAAGTGTATATATGTGTACGCAGACGGGTCCCAGAACCCACGACCTTTCCCCGGATTGGGGTTCCAACATGTTGGTTGCGGGGGGCAGGGATATACCAGCCATACACAGTAGTCCCGTCGCCTCCTCGCGTGACAGTTTAGCGAAAGTCTGGGGTAAGAGTGTCTCGACTGGGGAAAAAATGCGCCGCCGCCCATAGGCGAGCCGGCGGCCAGGCACCGCGGAGAAAACCCTGATCATATCACGCTGCACGTTGATTTCCCCCGTCGCTGTCTGCCCACGTCCATTAACTTGACCGTTCCCTACACGTCAGGCCTGAAGACGCCACAACATGTTAGAGTGTTGGAGGACTGGGCTCAAGAGAGCCTATCAGCGCTAGATGGGATACGCGTACATCCCATTTGACAATGACCTTGATCCATGTTGTCGGGAAATTGTGGCTTTCCACGCCGCCTCCTTACACACGCCACCTCGGAGCACTTGAAATGGGTCATTTTATTGCCCGAATGCCATGTTGACTGTCTCTTGAGAAGGCCATCCCCAATGAGATATCCCTTGTTCCCTACTTACTATTCTGTCAAGGTTCTTCCGTTATGGCGTTGGGATTCAACAATAGGCCAGGTTCGTAATAAGAAGGTTGTGGAAACTTCATCAGGCTGGGCGTAAACCGTGCACACATAATTTATACATTGTACGCAGCTTGAGATCTCAAGAGGGGAGTGTTGCCTTTCTCGTCCCAATGCTCACACAAAATCCGCTGTGAATGAAGCTCATGTACGCCCTCAAGGAAATGACAGGATAACTAGAAGATCAAAGACTCACTGGGCGAAGCCTTGTACTGATTTAACTTTCATGCTCTTCCAAGAGATGTACTTGCGCCATTTATCTTATATGGAGTGCTCGTATGCAGCTCGGCAGATGCTGCATCCTGATAGGCGCGCATTAGAGCAATCCGGCCATTCCCGGCGCCCGCCATCTTTTCCCCGGCCCCCTTCCTTCTACCCCGAGCATCACTTAGTGCGGTGGGTTCTCCGGCGGGGAAGGGGGGGCTATAAGCCATACATAGTGCACACTTTCCCTGTATAATTGCTCATACGTATCAGTGTATCTAGACAGGAATGGCTGTTACTTGTATTTTAAAGTCTGCTATTTTTGTGGGCACCGACTTTTAGTAGCATGTATGGTACGATTTGAACTGTTTGAGGCGCAGGCCTCCCCATTCGAGCGCTTCAAATGATATCATCACGATTCACGGACTCTAAGCGGAACCAAAGATGACATATGTGTCGATCTTTACAACTCGAAATAAGAAGAAATGAGGTTTAAAAGGGCCACGGCTCTGTCGAAAAGAGATGAGTTCCTTTATGAATAGGTAGTCAAATAAGACACTGGCCATCATATCTCTGTAAAATCTACTCGGGATAGAATAAGATGTATCGCATCTGGAATATTTATGGTATGAGTGCCGAAGGCCCCTTGATATTGCCACGAAGCTAAGTATCCATATACAGTTTTGGCCGCTTTCGGCACCATTGGCGGCATGCTGTTTGGCTTCGACATCAGCTCCATGAGCGCCTGGATCGGATCGGACCAATACCTCGACTACTTTCACCGGCCCGACTCCACCCTACAAGGAGGCATCACGGCCTCAATGTCTGCTGGATCACTTGTCGGAGCTCTGGTCGCTGGCTTCCTGGCGGACAGGCTTGGGCGTCGCGGAGCCCTGCAGGCTGCCTCGGTCGTGTTTGTCGTGGGCGCCGTGTTGCAGGCCTCGGCTCAAAACGTCGCTCACCTGATTGTTGGCCGTGTCGTCAGCGGGCTGTCTATTGGCGTTACTAGTTCGCAAAGCTGTGTATACCTTGCCGAGCTGGCCCCGTCGCAGATCCGTGGCCGCATCGTTGGTATACAACAATGGTCCATTGAATGGGGTTTGTCGCACTTCTTTCACCTTCTCCCCCTCAGTATGGTTGCTGAAGAAGGCTACAGGCATCTTGATCATGTACTTGATATCCTATGGTTGTGTCAACGCTATTCACTCGCCGAACGCCTTCCGCATCTCTTGGGGAGTCCAGGGAATACCGGCCATTGTGCTGTTTGTGGCCCTGTTCTTCTTTCCCGAATCTCCTCGATGGCTCGGTCAGAAAGACCGCTGGGACGAGTGCTGGGAAGTGCTTGCACACCTGCACGGTCATGGGGACCGAAACAGCCCCGTCGTCCTTACTGAGCTAGAAGAGGTCAAGGAGGCTGCACGCGTAGCAGCAGAATCATCAGATGTCAGCGTCTTGGGCCTCTTTGGCCCAGGAATGTGGAAACGCACCTTGGCTGGATGTTCTGTACAAGTCTGGCAACAGTTGCTCGGTGGAAACGTTATGCTCTGTGGGTGTTTATACCCCAAGACATGAAATGACTAGGCTAACTCTTCAAACAGACTATCTGGTCTACATTTTCAACATGGCAGGAATGGTTTGTATCCCCCTCAGTGTCCGCAAGTCGAGTCGTGCCAGCCTTTGGTACAATAAATTAAACAATATCAGGATGTGCTAACCTTTTTGAAGAGTGGAAATGTAGCCTTGACTTCGTCCATCATACAATACGTCATCTTCCTCGTGACAACTGGCGGGATACTTCCCATTGTCGACCGCGTCGGCCGCAGAACTCTTTTGATCGCCGGAGCCATCGTGTGCTGCATTATCCACTTTGCAACCGGAGGCATCATGGCCTCGTACGGACACCCTGTCGACAGCATCAATGGTAAGTCTCACCACCATCAAGTTTAGTTATAGAATTTAACATTTTCCTAGGAAATGACATTCTTCGGTGGGAGATTAGCGGCGCACCGGCCAAGGGCATCATCGCACTTTGCTACATCTTTGTCGGAGTCTACGGATTGACGTGGGCTCCGATCGGCTGGATTTACTGCTCCGAGGTGTTCCCGCTCAAGTATCGTGCCGTCGGTGTCGGTCTCTCTGCTGCCTCAAATTGGACGTAAGTGCATATATTCAATGAGTGGGCGCCTCACAGCAATCCATGAATGCTCACACAACACTACAGGTTCAATTTGGCCCTGGCCTTCTTCGTCCCACCTGCCTTTACATACATCCAGTGGAAGACTTATATGATTTTCGGCACCTTTTGTGCAGTCATGACGGTGCACATCTTCTTTACGTATCCCGAAACTTCTGGCAAGACGCTCGAGGAGGTGGACGAGCTTTTTGCCTCCAAAGTCCCCGCTTGGCGCAGCAAGAATGCCACGCAGAAATTTGAAGATCGCGTGGCAGCCGTGGAGAAGTCGGCCGATATTGTTCATCATGAGAACAGAGAGACAACTTCGAGTTGATTTTGCTCGCCGTTGATGAAAACGGAAAAGCAGGACATTTGTGCAAGGCAGCTGGCATGTGCCAGAATTGAGACCTCACATCAGGAATCTACGAGGGCGTCATTCCACGGCTGGAAGTGTCCTTGCTTGCAAGGACTTCGACAACCCAAGAAAATTCCCACTATAGAAAGCATAGATGGAACTTCACCGGACGCTGGAAGATGTGCCATTGTCCCCAGTTTTGTCGAGAGGGGACAAATTGGCTTGGGGTCTACGGGACTTTCTCCGTGGGGGAATACTTTAATTGACTTGACGTGCAGGAACAACTGGTGCGTGGTGCTTATTTGAGACTCTGCACTTGGGAAGTGCTATAATACAAAGGTGCTTGCTAAATCATATAAGCAATCAAGAACTCAATCGCAATATTGCGACTGTAGACTATACGATACTAGAGGTAGCGAGAATCATAATACGAGGAATTCGGACAATGTTAAGAAGCCGATTCGAGAGCTTAAGTAAATAAATCGCGCAGGGTATATTCTCAGCGTGGTACTATCGGATGATGTATGGTAGGGGAGCTTAGTGAGTCTGTTTGCCACGTTTCTTTGACAGAGGTAGACCATGTTCCGTTTCAACACTTGATGTCGAAAGATAGCTCCTGGTACAAACCAAAGCCATGGTATTTGTGACGCAACATGGACAGTCTCATGATGCAAGAGTGCATATGGATTCTCAAGGCTGGCAAAGTTTTAACGCTGTCTACCTAGTATCAGCGGCCAAAAAACAATCAGAGTCTGTGGTAATCTGCAGACTGTTTTTTTGACTCTTTGTCTGCAGGACGACACATTGTCCAAGTTGCATGGGCAGATTTCGTTCGTGAGACATTGCGCTCGAGGTAGCCAAACACTGAACTTTCGGTGTAAGGTTTTTCGGCGTATGCTGCAAGGCTAATGTTTCGCACATGCTGGGGGCATTCGCATCAATGTGTTCCTCCTGAGAAGATCACCCCCATATCTTGATCAACGTGGACCGTGACAGCCCAGCAAAGATGGCGTTTCATGCCGTGTACACACTACCCATTTGCTTGATATGTTCCGGAAAGCTACCCGACTTGACAGGACCATTCCAAGTATCTCCATTGTTGGCACCGAGTGAACACAGGTTACGCGATTTACAAGATACCCAAGTTGTTCAGAAGAAAGCAAATGGTGGACGGATTTTGGCCCTATTTGAGTGGATGGGCCTTGTTTGCTGGTGAAATTGGGAAGTTGCTGCGCATGTTTTGGTTTGCTATAATGCGACAAGCGTGCACATAGGCTCAAGCCTTGATTATTCCGTACAGTCCAGTACTAGAGGGATGTGATTCTTGTACAGTATCTCATCATCTACAGTGATGACTGACATGCTTCTGGTCTGCAGCTGAGGGGCGGCGTGCTTGGTATCTGGCATTCTTTTGCTTCGCTGGTTGCAAGGATGAAACCCCTTTTCTGAACTGTGGATATTTCCTTTTCATATGTGACAACCTCCAAAACAGGACCTCCAGATTTGCCAACTGGTTTGCATGGTGATTCAAACCTTTTTTCTTTTTTTTTTCCCCTCTTAGAGTTTCATTGGCCAATGGACAACGGCGCCGCATTATACTTTTTTGGCAGATATTAGCACACGAGAAACAATGGCTTTATGCGTGCATGGCGCCCATTGCACGGTCTGAGGCTACATCTTGTTGCTTTATGTCTGTGGCTCCCCGCATTTTGCAGAGGTTGGGCGGAGGAACGCAGGCAATTGAAAAGCCCACACAATCACTGACTGTGCTACCTAGGTACGCTGCACTCTGTTCTGTAGCGGGTCATCTTTTGATGAAATTTTGCAGTGGAGGCCATAAGTGCGCTCTTCTCTCTCTTGACATCAGGCTCCAATATGACAGCGGCTCCCGGAACATGTTACGTGTGTACCACTTTCGCGTTGCTGGATGGATATGCTCCTGCGCACACGATGCGATTCCGGAAAACCTTGCTGGGAACAGACTTTCCATCACATCGCCGATTTGCTCTACCCAGATCTTATCGGAGATCGCAAAGCAGGGCTAGGCTAGAGCCGAAAAGCTTCCGCAGCGCGCCTGGCCATGAAATATTTTTTTCCCTCCCTTTCCCGTCTCTTTGGCGATCATCGTATTCAGTATTGCTAGCCAGGTACCGACGCGACGAAGTTCTACCTAGTCTACGCTACCCAGGGACTTTGATGAGAGCCGCAGCCAAAAAAAAAAATGTTCCTAGCTAACACTACCAGGTATCCATATGGTCTGGTCCACCCGCTGAAAATGGATCGCGCTATACTGTACGTAATAAGAGAAATGAATATTTGCCCATTCTTCCGACGGTCCTATTGGAAAAAAAGGCCGGCACGAAATAGGTAATAAGAACGCCGTCGAAGGACAATTTCGAGGGAGGATCCTAGTATTGTCTGTAGTGAACCTAAATAAATGTGGTTCGGCCACAAGCCGACTCGTCGAAAAATAAGTTGCAATGCTGATAGGTCGATTGGCAATGAAAGGGTTGTCTCATTCTACATACCACAGTAGAAGTAGTTTGATGGTCGCCTTCTGTTGATCCTCACTACATAGCAAAGAATTGATTTATGACACTCAGGGTTATCTTTTTCACAGTACTGTGTCCAGTACCTACGCAATCTACATGTGGGCGCAGCTATCTTTTAGCTTTTGCCGCATTAAACAAACCGTTCATCATAATGACAGCGATAGCCCAGTAGCCAATAATATTGGATCTATCGGGTTTCTAGACGTTTTTTAGTGTAAGCCCCCTCAGGAAAAGGTCCAAGACCAACAAGACCCCTCCGCGATAGCATAAATGACTATGAGCCCTGGTCAAACAGCTGAGCTTGGCGGCTTTGTTTCGCGGGTTCGACTCTTTTGGACAAAGACCGCGCTTGCTCTGGTCGCGTATGCACGGAAGCGCGTCGACCCCCCAAGGGCCACAACAGTAGCTAGGAATCTCCAGCGCACGAAGGCCCAATTATCCGCCCATGTGGCATCGTAGAAATGGACGACTGAAACACTGTGGGAATCTGGCAGGGTCGCTTCTAGAGTCGACTAACCTACTTCGTAGTACTGTCGGTTATCTAGGGTCATGTCCACCGACCGCCTTTATGAGGACCATGACAATAGTAGTAATAATATTCATACACGGTGATTTCCATCGCTGCATACGTACGCAAAAGCTATGAAATAGAACCGATAACAGGTAGTCCGTCGATATTGTCATCAGTGTGATGTGTGTACGCAAGGTGTATGCACCTAGTCTTGATTCGTCGCCGAGAGTTCTTGAAGTCGCATTCGACTGGCGGCAACAAGCACAGCAAGCAGCGGGAGCAGATTTGTGCCTCGTCACCGCATATGCCCCTGTCCTGCCAACTCTCCCCTTTTGTATGCATGTCAATCACCCGTTCCTTATTTGGCTCGATTCAGATGGATTGGGGGGAGGGCTTGGTGAGGGAGGGAGAGCAGAGAGCAGAGGAGAAACAGTTATCAAACTGAACCATTTTGCTTGTCTCTATTCCCAGTGTCTACTGCTTTGATTAGGCAAATGACGGGCTACACGTAGGAATTCCACGCGTTGCTGCTTCTGGGTAGGAACCAGAGGGTCGCCGTTGACCCTTTAACCAACCCGGGTCATGGTGTAGATTTTTTTCCTTCCTTGGGCGCGCGCGTCTACCAAAAAAGAAAAGGGACGCTGTTAATCACGACGCTTGGATCTCTGGTGTTGACCATTTTGACCCTTAACCGATCATAATTGAACGGTAAAAGGTACCCTTGCAATTCCATTCATTCTAAGCCCAACGCAACTTAACGTGCCAGGAGGTCGGAGGATTCTTTGATGCGATCGACTCTCTCAACTCGACGTTTCCAAGCTGGGAATTGTTTGCTTTTCTCCCCCCTCCCTCTCCAGAGATTCGACATATTTAGTACTTCTATTGTTGTAATCAAAGACTTTGTCCGTTGCGACGCCAATTCTGCAACACCAACGATAAGTGACGCGAGAGCTACTGCAGCTGCCAGTCTTTTTCCCCTCCTCTGCAAAAGGATAAAAACCAAAAAAAAGAACCACACAGCACACAACGCAGCAAGAGCTCTAAAAGCTGCAGCTTCTCAATCCCAGTTTAATGCCCGGACCAACAACGGTCTTGCCCATGGATCTTGCTGGAAGAAGACCCTCTTTCTCATCGGGCACCGCTTCTCGAAGACAGAATTTGACTGACGCCCACATCTGCGGAGTTTATTACTTGTCATAAGGGGGGTCCTTTCGAGGGATACAGCCAAGCCCTGACCCGTCCGAGGTCTGGTCGTTTGAGAAGTGGTGGGACACAAACCGGGGGCGCAATTCATGCTTGGGTGGTGATTTTTTTTGTTTTGCCCAGGAAACGACAGCAGACAGCAGTCAGACACCAAACCAAGCAAGCCTGACCCTGGCCCAAAGTTGGGACCTGACCTGGACCATGGCGGACACCACGCCCACTACCACGACTACCACTAGCGATGGTGCTGCAACAACAGCCCTCACCACCAATACTACCACGACTACCGCGACCACAACCACCGACGGACCCGTGCCTCGCCAGCGCTCGTCAATTGACTTCTCCTCCTCGACCGCCGTTGCCAGCAGTCACCCTGATGAGAAACACAAAATAAACACCACCACTACCGGCAGTAAAACAAATAATAACTTTCATGCCCATCGTCAAAGCCATAACCCTTCCAAATTACCCACTTTTCGCTTTGCCGACCTGCGCAAACAGAGTTTGGCGCATCCGTCGCTGCTAACCCAAAGCCAAGGCATTCCACCCTCGCCTGTCTCACCTCGCACGGATCCCACTCGTCAAGATTCAGATCTACCAGCAGCAGCAAAATCGCAGCAGCAACAACCGCCAAAGACGGCTCAACAAAGCAACATACCAGCTTCCACGCGACGCGGCTCTCCACAAGGTCATCGCCAACGCACCAGCATTCGTCGAGGTCCTGTCTCACCAGGGCCATTGTCTCCCACGTCTATTGCATCGCTCCAACACGTTGTCGCGTCCTCTTCTGCTTCCTCAGATACGAGTTCTGGCAGGTCTCGGACGGCAACACTTCTTAGTCCACGGAAATCAGCTTCCGTATCCGCGACACGACCCGTCAATTCACGGCGACCCATCTCTCTGGGCTCTTCTTTCTCGCCGTCCAAGACTTCAGATAGTCCGTCGGCGTCAGACTCTGCGACTACCATTGTACTTGCCCAACCACAGCAACCACGGGCATCTTCTTCAAGCAGAAGAGCATCTGCCTCGGAGCCGCATCCTCCACCGGCTGGAAGCCCAGAGGAATCACTTGAGAACGCCACAGTCGAATCGACTCTGGGCCAGAAAGAATTGTCCAATTCTGTACAGAAAACAAGTACCCATGCGAAGAAGGGCTCGATAGCAGCACGACGACCACCAGTATCTTACAGTAGACGATCTGCCGCACCTGCTCCGGCCAAAGTCACAAAAGGAGCCTCGACCAAGATCCCACCTATTCGTTCGTTCAGAACCTCTGGCGATCGACAAACCCTAGGTATTGATACAAACTTATACTCGCCGACCAAGCACGACGACCAAACTGGCGATTCGGACCACCACGATAGGACTTTAAAGGCATTGGAAGGCAGACAAGACGACGGAAACTACGGAATGACGCCGCCAGACTCTGCATTAGAACAGCATGATGCTGACGATAGTGGGGACGTATTTTTGAACATGGCCCGCGAGGAGCCAGACCCCCAACCTACACCAGTAAGTCATTTCAGCACAGCCATGGCCCCTTTCTCGCATTCTTATAGACCTTGCTTGATTGGATATGTAATTGTGTCCCGCGTGGAATTGCACTTTGCTTTTGTCTCTGACCTACACGCGTCCTCCCTCCCCCCTGGGGCCGGCGCAAAGCCGGTCCTGATCTAGCGAGGCGCGCCAGCGTTGGGATCGACAGTGGAATGTCTCGTTTTGCGTCGCACCCTTGATCGCTATAATCGTCGAGGTTGATCAACTTCCTGTCATACCCATCAGTGATCACAGCGCGCTAGGCGGATTCTATGTGAGACATGAATAGTATATAGATCAATGCTAACAAGATGCGCAGTCGCGAGTCATACGATCAGCACATAGACGCCCGCTTTCCTCAGCAATACCCCCATATCAGCCCATGTCTCCTACTCAGGCATCAAGGCGTATGTCTGATTTGGAGAGCGCAAGATCAAAGTCGCGTGAAGAGGGTCAACTGGCTGAGAGACCTGCGCGAGCTCTGACGTTTAGGAGTTCTTTAACGGGTGGAAATACGTCCGAGATCAAGAACAGTAACTCAAAGGCCTCGCCCATCACACCACGAACCCTGACGTTCCAAGAGCCTCTGACAGAGTCAACAAGTTCTTCATATGGCCGGAGAAGACAGTCCAATGCTGACAGTACATCGGCGGCGCTGCCCTCGCGCATGTCATCGCTAAAGCAGCCCGTCGGTTCTACATACAGTTCTAGCCGAACTTACAACTCCTCACCACTAGCCCCAAAATTAATGGATACTCAAAAGCCAGATGCACAGGTCGGTGATCATCAGACGGAGTCTTCGAACTCGACTGCTGCACCCTCAACCGTCTGGGATGAAATAGACGACATCAGATCTCGTATTCAGCGACTCGAACTCACTGGAAAACTACCACCTACGTCTGGAGCAGCCATGTCACGGGCGTCGGAAGAGCGGCCTCCTACCGCTACAACGAATGCAACCACCATGTCTGCTTCGCCTAAACGCAACGGCGGGGATCCCACGCCGCAAACAGATGCAGTGAGCGTGGTATCATCGTCGTATGGCAACAAGGAATGTCCACCCCTACTGCAATCCGCCATGAACAAGTCAAAGGCGCTTCTGCCTCCAGAAATATACAATGCTTTGGAGGGTGCTGCATCTGATGCAATCACTTTGACAGCCATGATCGGAAGGATTGGCGAGCCGGGGCCTATATCTAGTGCTGCGAGCAGTGTCGGGGGCACGGCAATCACGGACCGGCAGCTGAGAAGAAAAGCTGAGAGTATATGTCGCAACCTCACCGAGTTGTGCCTGGCCCTCAGTGAAAACGTGCCGCAAGCCAAGCTACCGCAAGACGTGCCCATGCCGAGCCTGGAAACTGGGCTCGCCGGCAGTCCCATGATTTCCCGGTTTTCAGGCGGCGCCGCTTCACGACGTTCGAGTACTATTCTGACAGACCGTAGCCCGGTAACTGCAGCTGTTAGTAGCCCCAGAGCAATGTCACGACTCGAAGAAAGGCGCAGCAGCATGCTCTTTTCCAGTGCCGTCCCAAGCCCAAGCTCTCGTTATTCCTCACAGACTCCCGTAACACCTACCGAGATTGCAGGCAGAAGGACGTCGCTCTTGGTTCCACGTTCTCGTAGGGCCGGAACCGAAGAGCCAGAGGAAGCCGGCTCTGGCATTTCTGGCATCTCTGGCCATGGGCGCAAGTCTTCGCTACTATTGAGGACACGCCGTGGCGGCACGGAAGAGGCCGAAGAACAAGCTGGGCGTAGATCCTCACTGCTGCGAACCCGTCGAACAGTTTACGACGAAGAAGACGATCGTTCACCACGGATCCGTTCAGTTTCGCGGACGGCAACGGATTTCACAGGCCCTCGCCCTCCTGTAGCTCAAGAGTTCAACCCTCAGATCCCAATGGCCTCGATCGAGTCGGCTAGTCTGAGTGCCTCACCGATGCAGCGGCGGCGACTAGGTTTGTCGTCTATAAATACGCGTATTCAGCCCACCACAAACAGTAGCCTTGCAACACGGCGGTACATGGACAGGACCACACCAGATTACGAGAGCAGCAATTTGGCCGAGAAGCTTGCGGAAGAACGTGGACAGAGATCATTTTCTGGGCCCCAAAGTAGTGGACTTCCGAGTCGCAATAGCAGTCTCCAAAGAAGGCTTCGTGAAAGCGTGCTGACGAGTAGTACGGCAACGGGGCAAGCGGCCGGCTACCGGTAATGATGGGTATGATTGATGGCAATGCGACTGTGTACATACTAAAACTCGTCGTGATGATTTCTTACGACGCCAACGTTCATGCATTCAAAAGGAGTTTCTGGAGGGCGCCGTCGGTCGGTCTGCCCTATTTCATCATATCATCTTCATAAATCATTCCGTCTAGAATTCCCTCATTCTATTTGCGAAAGAAAATATTTCCTTTGTCCTCTCATTAGGTACAGCGTCGTCGACCATTGACATTTCTTTGTATAATATTTCGAGTAGTTGTGTACACCGACAAAAAGGACGGAGAGGCAGGAAACCTGGGCGCTGACGGCATTCTTGCAACGAAGGGCTTCGGAAAGGTTTTCAAAACGGCATAGAACGAGCATTGTGGTGTGGCGCGATCAAAAATCATATCCTCAAACCAGGATTTCGATGACTTGGGAGTATGAGCGCATACTTATTGCAGCAGACTCATCTCAGCGTTATGCTGATGTCTCTTTTGAAGACTTTGCTCAATTGAGCGAGTCTGCAGAATGAGGGGATGAAAGATGAGAAGATATGAAAAGGGCCAGACAGCCAAGTATGAATATTATACTTGTTTAAAATGGATTCTTCATTCGTGCCTTGATCTGTTTCCATGGCGCTGGGTAAGGGTAACCTGATTAAGAATGAATCATTTCTGGAACTAGACCCGCTTTGGTTGTTCCCCTCGAACTATAATGCTGCCAAGAGGCGTAACACGATTGATCGTTGATCGGTGACTCAGCCGGTGTAGAGGTGAGTAAAGGCGAAGCTGCAAAAGAAGAAAAAGAAGAACAAGGTGAAGATGCTCAATGATGAATGAATGATGCTCAAGCTGGTTAAAAACTGTTTGCAACTGCCTGCCTCTTACAGGGGTGGACAGTTGGGCTGATTGGCTGCAGCCGGCGACTCGGCACCTCGTAATAAACCAGATAAACCTGGCGGCCGGCCAATACTTTTTTTTTTTTTTTCCCTGCCCCTCCAAAGGTCAAAGCTACAAACGCGGCTCAAAGCCTCTCCAGTCTCCACCGTGAACCTCGAACCAAATATTCATAACTGTCCAAGCGAGTTGTTCAACTACAATCAACTTGGCAAATAACTTCAACACACCTTTGTCACAAGGAGAAGAAACGAAGCTCAAGCTGGCGAAACTTGCTGCCAGCAGCGGCTTCATCTCGTTTTCTTTGCGCTCGTTTCCTCACCTTCAAACGAGACGGGCGCGCGTTACTGCTTTTGTCACAACTCGGATTTCCACCCCACCTTGTTACAACTCTCTATTTCACTTGCACAGCAACAAGTCGCAACCATTACGAATCGGCGACAAGAGTCTGCGCAAACCTACAGTGCAGTTTTTTCGTTGTCAGCACCATTACTACAATCACACAATGCCTGTCGACGAGGATTTCGCCGACACCCAGGACCAGATGGAGGCCCTGGCCATCAAGGGCAAGAATGGCGGTCGCAAGGGCGCTGGATCAGAGCAACAGAAGCGCGATCTTAACATTAGCAAGGCACTCAGCATGCTCCTGAGACACAAGGCTGAAGAGGCTGGAGTTGAGCTGGACAGTGAGGGCTTTGCCCGTCTCGACAAAGTTGTGAGTTTTATTTCCCGCCCTCCCCCTCCCTCTTCCATCTCATAAGGTCCATTCCGATATTGAAGAATTATATTTGATGTTTCATTTATTTATACCATGATTCTACAAAGAAACTCCTTGTGCTAACCATTCTGAACAGCTTCAATGGTCACGAATCAGATCTCTGAAGCCTTCCTTTGCAGAGATCAAGACTGCTGTTGCCGATAATGCTAAGCAGCGCTTCAGCATGAAGCCCATTGATGGCTCAGATGATCCCGACTCCACCAACCCGGCAGACTGGCTCATTCGTGCAAATCAAGGACATAGCATCAAACTTGACAGCGAGGGTCTGCACACGCCCATTACCTTGGAGGCCGGAAACATTCCTGATGTCGTCGTTCACGGCACCTACTTTGCCTTTTGGCCCCAGATCGTCAACAGTGGCGGCCTGAAGAAGATGGGTCGCACTCATGTTCACTTTGGCACCGGTTTGCCCGAGGATGGCAATGGAAATGGGCAGGTTCACGATGCTGAAGATGAGAACAAGGAGAACGCCGCCAAGAAGAATGCAAAGTCCAAGGTCATTAGCGGCATGCGCAACGATGCCGAAGTGCTCGTCTTTGTCGACGTTGCCAAGAGTCTCGAGGATGGCGACATGAAGTGGTGGTTGAGCTCAAACGGAGTCGTCCTTACCGAGGGAAATGAGGATGGTGTTGTGCCCATGAAGTACGTCAAGGAGGCGCGTGGTCGCAGGCAGAATGTCGGCCAGCTGTGGAAGGACGGCCAGAAGGTCGCCGACCTCTTGCCTTCTGTCGTGGCTAGAGTCCCGATGGGCAAGAAGGGTCCCGCTGGACGTGGAGCTGCCAGAGCTAACCGCAAAGGCGGCGTCAAGAAGGTTGCATAAAGGTTTCGTGCAATTTGACAATGCATCGATCTGCAGATGATGACAGTCACTTGCAACCAAGCGAGTTCAGGTTTAATGATTTGGCATGAGCGTAAAGTACAGGCAATAGATACAGCCCGCTAGAAAGGTTGTCCCTCAAATGCACAAATGGATACTTTTTACTCACGTGGATAGACTTGTTGCACTTGTTCTCATTGTCATGCCGTGACCATAGACCCTGCTCTTGTCAGTGGATGGAAATCTGTCTACCAAACGGCACAGCAGAAAGGTGCTCAGCCCCTCTTGAGTCACCCTGTCTTGACTCACAATCACACCCTCCAATATGCTCATGCGTAAGCAAGAATCATGCACATGCTCTATTTTTCTAATGAAACTGACGAAAATCTTTTCAAGAGAGGGCGGGATGATGTCCTACGAGAAGCACTTTAGCCCAGTTGGAAGAGCGTCGGACTCATAATCCAAGATTCATGAAATCCGAAGGACGTAAGATCAAAACTTACAAGTGCTATTCATCTTTTTTCAATCGTCAGACTATAACACAGAAGTACTACATGTACATTTTGCTAAGCAGTCATCCCATGGTTTGCTCTCCCATCGTTGATGGGATCGAGATTTGCCCACTGTGGCTTTACATGCTGCTCATCTGGGAAATATTGAAAGGAGTCATGGCGTGATTTCAGCCAAATCTCTGACACGTATTCGCCATGATCTTCATGCGAAGCAAATGTCTCGCCGTACTGTACCGCAGAAGGTTTCCTCTTGTTGGTAACGGGGGCCCACGAGGAGTGAGGCCAATGCCGTGTTGGTGCGTTGTTGCTGTCGCTGGTTCCGTCTTTGGATAATACAGCCGTTGCCGCCGTCGCCGACGATCTCAACCTGGCAAACCAGCTCAACGGACGTAGTGATGAGGAAGAAAAAGAGGCAAACGCTTTGGGGCATACCGGCAGGCAAAAGATGACAATGCCCAGCGTCATCTCGACGGTGAACAGGAGGGTCTGGAGTGATGAGTTCCAGGTAAAATCAGCCGTCTCCGAGTTTCTCACAGCGTGAAGAATGGTAAAGACGGTACGAGTTCCAGCAAAACCAATAACACTGTTTGTTTGGGAGGTCCGAGTGTTAGTTGACAGCACGATCAAAAGACTCTTGGCACTTTCTGAGAATATCCAAAAAAAGAAAAAAAAAATTGGCTGGCAACTTACACAATGCCCAGACCAAATACGGCAGATACACCGATTCTTTTCCTCCTAGTCATTTTCAGCTTCCAAATGACCCGCTGCGGTAGGAGCAGGATCCCGACGTCGACAATAACATTGACAAACGCCGAAGTCACGTCGAGGGCGCGGGTATCCACGCATGTGCCGGGCAGCGTCTTGTCCCAGATGCGCGCGTGCGGGAAGCAGCTGAGATGGAGCGCCAGAATGGCCGCGAGGTAGAAGAGGATATTGACGGCCATGAGCACGTGCGCGGTCCACCAGAAGGAGTTTCTGGCCCCCGTTGGACAAAAGAGGTATAGCCACTCGAGGAGAATCACCGTCTTGATCATCATGAGCTCGACGGCGTACAGGGTGATGATGCAAGTCCAAAGCTGCGGCGGGGAAAGAGTTAGTGATCTGGTTCCTTGTACGGCACCCTGGTATGTGTCAGACTTTGTCCATGGACTTACGTAGAGTATATGTGGCAGGTCTTTCAAGCGGACATTATATTGGTGAACAAAGTGTCCATACTTTTCCCCGGCAAAGAAGATGGCTAAAAATGCGACGTATAGGATCTATGATGCATATAAGCATGGATGGTCACAAATTCATGTTCTATTTGAGGTGACATACAAATGTTGGAATCATTGCATCTACTCAGAGCAACATCAGCACAAGCACAAGGACTCGCAATACGGTCGCAAAAAAAAAAAAAAAAAAAAAAGAACAGGAACCTACAGTCGCTTATCCGAGGCTTCTTTGCCACGAACCAGATGCTATATGTTCTAATCATGAAGAAAATCAAAGCAATAGCCAAACATGTTGACATTATTGCGCGCGCCATTATGTTTGAGTTGGGCGGATTATCAAAGTTGGGTATGATCCCTGGCGGCGGTGTCAAGGCAGGGCCATCAAGGACAGACTCGGAGTTTCCTTGCGGGATAGAAACGGAAGCTCCCATGGCGTCAGAAAAAGATGGATTGTTTTGAGTGAAGCTCTTGTTTTTGACATGGATAGCTGACTTGTAATGGTTTTTTTTAGGGTTGTCTAGTAGTGACGATAGTCGGGACCATTGTTCGTTCAAGAGCATAAAACACCGATTGAAGTCGCTCAATATACTGAAATGGAAGTTCGAGTGGTAAACCTGTAAAGGTTGGCGAGTCCATGGGCTTGAGGGGAGTCTTCTCTCATAGCATTCAGAGGAAAGCGGCTGCTGTGACAATCGTGGCGCCGCATTGGGGGCCCCGAGTCAGCCGGCGGATATACGTACTTGATGGCTTCTTATTGATACAGCCATACATATTTGCAGGCAGTTCTCATGGATATGATATAGTGGAAATTGCTGTGCGACAAGAACCTGTATAGGATCTGACTGCATCTTGTGTACCACAAAGACAAGCTGAATTTATCAAATCTGGGCTTATAATTCAGAGGAAAACTATATCCACATTGCATCATAAGCCCATGAATGGATGTTGACATGATCCACTTATTGAAACAGTCAGCAGGAAAAGATCCAGCGAGTGTATGTTTGTGTGTGTTTTTTATGAGTGTGTTGGTCTCTTGTTTTCAGCTTCGACGCGGGAGATGCATCCCAAAGATGTTCCATTGCATCTTACATGGGGTAGTACAAGACTTTTGAGATCCTTTCCTTGCCGCGATCCGGACCATGGATCATGAGGGCGGGCTCGGATTTCAATTGGGCGCCTTACCCTATTCCCAACGCGCAAGAGGGGGGGGACCCAATCTTCGGTGCCGAAGGACTGAAAAAGAAGGGGTCGTACGAGGGGCTTGGGGGCCAACTTTTGTTGCTTTGATCCAATGAGACAAGTTATGAAATTTACTTGTGCGAGTGATCCTGACCAACCCCCAATTTTTATTGGTATTTTTTTCCCCCGCGGATAGTTGCAGCTTGGCGATTTATGAAAAGCCCTACTAAGTCCCCGAGAGCCAACATCTCGGGACCGTAGCGCGCAGGGAAAAAAAAAAAGCAAGTTGCGTTTAAGAATGAAACAATCAATGTCAGCAGCCACGCATAGGTAGCGGGAAATATTGCTTGGCCCCAGATCGGCTAAAGTACTTTCTTGCGGCCCGAACCTATTCATCTTTTCAAGATATGATGAACAGTCTAGGTTAGGTGTCTTGTGAGTAAGACACATCCATGTTTAATGTAAATCAATGGATCTTTGTTTCTCTTTTCCTGAATGGCGCTGAAAGGATGCTCTGCTTTCATGATCACTTTGCCATTTTGACGTCTCTCGTTTCGCCCATTTGTCTCCAATGGGCTCTGTGCCGTCAATAATAGGAGCCCTTTTTGGAAAGTGATCCGGTTCCGGGTCATACTCAAATGCCGCTCCGATATCAGACGCCGAGTTCTTCCCATGTTTGCGCACCGGTGTTGCGAGGAAGGGATGGATGCGTGGGAGTACAAGACGCGAGCAATTCACGGCGCGGGGCGTTCCCGGCCGGTGATCATGGCATTCCTGGTCAATGCCCAGGACATGGAAATTCTTCCGGGCGGCATCGCGAACTGTGCAGATGCTGCGAGCGCAGGGCTGGCGATGTCGACGGCAACGCTTCTGATGACACCGTTGGCCCCAGTCACTGGAACAATTGCTTTCAGGCCTCCCGTCGTGGAAAGGAGTTCATGCTCTTGAAACGCCTTGAAAAAAACTTTTCACTTGTGAATCTTGTCGCTTCTGGCTCTACCAAATGTGGTGAGAGAAGAGCTTGGGAAAAGAATATCAAGACACTCAAGGCTGGAGTTGTCCGCTTCAAAATAATTGCCGCAGGCGTCAGATCATGTAAAGCAACACTATGAGGGATAGACACACTGGAACCATTCCTCGCTCAGTTCAAAGTCTGGTACGTGGGAACTAGTATATTGAGACTGGCTGATACGCGGCTTACACGTTGAAGCTATACCGGTCAATGCTAGAATTATATTTGAGCAATTATTTCATGGCAAATATCTAGCCAGTCTGCTTCAAGTTTATCGTATATGACATATCGCAACAAATTGACCTTTTAGAGATGTATTATAAAAATAATTCCAGCGACTTTGGTTTCAACCGTAATAGCAATTGGCATCTACTGGTCAACTCCTTGGTATTTTGTTCGATTTCTCTTCAGTTTGTATGCCCCAAGAGGCTTGGCATTGTTAGGGTCCGCGCTCAAGGCTGAAACTCCAGCCAGCCAGGCAATCGGGAAGCCTGCCAGCAAACTTGACTCTCAGTGGCTTTCGTCGGCGTTGAGGAGAGCAATGATCCACAACCACGGCCGATCGCCGGCAGATGAAATTTTTTGAGTGCTCGCCCAAACTGACGGTGCACACAGGCATAGAAGCTGTGCCGATATGGGATGAAACAGTCCCGCCCAGTGCTAGGTGAAACTTTTGTGACAGTGTTGACATGCTAGCTCGCCAAGTTGATGCTATTCCAGAGTGACACGGGGGCGCTTCTCGTTGCTTGATTCTGGTACTGAGGCTCTTGTCGAGGCAGGCGTCTCGGTACATCGCCAAGGGACCATGGAGTGTTTACCAGCTTGCCCGCGGCTCTTTGGGTTGCGCCATTCCTGCTTCGTGGGTGCCCTATCCCAATTCTAGTGAACGAACCGTCATGGTTATCGTTGGCCTGAATGAGATGGCAGAGTAGTAAACAAACAACGACTCATCCCACCCAAACCAAATTGAACACACGAACATTCATTTTCCCCCATCGACAAAGAGCGACGCGAGCGGACAATGATAATACATCTGATAGACCGACTTTTCGGACTCACCCCCCGCGAGTCTGTATGCACTCATTCGGCCATTGTTGAGATAAGTGGCCAAAAACCGTTATAGTTTGTATTATTAGAGTTCAAACTAAATGGTTCAATAGCCAATGGAGTCTAGACTGGGCTTGCCCTACTGACTCGAGGATTGATTGAAGACCACAGCTACTCCTGCCAGGCCCCGTAGCACCTCCACTGACACAGTACTTCAGCTACCTATGCACGGCTCGTGGCGGCTTGGAAGGAGTACTGCTGCAGTCAGTCTTTCAACTCCCAGCAACAGAATGCGACACGAACGCTAAAGTGTACCGAAGCTTAGGTACAAAATAGCCGCTACCATGTGATGTAGTCAGGAGATACACGTCATAGACTTGTTTATTCCTTACTCAGGTCCGGAGCATTTGAGCAGAGCCTTCATTAGTACAATTTTTTTTTTAATCGTGCCCCTAAGTTAGCTCAATTGAACCGACATTTGATTCTCTCAGCTGTGGTAACTTGGTCCGGACTAACTAGGAGGGACAAATAGAAGAAGTAAACTGCTCGGCCTTGAACATGTTCATGCACGCACCTGAATCTAGCAAGCGAGCGCCTTGGAAATTGTTGCACTCGCATAGTAGTAGCTTATTATTCTCATAGTTACCGTAGCATCAACATGAAGTGGCATATCTGATCAGTGAAACGTCAAATTCCCGCAGCCAGGATACATCAAGCAAGGGTGGTAATTACCGACCGAACGAAACAAAACTTGACGGTCGCAAACAACGATACAATAGGACGCGGCCTTTGAATTCGGACACTATCCGAGTCTGTCTGTAGGTATGCCAAGTTGAAATTTCTCCGTATAATTCGGAAATCTTTGCATACTGTCCAGGCGCTATCCTATTGAGGCAGAGCCCGTCAAGCGTGCTAGCCCTGCTAGCTACAGTAGGTTGGCGCGAAGGGAAAAAAAAAAATCGGTAAGCGGTGGGCCAGATTGTGCGGAAGGCCACCGGTAATGGAATTCCCATCCGAATTTTGGGGCATTTCCACCAAGAAAGCCATGGGCGACCAGATGCCTCAATTAGAGCCCCCACCAAAATCGGGGTCTGTCTGGTCTGTCTGTCAAGATTATTCTTATGCACAAAAGCTGAGATGTCACGGCGCTGATTCACCACGGGCGGACGGACAAGACGCATAAGCGGGATTGGGTCTCCATATTACCAGGCGTCCCCAAACTGACACTTGGACTGATTATTGGCTGGCCACAGACCCTTGGACCCCTCATCGTCTTTAGACCCTGAAAATTGGCGGCAAGGCACAAAGGGTCGAAGGGTCCAATCCCATTCTCAGAAAGGGTGTCACTCTCCCTGCTTGTCTGTCTTGGTTTCTTGACTCTGCTTTGCATCTTTGCTGGCTCTGTCGTCCTAATGGTCTGTCCCCAACTTTGTGCCAATCTTATGACAAGATATGCAAGGGGTTTTGGTTTCTTTCTCCCTAGACACACATGATTGAATGCCCACATGGTACACACACACGCACACGCACACACGCACGCACGTACACACACACACGCCTGCGTGTGTGCATCTCCACGGTTCGTCGTCCCCTTTGGTCACGATACCTCACAGCGTTTGCCCTTGCTTCACGTCACGGTGCATTGGGAATGAAATACACTTTTAGGGGTACCTTGGTCCCGTCCCGTCCTGCCGCTAGGTCGCGTAAGTAAGTAAGTAAGGTGTCGGTCGATGAGCAGTAGTGATCTGCAGGAGCGCACGCAGGTATCCTGATCGCGCCGCCTTTTGTCAGCTTCCACAAAAAATTCGAAAAAAACGGTTTCGGCGATCTAGGCCCATCCCATAAAAAAATCCCACGTTGAGATCTGCCCTACCGGTTGAAACAGGCTTTGCACCTGTATTCACTGTAGAGGTTATCGATGTCCTTTCTCGGGCGTTCTGTTTGTTTGGTGACTAGACTTACAGACAGACACACTCACTCATATTTGCTTCCACTACTACCACTGTTTTTTCCTTTGTAAAGGAAAAGGCGTCTGTCCTACAATTAGTTGTTGGGGGGATCTGCTCCCTTCTCTTTTGCCCTCCTTGCCCCCAAAACTACCTGCTGTCTGTCCGCCAAATCATTACTGTCAGTTTGCTGCTACTCACCCAGCGCAAGGCCGCCAGATTGAGGGCAGGAAAACGGTGCAGACCAGCGCCACTTTGCGCAGCGCTCAGCAGCACATACATACATACATACATCCATACATACATGCGTATTACAGTAGGACCCAGGTACTTTACATTACCTACGCCTACACTACGTATATTTTTTATTACCGCACGTTCAAGGCGGGCGCCTCTTTTTGGGTCTGTCCTGATTTAGGTCCTGTTCCTCTTCCTCCTCCTCCTCCTCCTCGGTCCCACTCAATTTTTTTTCCCTTGGTAGCCTTTTAGTCCAGTCGGCTGCTCTTGCGCATTGCAGGTGTGAGTGGTGCCCCTCCGCACATCTATCTACCGTACCTACTACCCAGGTATCTATCTATCTACCTACCTATTGATTCTCTGGCGAGCCAACAAGTCCAGTCGTTTGGGAGTCCCATCCTTCGCGACACGGCGGCCTTGCGTCCCTTTATTGAGAGATGCAACGTCTTATCGAGATTTTCTCCCTCGTCGCTGCCATTCTCGCTGGAGAATTGATCTGGTCTCCCCAGAGCTCCGCGTCCTAGAACTCAACAAACAAACACCAAAATCTCCCATACCCCCACCAATAGACGGCGTAACCACTTCAAGCTCAAAACAGCCAGCCAGCCCAGCCAGCCCAGCCCAGTCAGCCAACCAGCCAGTCAGGAAGCGTAGTTTCATCCGTGTCAACTCCCTGCCCGCACCTCCGTTATGGGCGACTGGTCTCGGACGGGGCTGATTGACGAGCCATGCAACTCGACATCTAGTGCCTCTACCAAATCTACCGGCCATACCATGGACGACTCTTCCAACGATGATGGCCTTCGCGTAGAACGTCTCTTGGAGCAACGTAGCCAGCTCACCGATCAGCTTCTCGAGAGCCCGTACGACTTAATGCTGTACTTGGGTCGTGCCGTAGTCTATGCTGACCTGGGCTACCCAGACCTGGCCGCCGGCGATGCTTACAAGGCTCTGCTATTGACCGACGAGGTTAGCGACGAAAGTTTCGAATTTCATGAACAGTCTCTCGAAGCGCTTGAAAAGTATCAGCATGGGCCACTGCCGACCGTGTTGGACCATGGGTTGCTCAGCCAGATGGCAGGTACGGAGGATGTGCAATGCGACGCCAACATGCTGGCTCGCGTAGGCTCTGTTCGTGCTTATCAGATCCTCAGCCTTGGCCTCCTCCTCATCGGCTGCCTTAAGAGCGCTCATACCTTCTGCGAGCGTGGACTTTCTATTGCGCCGGACAACCAGGAGTTGCTCAACGTACGCCACTACATCGTGACCGTCGGGCAGCGTAGACTGCGCCAAACCAACTTTGATCCCAATGATCTGCCAGAATGGGGCATGGTACGACGAGAAGTGTACCCATGGAACGACCACGAGCCGGACCGCTTTTCTGACGAATCGCTCGAATTCCTCAACAGAGAGCTCTCAACTATGGCTCCGAAATGCGCCGTTCAGGTTGCGACCCTACCAGTCTTGCTCGAGGCCGCCAGCGACATGGATAACTACCAGGTCATTCCGACCTGCAAGCAGCTGGGAGTTTTTGCCACGGAGGATATAGCAGCCGGGGAGACCGTGCTTGAGGAATACTCACTAGTCACTGCCAATAATCGCCTGAAAGAATCCGTTTGCGACGCCTGCAGTGAGGAGTTACCGCCACTTGGCAGCGAGTCCACGGCAGTGAACTGCGAGGAATGTTACGATACAGTCTTCTGTAGTCAATTTTGTTACGACAAGGCCCAGGAGCTGTATCATCCCGCTGTCTGTGACAAGGACGTTGACTCGATTGCCAAAGACACAGATGCTCGGAACGCAGACGAGGCACTCCATCTCCTGCTCCTCGCACGCATCCTCGCAATGGCTGCGCACCAAGATATGCACCCTTTGGATGTGAGTCAAATCAAGTACATCTGGGGTGACTTTGTATCCTCGCGGGAGAATGAAATCGATCCGTCGCCAAATGCTGGACCACCACCGCAGTGGACGTTGCCATTCTCGTTCACATACAACATTGAAACTCCGTTTCACATCTTGGAGAAGATGGACATTGACGTGTATGCCACGGTTGCACAGCATGATTTGTGGGTCCTCAACACGCTGTATAGCAAATTTCGCGGAACTGCATCGGCTCGCAAGAATCCACGTGACGGGAGACCCGACGTGGCTGCTGTTCATCCCTTCTGGTGCCTTGCAAATCACGACTGTGACCCTAACGTGACATGGAACTGGGGTGGGCGCATGGTGCTCAAAGCTCGCGAGACTCGTGTTGTCGGCAACAGGCCTGGCGGCATCCGCAAGGGTGAGGAAATCCTTAACCACTACTGTGACGTGACTATACCTGTGCAAGACCGCCGGGAATGGGCTCGTGGTAGTCTAGGCGGATGGTGTATGTGCTCCAGATGTCGTGAGGAAGCGGCAGCAGCATCAACAAGCACAGACACGAATACCAATGGCTGGCAAACCCATTGATGACGAGATGATTATCACTTGAGGTCAGGTTTTTCTTTTTTCATCCACGACGATGAAATGACGGGGAGTCCTGGTTCTTCCGTAATTATACACGTGTTACGGTTGCCGACTCCTTGGGTTTTGATTACCCACACCCCGGCTACGCGGAGGACAGCAACTGGTGGTCTCACAACAGCTATCGAGTATACGGGCAGAATCACGCTTAGCTTTCTTGCTGCAACCGACAGCTCGGACAAAATGCTCCCGGGGGGATGAGATCAGCTTTTGGTGTTATCCAGCCGCTGCAAAAGGCAATAACATGCCTCAACATGGCCGAGTCGAGATATACCACGACCTGTCAGTCGCCGTAGTCTGGGGCTGACGTCTCCGTCGGGCCTCAACTTTCCTTCCGCACACGAACACATTGTTACTTCTTCTTGTCTCCGAGAATTGAGGATATCTACCAAGTAGCAAGCGAAGTCGTACATGAAGGATCCCCCAATCTAAGTCGGAATTATAGCAACGAAAAGTAGCAAAAATACACGTAAAAATTCTGACAGCAATCCCCGCAGTCGGAAGAGACTAAGCAGGCCATGAATATCTCTCAGTTGTGGTAAGTCAAGTGATGTTTGTATGGACTTGACTGCAATAATCAGCAGCAGCTGGTAAGCGTAGTCGGAGCACTTGAAGATTTACTGTCAGAGCCCTCCAGTCACGAGAAGAATGAAAAAAAATGACTAAACTTGGAATACTTTGGCACGGCCAGTACTCGATAAACATCAATTGATAATTGTGGATGATAAGCGATGCCAGGCGCCACTGCAACCGTGTCGCTTAATCTCAGGTAGGGTGTTCTCGAGGTCGAATAGAACGATTACTCACTCAGACGTACCTACCGGGGAGCACCTCAAGTTTCATCGCGGACGACGGCATCACTTAGAAAACAGGTGAAATGTCTTGAGTCGAGTTCGTACCGCTGCGTTACTCCCAGAAATCACAGACGGGTAGCCATGAGCAGAGACTGTAGCGAGCCAGTGGGCCATCGAGACAGCCACTTCTCGTCCTGCCAGTTTATGGTTGTCCTCCGGTCTGGAGGGGGGGAAGGGCAAATGACCACTGTCCTTCAAGCCCCCTTATTTCTCTTGGCCTTTTCTTGTCCCACGGTCAATACCAAGCTCTCCGCTCTGGGCATCCAGTCTCGCGGTCCTGAGGGATTTCTCGGCGCGCCAGTGCCCGCCAAGACCGGGCGTATTTCCTTTCGTCGTCTTGGCTTTTGAGCTTTTATTTTTCGGGTCTTGGGCTCGGCTTATTCAGGCTGCTCTGTGCTCTGTAGGCTTTTTGGGCATCTGGCTGTACCCAAACTCACACATAGGTAGCGATAGGTGAGACCCCTTCTTGGCAAACGCCGCGCTTGGCAGCAGGCTCTCCGGGGCAAAGAGGAAATTGAAAATGGAGAAAAACGGTAGAAGGAGCTGCGGTCGATGAAGATTATGATGTTTCGTGAGTGGCTGTGCGAAAACAACAATCTGTTTTGGATGCTTCTGATCCCAGAGTAATAAACACGGCACCTGAGTACTGCTCGGATCTTGCGGCCATTCGAAAGATTAGCTCAACGCCCGTCGTCCAGGGTCGTCTTCCGCCTGTGACTGCCGTCAACCTCTTGTTCATAATAGTTTGCGTAGAGCTGGAAAGGCAATGAGAGGCGACCTGCGCTCACAATTGCTGACGAGAAACCTGTTAGCAAACAGACTAGAGAGGGCTGTGCACACAGTCTCATAGTGTGCCCAGTGGCCAAACTGTAGATTTCTGGGTTGCACGTGGTGGTCGCACTGCCCATTGCTGGATCGAAACCTTGAGCCATCACTCAGCAATGACGACGCCACGGACTCTGCCGGGACGATTCCAGTGTATTGTATGCTGGACGGATCGCGAGTCAAGTGATTTTTTTGATTCACGCTCTTCAAATTACCCAGCGGAATGGGAAACGTTCTCTCGAAAAGTCGTCCTGGCTTGCTCCGTGTTCCCGTTCACGCAATGCACTTGCCCAGTCATCTCGATCACCGAGAGTTATTAAGCAACCCAAGACCATAAACGTGGGAATCTCAGGTCCGTCTTGGCAACCAAACGGAAACACAATAACAAAAAAGAGTTTTGGCTATCGCGCACGAGGACCGGCTCATGGGCAACGCTTACTAGTAAAGACTTGGCGAGACGATTTCGCCAAGAAGGCAGTAACCCACCTTCTTGAATGAGAGATGCCAAGTAATCCAGCCAAGAAAGTCATATCAAGCGGAAGGATCTTGGCCGTGGCGGAGTCCCACGAGCCAAGAAACCAACGTCGAACGAACCGAGCGTCCCTTGTCTGTCTGACCGGCAGTGAGTGGTCCGTTCTTGTCGTGTGGATTATGGGGTAAAATGAGTTTGGGCAACTTGTTCTCTCGCTGCAGAATGGCCAGACGAGACCACACAACACGCCACGACTCTGCGCGCTTTCTGCAAGAGGGAAAATCAAGCAGCAGTGAAGGCATGGGGAGTTTATGCTTATTCGGTATGCGTCGGGCATGAAATGTGATGTTTAAAAAGCGCGTCGGGATGGGCGTAAGGGGGCAAAAGAGAAGAGGACAAATGCCATGGCTCAATCCAGCAGCAGTAGAGCGAGCGAGCGACTGGAGGGCGCCAAGTCAGAGAGGGAGCAGTGTTCCGAGAGTGGTGGGAAGGGAAAAGCAGCAACGTTTGGCTCGTTCGGCCAAGAACACTTTTTCGGACCCCGCTGCCAAGACTTTTGGTCCACTAGTGCGGTACACTGTTGGCCGCACAAGTGAGGCTGCTGGATCAGGTACCCCATGTATGCCAAGACCGCCAAGACTTCTCTTCTCCGACTTGGCCAATGGCTTGAGCTCATTCGAAGCAATGCCAAGCCCGCGATCAGTCGCGACTCCCCAGATGATGAACCATAATAAGGAGATGGACGCCCGTTCTCGCGCAAACGTCTTTCTTCTCTTCTGTCGATTCACCTTTTTCCAAAATTACAAGCTCAGAGGTGTCGTGAAAGCCGTTGGGGTGATCCACATTGACTTTCTTATCATCCCGGGCATCTCATACAAGGGTTGCATAGCAATTCTTCTTGTTTCCTCTACAAGGTATCTGCAAACTGCTGCTTATACGGGTCGGATCATCTCCAATCGCCGATCCATAACCCGCCGCCAACCATGTCTGCCAACGCTGCCGACAGCAACCCCCCTACCACTTCTGGCGATAGCTCGTCCAGTGGAACCACGCCAGCTCCGTCCACGGCCACCACCGCGACGACGGCGACGACGGCATCAACCCAGACCACTGCGACTACGCCAGCCACGCCATCCACCACTGCCGCTGCCACTGCCGCCACCAGCTCTTCCGCCGATGAGTCGCTCGTCTGCCGCTGGGGCAACTGCAATGAGCGCTTCACTGCCGCCGAGCCGCTCTATGAGCACATTTGCGAGCGCCATGTTGGTCGCAAGAGCACCAACAACCTGAATCTCACCTGTCAATGGAACTCTTGCAGAACCACGACCGTCAAGCGGGATCACATTACTTCCCACATTCGTGTGCATGTTCCTCTCAAGCCGCACAAGTGCGACTTTTGTGGCAAGTCGTTCAAGCGACCTCAGGATCTGAAGAAGCACGTCAAGGTATGTCGAAAAACACTTCCCCCCAACAAAGAAATGCCACGTGCCAATGTGGTTTTTTTTAACTTGTCAAAATGCTAATGCGAAAACCACAGACTCATGCTGACGACTCCGTCCTTGTCCGGTCACCTGACCAGCACGCCGCCATGGGCGGTGGCTACAGGACTCAATCCAAGGGTATGTCCAACACGTCCATGTCATGATTGTTATTGTATCCATCAAGTCTAATTCTTGTCTATAGCACCTTCGAGCTACTATGACCACAATGGCCACATGCGTACAAATGCCGCGCCTTTTGGTCAACCACACCCTGGTGGCCACCCAAGTGGCTACTACCAGCACCAGCCTGCATCCTTTGGCAGTCCCATGTACTACCAGCCTCTGGGCAACCGCGGCGACCACATTGGTTACAGCGCTGCCGCTGCCGAGTTTGACCACCGCAAGCGCACCTTTGATGTTCTCAATGACTTCTTTGGAGATGTCAAACGCCGCGGCTTGGATCCTGCCTCATACCACCAGGTCGGACAGAGGTTGATGCCACTACATGGATTCGCCAACCCTGAGTATTTGCCAGCACCTGCTGTTGCTGTCGGTGGTGGCGGCGGCAACGCTGGTGACCCCTATGCTCAGCACTACAGCCTGCCTCCTATGCCTAGCGTCCGCACCAAGAGCGACTTGATTCAGATTGATCAGATCCTGGAACAAATGCAGAGCACCGTTTATGAAAACTCCAACACGGCCGCTGCCGCAGGTGTCCACCAGGCCGGATCTCACTACGTGCCTCTTGGATACCGACAGAGTCAGGCACCGGCCCACACCAGTGCTGCATCGCAGTCCACTCTACCAGCATATTCGCATGCTCACGATGCGGCATCACCTCTGACTGCCGTATCCTCGACCCACTCGAATGGCACGCCCGCAGTGACGCCGCCCAGCAGTAGCATGTCTTACACTTCTGGTCACTCGCCCAGCGCTTCGTCTTCTGGTCTTAGTCCCATTTCTCGACACAGCTCAACCGCCTCTGCCCTGTATCCTACATTGCCTGCTGTCACTTCTGGTTATCCCGGACAGTCTGCAACCTCGACTCTGGGTCCCACCTTTGATCCCGACCCTCGTCGTCGCTACTCTGGTGGAATGCTGCAACGCGCCAACCCTGCTCAACGGTCGATACCCGAGGATCGCGAGACTACTCCTAAAGCTACAGAGTCGGTTGTCAGCTCCCCTTCTGCAGAGTCTGAATCCAGCGGTGATGACTCTCCATATGAGGCCTGGTTGGAGAATGTTCGCGTAATCGAGTATCTCCGCGAGTACGTCATTGATCGTCTCAAGCGCAGGGATTACGATGCAGACTCTCCTGCTTCATCAGACTCGATGGAAGTGGACTCGCCGCCACGGCAGCCTGCGTACCCTTCGCTTCCTCTGGAAGTTTGAGTGAACATCTAGATTCACCTGGCCTTCAATTCTTGATTGATGTGGACTTTTAGGGATGTTTGGATCGGCGTCTACGGTTTACTTGCGAGTTTTGCTTTTCACGACAACCCATTTCCTCGATCTGAAGGATGCTCATTTTGAACATTTTGTAGTTTTAGTAGTGTCAATTCTATACTGTCACTAAGCGCAAAAAGAAGAATTCCATTAAATGAAACAAAAGTCCCGACTATTGGTTTTGCTTAGTTCATGTTTGAGTGAATCGATGCGTAGGGCTTTGTGATAATCGATATTCATGAAATACCATGAAAATGTTTTACCGTTCAAAAAGACGTCAGACTATAAATTGCAGGTAGAAAAGATCGTATCCTAGCAGTTGAGAAAAGTGGTCCGAATCGGAGACTCACTCTGTACTGCCCCTCCCCCGCCAAGCAAGCTGCAACCCTGCAGGCTCCCAGCTCCAAGCTTCAGGACCTTGTTGAACTGCATCCAACGCGGCGTGTCGCAAGTCCGTTTTGCCGAGCTCGATGCGTTTTACCCAACCCTGCTCCTGTCTTTTCTACCCATAAAACACACAGGTTCCAGCCCAGACAAGCGACGGCAAACAAATCATGACTACGCCCGTGACCCAGACCATGGGCCCGCCGGGCCACATCACGTCGCCCACGGAACCGTACCCGAGCCCAGAAGCCCTGGCCAGGGCGACGACGACACACCGACAAGGCCGCTTCGCCATCAGCACGCGCAAGCTGCCCATTTCCAAGGCGGGGCCGATCGACGCCATGTCGGCGGACCTGGGGATCCCGATCCCGGAAATGATCTTTGGCGACAACCTGGTGCGCGTGGCCCACGACGGGAGCGGCTGGTCCGTGGCGTTTACGGCGCGCGACGCCCTCGACGCCGTCGACAAGACGGGCGACAAGATGCTCCAGGTCTCGTATGCCCGGGACTGGTCGGCCAGCCGCGAGAGGACGAGCGCCGGGATCCAAGAGGTGGTCAAGCCGTTTGATTGGAGCTACAGCACCGAGTACCGGGGGACGGTAGCAGTGGAACAAGAGGGGGCCGCCAACAAGTCCTTTGCGCCGTCGGATCGGCCCATTCCCATTGAGCTGCTCAAGCGCCGGGACCCGATCCTCTTCTTCGACGACGTCATCCTGTACGAGAGCGAAATGGACGACAATGGCATTAGCATCTACAGCGTCAAAGTGCGCGTCCACGAGGAGCGCATGTTGCTGCTAGCCCGCTTGTTTATGCGCCTCGATAACGTCGTGGTGCGTATTAGGGATACCCGCATCTATGTCGATTTCGCCACCGAGGAGGTTATTCGCGAGTACACGGCCAAGGAGGCTGGTTTTGAGGACGTCAAGAGGGTGAGTTGCAAGCTCTTTTGATTTCTACTTTAGTCTCGTTTGCTCTGCTGTTTTTATGATAAGTAGCAGTACTGTGCTTTATGTTTGCTGTGGGGATATATACTGACTCGTACTTTAGAAACTGCTCATGACGGGTCTCCGACCTGATGAGGTGCCCGCTGCCTTGAGAGACGCCAACCAGATTGCCGAGCTGCTCAAAGACAGAATTGTGGATGGATCGCTTGAAAGCGTGAAATTAGGATCATGATGAAATCATGTTGGACCATCAAGAGAATACCAACCCTCAAGACACTTATGATTGAGGTCAGGATCAATCTGTGCGTATCATCGATTGACATTTTGAAGCGGGAAGGCAACTGCAGTCATCCCCATTCGAGCTTGATCAGCACAAGCCATAATGAAGAGGTCGAAATGACCCGCGGTCTGTTCTCGAGACCCAAGATTCCTATATCGCCCAAAGAGGAGGCATGGAGCAGAATAAAGTACTGGAATATGCGAGCGTAGAGACCAGAATTTGAGAAATCTGGGAAAGTATTGCATGGAAAGGCGTTCCGGATCATGTGCGATTTATTTACAGACCCTGGCGTGTACAAATATGACCAGGCGACAAGAACTTGCTTGAGAAACGGGCTCTTTAAGATTGATGGATTCTAGAATTGCTACATTTGGCCAGAATAACCTTAGGTATAGTTCCCATTGAGCAAGAAATATCAGTCAAGATATAAATAGCATACTGCTTCTCCGACGCCTTGGTATCGTCTGGTTTCGTTCCCTTAATTCATGTCAAACAATGATGATGCTAAGCAAGATACTTTGTACACGGCTAGAATAACGTCGTTGAATCCCTTGTAATAAGCCTGCACCTGAGTTGATTCCATATACTCGTTCAGTGTTGCTTTCTCCTTCTCGCACGGCTACCTAGCATCTCTAGGCGAGCTGCTTTGCATCCTCTCTTCAAATTCTAGTTCCCACTTGTCCACCTCGGCAAATTTCTTGGCCGCATTCTTGAGCTCCTCACCAGGACCGGAATCCTCTTGCTCAAAGACATCGTCGTCATCAGGCGCGGCATTGGCAGAATCTCCTTCGCCTTCTCCATCTTCCTGGTTCTCTTTATCTGACAGGCGACCATACGTCCTGGCGGGCTTGCTGGCCACCTTGTCCTTTTTCTGGGCGCGCGCCGTCGTCGTCTGATTTGACGTACCGGCGCGCGCGAGAGGCTTGGCTGGCCGCCTCCTTGTTCTTCTCACGTCGAGGTAAGACAGCTCGTCATCGTCGTTACCGAGACCGGCAGCATCCACCTCTTCATCCGAATCATCACCACCCAGAGGATCGTTCCTGGCGCTTCTTTGACGTCGCCGAGGCAAAAGTCCCGTCAAGTCTGCAGTAGAAATGGGTTTTGATGCCGCCCTCGTCTGCTTGGATTTGGGAGGGGGTGACGGGTCGGCGTAATTCGGCGAGTAGGTCAATGAGGGCGGTGATGACATGTCAGACTCATTGTCGCCTTGTCCCAGGTCGCGAACGGGGGTTCTTCGTTGTGCCGACGGTGCTCGCCTCGAGCGTCCCCTAGCAAGGGATTGGAGCGGTGGCCATACCTCTGCCTCATCTTCGGAGCCACTACTTTCGGGAGGCGCAATGTTTTCGTCCATCAATGGTGTGCTCGCTCGGCGTACTGGAGGGAGCGAAGGTGGAGACGAGAGAGGCTCGTCATCCGACTCGTCCACCATATTGGAGTCGTCTTGTGGAAATGGAGGAGAGCGCTGCCGCTGCTCGTGTGCTTCTGTGGACTTTCTCTTTCTTGATTTGATATTTGAGGAAGGCTCTGCGTCTCCGGATGTGGCCGCCCCGGATCGCCTCTTAGAGCGTCGCAGGGGCGTTGACTCATGCTCTGGGGATAATTCAAGCTCTTCCAATGCCTCTTCGTCATTGTCATTTTCGTCATAGTTATTGTCCGTTTCATTGCCAAGGTCACTTTGTGGCATAGGTCTCTCCGCCCTCGGTTTCTGGGCTGTGCCCAGAATACTGGGTTCTCGCGCACGCCTCTTGAACACACCGATGTTGAATGTGGAGCTGATACCGGGAGTGTTGGGTCCTGCGCGACTACTGGGCCTCACGGGGCCGTCATCTCTGCTCATGAAACTGCCGGCACGCGGTCGGCGCCGGAACTGACTGGCGGAAAAGGTCGACGTGTCCAGGGATCGCGACGCGCTGGCAGGGCCCAAAGTGTCAATGGTCGTGTTGATATCGTCAAACATGCTGTCGTCCAGGTCAAGGCCCGAGACATCGTGCAGTCTAGCAGCAGCGCTGGCGCGACCGTGGGCGGGCGTGGCGGCCACGGCGCGTCGTCCCATTTCCACCTCCAGCGAGCTCTCCGTATCCTCGCCATCCAGTCCGGCCGAGTCCCCTCCTGTTGTTGATGTGGTGGTTATGTCCTCCAGTCGGAGCATGGCAGCATCGCGCTCCATGCGCGCAGCGTCCAATGCGGCAGATTGGCGTGGATTGGAGGTGATTGTCGTTTTTGTTGTAGTAGCAATGCTCGTCCGAGATGCGGTGCGCGCCGATATCCTGCGCGACACCCTCTTCCCATCGTCTTCGCGCTCGGCAGCAACGTCGGTGTCCTTACTATCAGTGTCCTGTGGCGCGGGTGACGGTTCTTTGGAAACGCGGGCTGCCGCGGCGCGTCTGGACGCGACCCGAGTACGCGCCATGATTGAACGGTTGACGTTTGCTTCTTTGAGAAGTGGACGGATGTTACTGGAACTAAAAGAAGACAGAATATACAGACTTGCGACCAGATGCAGGATTTCCTGGAATTGAGCACAGCTGGGGGTGAGGCGTATAATTATGATAGAATTGGTGGGCCGCGATGTTCCATGGTGGAAAGAAAAACATGGGCAAGGGGTCGGGTCCTTTGAACGCGTTACGCGTGTTTTGGGGTATTGGAGCTTATTTGTTGCCCCACTTTCTAGGTAATCAACAGCTTTGTGCCAGCGATGGACCCACATGTGTCAATTAGTCTAGGTACGTATAGTATTAGAATCCTAGAGATGTCTGAATCTGCAATTCGACTTCTTGTGAACGCAAAATGTGGTATCATCTTCGTTTTTGTTTTTTCTTCAAGTTCGTGGAGGAGAGTAGCTAGGAGTCTCCCAGTATCATACAGTATCTAACATGATCGCTTCTGATGAATGGCCCATACCGTTGTCTGTTTTACATATTATACAGTCTCTTCCCCCATACCTTTTTTATATCAACGCCTGTCCCATGTACATGCTCTCCCTTACTTCGGCGACAATATCTCTCCTGTCGTCCTTGCCGACCAGAACCACACCTCTTCCTCTTCTGCCCATGCGACCGGCACGGCCCAGTCGGTGAATAAAATCTATTGTTGTGTGGGGTACATCATACAAGATTACATGTCGCACTGCCAGAGTGTCGATACCTCTCGACGCCAGGTCGGTGGCCACAATGACTTTGGTGTTTGGCAGGGTTCTTCTGCCGGTATTTTTCGGTGCTGCTTCCTCAAGTTTGGCCTTCATCGCGTCAGTTGTGGTAAAAGTGCCAAGCATCTCGGATTGTCGCTGTTCCGAAGTGTCTCGATGCAGGGCAACGGCATCGATGCCCTTGGATACGAGGAATTCGGCAACCTCTTGTGTCTTTTCTCGCTCGTTGACAAAGACCATGATGCGCTTGACGTCAATCTCGCCGGGAATGGATCCTTCGTGGCGGGCGGCATCTTTGCCAATGGACCAGATGGCATCGGCGCAAGCGAGGTTCTTGTTGTTGCGATATGGGTCCTTTGATACGTCGACAACACCCAGCTGTACACGTCGGGGAATGGCGTGGAGGTTGGGAGTAGTGATGCGAACCATGTCCGGGAATTGAGTAGCCATGTAGTTGTCTAGACGCTTTGGAATGGTAGCTGAGCATAGCACCAATTTCTTCACAGAGGGCAGGGCTCGGTCCAAGATGGTAGTCGTGACGGGCGAGAAACTTCGGTCGAATAGTGAGTCCGCCTCATCCACCACAAGGTGGGTGACCCGAGACAAGATGTTAGGATCCGAGTCTGCCATGGATGAAAGCAAGTGAGGAGTGGCCACAACCACGTCACAGCCTCCAGGATTGTACAGACTTCTTTCAATCACAGTAGCCGACTTGTTTGCCGACAGCATGATGGTCTTGAACTTGACGACATGCGACAGGGACTTGGCCACTGCACCAATTTGATCGACGAGCTCTGCGGATGGCACGAGAACAACTACCCTAGGGCGGGCTGCGGTCGGGTGAGGCTCGAATTCTTGAGGCCCAGTGTAATCAGGTTGTTGCATAGCCTCTCTTTGGTTTGCAAAGTATTCGCGGTACTTGGCAATCTCAGGGTCTGCAGCTTCCGCCTCTTTCATGGCGTTGATGCAGGGAACTAGGTAGGCCAAAGTCTTGCCTGAACCCGTCTCGGCGGCCAGCAAGAATTCCTCCCTGCCAGTAGTGTTCTTTGATCTGCGACTCCTGCCAAGCTCCTGGCCAAGTAGCGCCGGTATGGCAAGTCGCTGTACCGGTGTAGGCTTAATGTCGGTCATACCTTTCAGTACTTCGTCTGTTACGGCCGTTTTCACAGACGGCAACAGCTCGAACTGATCGAATGATTCAATGGCGCTCATGTTCTCCTTCATTCGCGTCCTGTGGCCGTATCCGATCGGCGCCAGTGAACTCTGCATCTTCATGGCTTTCGTCCTCCGGTCGTTCTTCTTGCCTCTGTCTTGCCCTCCTCTGGAACCGTATGATGCGCCGGTTGACCCATCTCTACCGCGGAACTCCTTGACATTCATGCCGCCAAATGGGCCTGGTCTACGTTTCGGCTTATCGCTATCGCGCCCTCGGTCGTTGCGCGCGTTGGGCGATCGCGACACATTGTCGGAGAGCACCATGCGGGATGGGCTCGAGGTTCGACCGGGCCTGGAAAAGGCATAGAATCGCTGCGCAGCCCATGGTTGGCGCAGTGCCTGAGCGCTCTGCCGGCCTGCAGTGAACAGGCACAGCGGGCAAGCGCGCGCTGATATCCGTAGCTGCATCTCCGTTTTGAGATCTGTGGCAGCAAAAATATTGGTGTTGGCAAACTGCTCGAAGCAGCGGCGAGATTTTGGATAAAATTTCCAAAAAGTTCGAGCTAGAGTGACGTGCAACTAATATTTTATGCAGAGTTGCACAGTTGTGCACGATTTATTGTGCCCCACCTTTTCCTGGCTGTATGCCATTGTATACCTGCTCCACAGAGAATTTCGTATAACTAAGATAATTATTCCTTATTTTTATCGCAGAATCTTTGGCTCTATTTTGGATTGAGCATGTTCGTGTACGTGAGTAGCAATGACGGCAAAAGACATGTCTGAATACACACACAGAAATGGTAAAAAGAAGAACATACAACACCAGGGATTTCTCAACCGTCGCCGATCTAAGTACTATTCCAGTCGTTCAGGATACACCTACCTATACTCGGCGAAAAGGGAGCCATTGCTACAAAGAGAGCCTATAACACAGCAAAGTGTTGTAGCTTTATTACCACGCTAGACTGTAACTTCCGCCCTCAGGTCCGAATCCTTGCTTTTCATGTAGATTAAGTACTATTATAGATTTGCATGCATCTTTTAATCTTCTTTTTTTTTTCGTTGTAGTAGTTTATGGTTATCAACCAGCTGGCCGTCTCCAGCACAGCCGTTGCGACGTCCAGTTATAGTACCGCCATTGTATTCTGATTGTTCTGGCAGGGTGACGGGTACTACTGTCAAAAGTCCGGGGCTAAAAGACATTCCCACAACAAAGAGTGCCAAAGACCCGATCAACTGCATTCCCATTAGAATTCGTTGCTTTCAGAGCTCGTAATGATTGTGCAGGAGAATACTATTTTGTGTTGGTCTTCTCGAAACGATTTGTGGCTGTGAGAGGTATGCGCTGTGTAGATTATGCCCTTCCTATTCGATCGTGCCGAAATCACAATTTACCTAGGTTGGATACCGACCCGCTGAGAACGCCTAGAGCGTGCAGAAGCTACAAATATCGGTGTGCCTGAACTCGAGTATGCCCATGCTGGGCGAGCAGTGAAAACAATGTTGCAGTCTCTCTGAGATTTGCCATTGATCGGGCTGACCAGGGGGCCTGCAGGCTGGAATCTGCACTGCCCAGAAGTGTCATTAAATCGGGGCATCATCGACACTGTGGATGGGAAATGAATCCGCACGCCAGCCTCGGAAAAAAAAAAAAAAGTTGAGCTTCATAGGCTGAACAAGTGGCATTCTTCTAAAGCGATTCTCTTCACTTGCATACTGTCTATATAGATACCTGTGAATTGCAATAGTGCAGAGATTTGCTTGATAATAGACTTTTTGTGGTGGCATGTAATTGGGATATGCGATGTTGGGCCAACGCTGTAAGTTCACCAGCTTCATGAGATAGATGTTGTCGAAGTCGTTTGGGCCGAGTCCATCAACCCGCTTTCCAACGTTGCGCTGGGAGGGAAGAAGCAAATCCAGCCAATGATAAAAGTGTTGCTCTGCAACTGGCTGAGGCTGTGTTGGGCGACACGTCATGCAGTTGCAGTATGCCTTGGCCCTCACCCCGATGCAGCTGATGTGACCATGTCATTTGAGTGCGCACACAAATACTTCAATGAGTGCTCTCTTCTTTTGTTTCATTTGTCTGTAAGTGTAGACATTCGCCATCTGTGGGGTCGGCGTGTCACTTTCGACACAATGTCGCAGATTGGGCGACTACAGGCTGCTCTTGCCAGTGCCACGAACGAGGTGACCGTCGCTGCAGCGAACATCAATTTCGACTTCTGTCTCGTCAAATATGACGCACCAAAAGAATACCAACCTATTGGTGCCCTCTTGTCAACCCAGCGAAAACAGGATGCAGAGAGCGGGTCAAGTCACGTCACAGCTCGCCGCCTGGCAGCTCTACTCAACGGCATTTGCCCTGACACACCCAATCTTCTTAAAGCATATGGTCAGCGTGTCTCAGAGATCTCAAAGACAGCATCTAGTCAGGAGTCTACGGACTTTGCCAATTCAATGTTTGCGCCATACTCTGGAATCGACGCAACTTCGATTTGGGCAGCTGCAACATCATCAGAGCCAGCTCATGGCAGTGCTTTACATGTTCATTTGCTTGCCAGTATGCTCGCCAAGATTTGGGATCCACCAGAGGCCATTTCCATATGGGATGAGCTTGTGAAAGAGAGGCGTCGTGTGATTGCTGATCAGTTGGAGAGAGGAGACTCGCTGCCTTTCTCTCTTGCAACTGCTGCCGCTCAGCAAGACATCCCCCGCGCCCAGCTTGCTGCTTGGGACGCCAGCGCGAGGGCCTGGCTACAGACTGCCAATTCAATCATGGCGAAGCAGCAGACTCAACTTCGTCTGATAGTCCAAAATATCCAACTACCTATAAGCGGTGGCACAAACTTATACTCGAGTGTCAATGAAGCTTGGATCAAGGCCTTGACTGTGATGGAAAGGCTCGTATCTGGCACTCCTCAAGAGATCCACGATGGCGCGGCTCTTCTTGGTCTTGCGGCTTGGCATATCTATCCGGATATGCAAATCTTTGGAGCCCAGACCCTCGACATACCGATGCAGGATGCCCTCGTCAAACCTGGTGGCGTATTGACACTGGGATGTGCAACCTCGGCAAGCACTCCCACAAGCGGTATTACATGGTCTCTTTCTCTTGCAAATCTCAAATTCTATGGAAGACCCGTCGAAAGCCAGGGATGGGTACAAAGCAATCCAGATCACATTTCTTTTCACGAACTGATGCTCGCAACCTTGGGCAGAGTCATGACTCTGTGGAATATTTCATGGGAAGAGGTTCCGCTTCTAGCAAAGGTTCTGATGGCTATGGCTGCGAAATTGCGCCAAAATCCCTCTATTCCTTTGCTTCTTCAAGGAATAGAACATTTAGCGGAAGCAGCTAGTGCCTATCTTCGAGAACCAACGATCAACTCTCCGTTTGTGAATCTTGGTATCAATCGGCCGGAGTTTCTATCAGGCAGAACGGAGTCACGTGGTAATCAACCTATCCAGCCAGTATTCTACCTTAATGAAAGAGAATTTCTTGCTCATTTGAAAAATAACGAGGCGAGGATCTTATTCCTCAGACGATTGGCTGGCCGAATCCTCAACCAGAGCTCCGACCCTCCCGAGTGCATCATACGGTGCAATGGTTTTAGAGGAACGGAATGGGCTTCCGTCTTCCCAGAGAATCCCGCGAAGCGTGGTGCATCTTGTCAGGGTCTTCCGCATGCGCGGTGGAACCCGTCTGATCCGAGAGCTAGTCCAACGGAGGTTCACTACAACAATTCCAAGCAAGCACGGATTCACTATGTCGACCAAGCTCCATTCGTTCAAAGGCGCCAAGGCGCTCAAACGACCCCAATGACTGAATGGTTTGGCGATACTAATTCGACTGCCATCTACGTTAAGTACGATCCTACACAGCCGGCCATATTGAGACCTCAGATTGACTTAGGAGACCTTCTATGGGCTCTCGAAAAAGACCTCTTGTTATTTTACCTGCCGGAAGATGAAGTAACTTTGGTCTTGGAAAATTTAGCCTTTGCTTACGAAAGAGTTTTCAAGTATATCTCCAGCCCAACAATTCGGCTCCAGACCTTTTTACGACCGCTGAGCCGAGCTGGATGGATATCCTTTCGTAAGAGGCTTGATTTAGCTTCACCAACTTTACTCCAAAAACAATTCAGTATTTTGTCGTATTTTGTATCCGACCACAATGTTGAGCCACTGGACATTCCAGAAAACATATGTGGCATATCAATTGGGGACTCCTTGTACGTCCCGAAAAAGGTTACATATCACCTCATCCCTAAACCAACAATTATTAATATAGTTTACAGTTACTGTGTGACCCTATCAATGCGTATTACGATCGTGGCGTTGCAAGGGTACTAGGAAACATTGGTCGACCAGGTTTTGTTATGTTTTCTACTGTCGAAGAGCCAATAGTGTCCTCTCCAAGCGTGACCTCTTGGAGAGTCATCAATAAAAACATATTTGATGGCAGGCGCGAAAACTGTTTCCGGTCTACCTCGGTACATTTATCTTTTACAGATTGGGAAAGGTTCATAGCAGAGCGAGGTTCTACAGGCAAACAGGATGCGCAACTGATCCGCCTGGAATCTGTTATTTCGATACGCGACACCGGAAACTGGATTGGTGACGTGGATATCCTTCGGGCTCTTAAAGACGACATCATATCGACGCTTCCTCCGCAAAGCGCTTGTACGCACACAAAGGACGAGCCTTTCACGTTGCGAATGATATCAATCGAATCCTGGGATGAACTACGGGAAGCGCGTTTAGGCAATGTGGTGGTGCGCGCACATGGAAATTGGGTCGCTAGACTAGCTATTGCATCGTTCTTGTCTCAAGGCGTAAGAAGGGGTGATTTTCAGGTTAGTAACATAATTATCTGCCCGAAAGAGGTTTGTTGGAAGTGCATTGAGGCCTTCCCAGCTTGTGTGTTTATATTTTGATAATCATACTCAATATGCATATATGTTTCAAGAAAGAATTTGTCGCACCGAAATAGATGAGTGCCTACTCCATATATGCCTTTCATCCTGGCACACATGAGTTCCTCGCATGGTGGCGCGCAGAGCAAATACACAGCCTCACGTGAATGCGAGCCAGGACGAGAACGTATTATTTCCACCGCCACATGCATGATCATTAAATTTGGCAGCAGCGAGAAATAATTCTCAAGTAATGGAGCGAGTTCAAACCTCAATCCTCCTCGAGCCTAGAGCAACTAACAACTAAGTTGCCATCCTCCACACATGCATGTAGCAGGACAACGACGAATCATTGAATATACTTCAAGTGTCATATCGCAATGAATCCAGTGGCTGTTGACGATAAGGCATATGCCAATCTACAATGAATTACAGTATGTATAGAATAATCAAGGCAGGCTCAGGGTCGAGTAAACCCTGTAACTTTCCATCAGCCAGCCTCAATTGGCTCACGTAAGGCTGCAAAGCCTTAATTCACTTGACTCTTCTATTGCAAACATATTCTATTGGAGAAAAGACGAAATATAGAGTTTGGGGCCATTTCCTCACTTTGAAGTTTCACTGTGGCTTGGGCCAAGGCTGAACTCCTAGCTGAACGCAAATCACAACAGTGCTTTCCGTGATTGTTAAACTAGCTTTTCTGTTTTTCACCAATGAAAAATGTTTCTGGGACACAGAGGAGGTATCAATCAAGTCGACGCATGCATGTGAAAAGATTGTACAAACTCTCGTCCGGCTGGTATCTAACACCAATATGGAAGCTCCGCACTGGGGATTATACGCGGCGGCATTGAGATCATGCAATTATGAAGTGACTTTTACAGTCTGACTGCCCCACATGGAGCTACGATAAGCTTCACAATTGGGAAGCAAAGCTTTGCGTTTCGTTGCCACGGTATCTTGTCTAGAATGCTGTGGTATACTAGACCATGAATATAAATACGAGCTGTTGACGCCCTCAATCTGTCGTCCAAGATACTCGACATTGCTACTTTAACTCACATCTTGCATAAAGCCGTCTTGTGTATCATAATCACAAATCACTGGAGTTACATTATCAATTCATCACCATGACTTCCACATCTGTTCCAAATAATGCTCCAGTTGTTGAGACCGAGGTTCTGATCGTGGGGTCTGGCCCAGTTGGTGCCACCTATGGTCGAAAGCTGGTCGATGCTGGCATCCAGGTTCTCATGGTTGAGTTGGGAGCTCAGTAAGTCTTTGTCATGCTTCGCCTTTGGTAAACACATGGCTTGACCTACTTACAAACATTTAGAGAGACCCCCATTCCTGGAGACCACAAGAAGAACAACTTTGTCGTGCAAAAAGACATTAATAGTTTCATCAAGTATGTATAGCATGTGAGCATAATAAGACCTTGCGTTGCTAACGCCGGAGCCCAGCGTGGTGCAAGGCGAACTCAATCTTCTTTCCGTCCCTACAGACCCGCGCGCGGCTCCGTCTCTGAATTTGGATCCATCTGCGTGGTCCATCGATGCCAGTACCGCTACCATACACAATGGTCAGAACCCGTGTCAAGACAGCTACTACAACCTACCAGCCGCTGCTGCCACGCGTGTTGTCGGTGGCATGGGTTCCCACTGGACAAATTGTACACCACGACAGCATCCAAAACTAGAGCGGTCGGATCTTTTCAATGACAGCGAGTGGGATGCTCTGTACGGGGAAGCCGAGGAGCGCATCAAGACCAACAGCACCCTCTACAACGACTCCATTCGTCAGCAGCTGGTCCTAGATACCTTGCGCAAAGGACATTACCACCATGGCGATCGCGAATTCAAGCCCATGCCCTTGGCAGCACAAAAGCTGCCAGATCAGACCTACTTTGAGTGGTCTTGCTCCGCAACTCTCTTTGGGGATATCGCCAAGACTGCCGACAATCCTGGTGCCAAGAACTTTACCCTTAGGTCGCAAGTTCAATGTATCCAATTGATTACGAGCCATGACACAAGTCCTGACGGCGTTGTTCTTGGTGCCCTATGCAAGGATCTCAAGACCGACAAAAAGTTTCTGATCAGAGCTAGAAAGTATGTGCTTTGTGCTGGAGCTGTGCTGACACCTGGCATCATGTTCAACTCGGGCTGGAACTCATCACCTGAACAGCTACCAGCATTGGTAAGTGGTGCCGTCTTTTTTTTTTTCTATTTCTTTTTCCTGTTTTCGACCAAAATCAGATTATAGTCTAACTTGATGTTTAACAGGGAAAATATCTCACCGAGCAGACCATGGCATTCTGTCAAATTGTCCTCTCGCGTAGTCTCGTGGACGAGGTCGAACACAGCACCAATCCGGACTGGGCCAAAAAAGTAAACGAACATCATAAAAAGCATCCCCACGACCCTTTGCCTTTCCCCTTCACCGACTTGGACCCGCAAGTCTACACGCCCGTTTCCGAGAACTACCCTTGGCACACACAGATCCACCGCGACGCCTTTTCATATGGTCAGGTACCCTCCACCATTGACCAGCGTCTTGTTGTAGACCTTCGCTGGTTCGGCTGGATTGCGCCCGTCGAGAGCAACCATGTGTCATTTTCCAAAGCCATCACCGACCAGTTTGGCATGCCGCAGCCCACGTTCCACTACGAGGTCCCCAAGGAAGATGCAGAGCGCACCCACCGGATGATGGAGGACATGTGTCTCGTGGCTTCCAAGCTGGGCGGCTTCCTCCCCGGCGCCGAGCCCAAGTTCCTTGTTCCCGGGAGCGCTCTACATATTAGCGGCACCACGCGGGCGGGCACGAGCAAAAAGGACAGTGTCTGCGATCGATATGGGCGCGTTTGGGACACGAAGAATCTCGTGGTGGGCGGATGCAATGTCATTCCAACGGGTGCGGCTTGCAACCCCACGCTCACGGCTGTTTGCTTTGCCATTGCTGGGGCGGATAAGATTATCGAGGAATTTCAAACCAAGGCTGATATCAATCGGGCATAACGTTGACCAGACATATCAAGAGGTGGAAAGTTTACTTTCCAAATAGCCATTTATCTTGCTTTACTGCTATCACAAGAATGAGACTCTTCACATTCCAATCACTTCCCAAGTTTGTTCAATTGAAGCTAGAGAGCCCCAACCATAGTTATTCATGTGAGCAGGCATCTCAAACAATTCAAGATACTATTCACAAGCTCACATGAAGTGATTTATTTGTCGCGAGAAAACAAATTTAAATTCCGAATCTGAGTTTGAGCATGTGAACTACTCTCTTGCCCGGTAGGAGGTTCCAAGGGACTTGCTGACTGAGTGAATATGAGTCACTGGCCGTGCCTATCCCCACAATCTCGGCAAATGTTTCCTCCCGTCACGGACATGGAAGTCAGCAATACATAATAGATATAGTGTCGCCAGCCCGCCGGACTTTCAACCTTGGCATGAGAAGACCTTCACCAACCTCTCAATAATTCAACATGTCGCCAAATATTCCCCAGGCGCTCGTAAAGGGCGACACTATAGCGTTCGTATCCCCGTCGGCTCGCATAAACAATGCCATACCCTGGCGGCTGGAAAGGGCGACGGCGATCCTGGAGCGTGCTGGGTATCATGTCAAGATTATACACGACCCGCACGTACCTCACTCACCCCTGAGCGCCAATGTCGCGGCCCGCGCCGAGGAAGTGCACTCGGCGTTTCGGGACCCCACGGTCAAGGCCATCATATGCTGCATCGGCGGGTCAACGGCCAACGAGTTGCTGCCGGCATTAGATCCCGAGGTTTGTAGCGCCTGATTCTCTGCATACTCAAAATATTCATATGTCTCTCTCAATATTTATTGAGGTCTGTTTTTGCCAAATTGACAAAACACGCGCATATCAGATCATCCGGAACAATGCCAAAATCTTGACCGGCGGATCTGATAATACTCTCCTCCATCACTTTTGCTACGTCAACGGTCTTCGCACCTTTTACGGGCCCTCGGCCATTAATCAATTTGGCGAGTGGCCAGAGCCCTTGAGCTTTACCTGGGAGCACTTTTTCCAGGTCACCACCACGACGCAAAAACCGGTCGGACAAATGCCCCGCAGCGTCGCCTTTACCGAACAAGTCGCGGACCGCAAGACGGAGCCCGAGAGGATTCGCAACGGGACGATGCGCGCCCGCGTCATGAAGCCGTCGACGGGATGGCGTTGGCTCCAATCTGGTGGTAGTGAAGCCGTCGAGGGTGAGATATGGGGCGGCTGTTTGCCTAGCCTGCTGCAAATGATGAGTACAAAGTGGCAAGTTTCATATCATGAAAAGATTGCATTTATCGGTTAGCATCCCCTCTTCTTCTTCCGAGCGTCCGAAACGTTGCTTTTGTACTAACGTTTGCTGATATAGAAACACCAAAGGACTACACCCTAGATGTTGCCCTCTGTCATTTCCAAGACTTGAGAATGAGGGGCATTTTTGAGCAGATTGTTGGTCTCGTGGTCGGGCGACCCCATGGGTACTCGGATGCCGATGTGCAGGGCTGGGAGGATGGAATGATTCGGGCACTGGAAGGGTACAGCTTTCCTGTGCTTGCTAATGTGGATGTTGGTCATACTGATCCGGTCTTGACCATTCCACTGGGGGCAAGAGTCCGGCTTGATCAAGGTCAAGACTTGTGGGAAGTGCTGGAGCCTGGTGTTTGTTGAGATAGCCTTAAGGAGTGTTCTTATACAATTTCTCGTTTACAGATATGCTGCTTGCTGTGGTTCAGACAAGGAATTACTGGTTGGATTTGTCCAGAAAATATTATACTACTGCATTTAGTATTTCCCGCCCACTGGGTGGGGCGCAGAGGGTTAGGTACTAAGTTATAGGTACATCAGGTGTAGTTCTTCGGGGCTTGGCCCCACTGTGGCTGACCTTTTACGACTGAAACTCCAGCAAAGTCAATGGTGACCAGCACTAAGTGATCAGGTATTATATCACGAAATGATAAGCTTTTAAATCGTAAAGGGGATTATTGTCTGATGTAATACTTTTATAAAATTAAATTAAAACTTTCTATATTATATTCTCGAGTTCAATACTTATCCCGACCTAATAATAAGATAATTAAAGTGCTAATCCCCTCTTATATTGCAAATAAAATTTTAGCCTAGGAGAACAAAAACCTCGTCCCTTTGTGTTAACCCGCATATAGGGGTGGATGTCCAAATCTTAGGCCACAGGCTCAAAATCCAAAGTATCATTGCTCGGATGGCTTTGACGCTGATGAAGATGCTCGCCATCCTTTATTCCATTTGTTCAAAAACTCTTGAACCTCATGATTTGATCAGTCTCGGTATTCTCGGCCTCGAAAGGGAATTGAGACAATATCTCTGGTAGCTTGGTCAAGTCAACCAGTGAGGTTTGAGGGACAAACCATGGGACGCCCCCAACCTTGACCCCATTACCATCGAGGCGCCATCGCCCCCAAGTATGACTGACAACCAGGTAATCAGTCTGGTATGAGTCGTTCTCTATAGTCATTCTGGTCTGGGTGTCCCAAAGACGACAGTTTTTATTGTTAGTAGATTCAAAATCGATGATGGACGAAACGTCTTGACCACGGATATTCTACATGAGGATGGCTTGAGTGAGACGAGGCTAACGACAAAGCTGTCCCCCGAGCGTGTAGATCTCATTTGGAAAAATGATAGGCACATTCATCAATTGTTACACCAGGTAGTAGTGGACCCGAAGTTAATACAGTCTCTTTAGGGTCATCCGAAAATGAAGTATGGCGACAATCAAGGCGGCTTCCAGAAGCCTTAATAGCTAATGAGTACATACCCAGTAGGTACAGAATACATGTACTGCATTTGCCTCCACTTTAATGCATGTCAGCATACATATGTATTATTTGACTTGCAGCCCAATGGCTCCCAGGGCGGCCTGCCATCCCCGCTGATTTTGATTTTCGTACGTATTACCATATTGGTAGTTCTACATTTTCATTGAAAGCTATTCTGCCTTGACCTACATCGAGGGTCGGATGCAATGCATGTTGACGTGTCACCACGTCGGAGTCCAGGCTCCTGGCTTAGCATCTGCTCCTAGAATTAGGCAGAAGTACAAAGCATTGCCTTGACGCTCTCGAGTGCGCCCTCTTGAGTGGTATGCGTTCAGATGGACGAGGCTATAGTAAGTAAACATGGTTGATTATTTGGTTCGGTGTATGTACGTATCTATAGGAGCGAAAGAAGGTATATGCATATACGAACATAGATAGTGGATCATGGAGGCCGAAAGGTACCTAGGTGGCTGTGGACCTATTCCAATGATAAATATGGTGGCTGAGTATGCCGCTTGATTTTATTGCAAGATGCACCTTAAACGAAACCACCTCCTTATTTCGGAACTTACTCCCATGCCCACCTTGGCTGCTGTACCCCGAAGCAAACGATTTCTGGTTGGTACTATTTGGGTTAATGTGAGAGACGATTACATTACCAGGGTAGGAGCTCAGCCCCATTTATCACGGGCTACGTCCATTGTGGATTTGTTTGTACATATAATTTTTTTCGTCCGTACAAAGTCTTGAGACATTTATCCAACTGATACAATTCCTACGCAGTCATAACCACATTTTACTTCATCATCAGTTTTATACCAAGCAACTTCTATTCGACATGTCTGGCTTATCTACAAACCTCTTTGAATATGAGCAGCTCCCACAAGGGCGTTTTATCCGGCTGCTCCATCTTTACCCCGGCAACCCCGGTACACCGCTGATTGCAAAACTCGAGATCGTTTCCCTGGACCAGGACCCTTCTTATCAAGCACTTTCTTATGTCTGGGGAAGTTCGACTCTCGACTGTAGCCTTGGGATTACAACAGAAAGCCAGGGAATCAAGACGGTACACATTACCACATCCCTTTCCAATGCTCTCAACGACTTGCGACAACCGCCAGAAAATAACCAACACCCACGGATACTCTGGATCGACGCTGTTTGCATCAATCAAAAAGATATCAACGAAAAAAACACTCAGATACCCTTAATGAGAAGTATCTACCAGGAAGCCGAAACGGTTGTGGCTTATCTTTGTTCTGATCCAACGGGGATTCTGGGCGCCAACCTTTGCTTATCAATTGACCAAATAAAACAAAAGCCAAAACCAGACTTGGTAGCAATTATAGAGAGTTTTGCAAAGCCCGCACAGTGGCTTGAGAGATCGTGGGTTGTCCAAGAATCTATACTTGCCAGGCATCTGGTCTTCATGGTAGGTCGTCGCTTGATAAAATATAGCGACTACTGGCCCAAGATGAGAATCGATCATGCTTTTGCTGTCAACACTTGGAGGTTTCGAATCGATGTACGCAAAGACTCTCTGTTGCGATTTCATGACTATGCACAACAACAGAGGGTGATGGCCAGAAGCTTGGTTAATAGTTCCCGTCACGATACAGCGTTTTGGTCTCTTGTAGTACTGCTACGGATACTCCGCGTCACCAACTGCCAGAATCCATTAGACAAGGTCTTTGCCTTGCTAGGTATATGTGCAGATACACTGGGCATCATAGCTGACTATAACCAGTCAGTAACGGAGGTGTATACTGATGTTGCGCACCGCATTATTACCATTCCGGGCGGTGTTTATATGCTCTGCAATGCATACCGGCGTCAACATCCGATTCTGGCATCTTATGTACCGGACTGGTCCGTTACCGACGTGCTATACCCACTAGCCAAAAGCATGAACCGAATGCCCAGGAAACTTTCGCCCATAAACATCCCGCGACAATATAGAAACGGTATTTTGCTTCGATGTCTATCTTTTGGCCGTTTGAAAAAGGTCAAAGCCTTCCCAAAGTTACCGACTGTCAGTATATTCGAAGAACTGAACGATCAGCTTGAGCCAGTCTCGCAATTCGTTCGTGATTTTGTCGAGCATTGTGTACCATTTCACCCAGATGAAGGTGGACGCAGTGTCAAGAGAGCACTAGGGCGCAGTCTGATCAGCATGGCCATGGGCAAAGCCACAGACAAAGCCTGGGAGGACTATTCCGGATGGATGGTATACAATTCCCCACCAAAGGAACAAATTCGTGCATCAATCAAGAAGGTGTCTCGGGTCATACAGTATGCCCAAGAACTTTGTAGACGCTCACAAGAACCCTGGGCTTCAAAGATGTTGGTTTCTGACTCAGGATTCATTGGGAATGGTTGTGAAGGAGCTGAAGTTGGAGACCGGATCATAATACCATTTGGGATGAGTGTACCACTACTGGTCCGCCCTGTCGCAAAAGATGCCGCACGAAAGGGTCCGCAAGGTGAACAAAAGCAAATACCAGTTGTTCTGAAACCACGTCAGACGCAGCTATGGCCGGCAAGAAGGTGTTTGCAATTTGAGAAGGCGATGCAGCTAGTGTCGGGGCCGGATTCACATTATTTGTCCCAGGAACCCAATTATTATGACTTTGATAAGGAATACAAGGGTATTGCTATCGACAGATGGCTCAGTCATCTCTTGGAACAACAAGAGAAAGAAGAGGAGGACAAAGAAAAAGAGCACAAGAAGGGGGAGCCCAGACAAGACTCCATGGTCAAACTTTTTCCATGGCTTTTGGAAATGAAAGACGCAGATGCATGGTCACAAAAAGAAGGAGGGATAGAAAAAGACGAGGAGTACGACGAGGACAACGGGGAGAACGACGAGGATGACGAGGATGAAGAGGAAGAGGACGAGGAGGAAGAGGACGAGGATGACGAGGATGACGAGGATGAAGAGGAAGAGGACGAGGAGGAAGAGGACGAGGATGACGAGGATGACGAGGATGAAGAGGAAGAGGACGAGGAGGAAGAGGACGAGGATGACGAGGATGAGAACGAGGATGAAGAGGAAGAGAACGAGGATGAAGAGGAAGAGAACGAGGATGAAGAGGACGAGGATGAAGAGGAAGAGGACGAGGATGAAGAGGACGAGGATGAAGAGGAAGAGGACGAGGAGGAGGACGAGGAGGAGGACGAGGAGGAGGACGAGGAGGAGGACGAGGAGGAGGACGAGGAGGAGGACGAGGAGGAGGACGAGGAGGAGGACGAGGAGG